AGAGGTTAGGTTGAGGTGGTTCGCTCTCGATAAAGAATTGGGCGCGCTCGCAGTCCCTTGCATGCTTCAAAGTTCGTCCGCAGCGGAGTGCTTGACGAACTTTCAAATTTGTTTCTCCATCCAGATTCTTGGTTTCCACATAACATGCACCGTCTGAATCGGAGGTGGCGAGAACGATGATATCCGCAGGAAGCTCATCATCATTATAAAGTCGTACAAAATCCCCAACCTGTAGATTTTTCCAGTGATCTTTGTGAAATCGGGCCTGGCCAGGTTTCACATCGTAGTTAATAAGGTCTCCTTTTATCCTGGCCAGCGTCTCCGGCTCGTTTGGAGTATGCGACCTTTCAGATGTCGGGAGTTCCGGGATTTCCATTAAATCTTGCCTAGGTGTCTGGGGAGGAAGAGGGGACGTGACCGGTGTCATCTGAATATCTTCATATGCAGACACATATGACGTTCTGTCGGTGTGAGGAGATAGCATGGTAGAATCGCGACGTGTCGCCTTGGTTTCAACAGAGGGACGCGGATCTGATGAATTTTCCAACATTCCCTTTGTTTCATTCTTCTTCCCTAAGCCCTTCACCGCACGCCAAAACGTTGCGAGGGATCTCGAAGTAGCCTTCTTGATCCTCCGCCATAGCGAAACATTATCTTCGGTAACATTGACATTGTTCCATCCCACAAGGCGGTGCACGGGTGCGTTATTTAATTCGTTGTCAAGAATCGTCCTGCGATAATCTTCGATCGCGTCCTTGATAGCCGTCACAGCAAGGATGAATATTAAAGGTACCGCATTAAGTCCTGGATTAGTACCTCCAAAAATAGGAAAGATCTATAAAAAAATTGAAGTGTTAGAGTCCCTCCCGAACGCATGCGATTTATTTCACTTACAATAAGAATCACCATGAAAAGGAAGAAAATGTTGGCAATATTGTGGAATTGGAACCACAAGTTCTTAGGGATGAAAGACAATGGTGTATACTTGGCCGTCCGAATCTTGTTTCGAGCATATGAACGAACGGGGTTGCCTTCTTCATCTTTCAGCTCGTCAGGCAAAGGCAGATTGAAGTACACCATCCTTCCCCCGTCATCCTCCTCCTCCTCAGCAGACACGGCACTCTTCGAATCGCCTGGTTCATTCTGCTCGGTCGCAGACGCGCTGTCGTATGTAGCGTGATCGTCACTCGTAGACTGACTGCCGCCCGAATGGCGTTTCTTCTCTGTCGAGCCAGTCCGCTTATGTATCCTATCTTTGAGGGATAGCCTCTTAAGACCACTGCTCTTGACAGTGAGTTTCCGAGTAGCCCATCTCGATCTGTTGACCGCCTTGTCATTGTCACCTTTCGGCATTTTGGGAGAGCTGCGGGCACAGCCCGTTCAACCCGACGTGTCCGCCAGACTGGCCTTCCGTGGCCACGAGTCTTGCGTATGAATTCCTAAGGCGCTAAGTTGTGCTGAATGCGGAGACTCGGGCAATTGGCTGCAATCGCGTCGGGGTCGCTAAAGTGAAAGAAAGTGAATCGTCGGTCGATATTATCGTCACGATGTTTTGGTCGGGGAAGATTTGCATCTAGGAAAATGGGTTGTGATCGCTCGTCCTCCGGCTTCCCTTACTTGGTACTGGGGGGCAATCGTGTTGTTGATGGCGTTAAGGACAGAATTGGAAAGGGAACAATGGAAGTTTTTGATTGATCGCTACGTCGGAAGGGCCGGGGTTCTAAGGTACACTGAATACTGTGTCGGCACTGTAAGCAAGACGGGCTGGAAGGTAGTACAAAGTCGCGTGTACGCATGCATCTACATATGCACTTACCCAAATAGCCTACAAAACCCGCGAATACATCTCCCTAGGTATCTTCTCGGCGGTAACAAGGGAAAGCCCCAAGACATTGGCGCAATTTTATGTAACTTGAAATTATACCCAACTCGAGTTGTTTGTGCACATTGTTGTTATGATCATATTATCTTTTCATACCCTTTTTAGTAGGGGAAGTCGATATAAATTGCGATATGTGATAAGATATAGAAATGAAAGCGATAAATACTTGAACTGCCAAACGTACCTACCTACCTATGTTTTTGAAGTCAGTGTGCGGAATACATCATGTAGTGTTCCATATCATGTCCACTATACCTACATGGAAATGTATAAATGTACATACTTAGATAAATACATTTATGTAGGCTTGGTAATCAGAGCTACACTGTGCACGCTACCTATCTTATATTGGGCAAGTACAGCGACTAACAATATCCTTGTATCACCCAATCCACTAAGAAAATGCCTCTAAGAATCGATGATTTCGGCTAAGATTCTTTCGTTATGCAGGCTGTGAATCCTCAGAGTAGGACGAATTTCTTAAGTTAGAATAGTTCTACGAATAATAATTCTACATGTAGTATTTCATCAAGCTAGCAAGCTAGCTTCTGAAGTCAGCAATGGGATAGCCATTGTATTGGATCACATTCAGCTGATTATATCAGATCTCACTATAATCCCTAAAACTTGACCAGGTTGACTTGACCTGAGAATTTAACTAAGACATATCCCTCTTACTTACACCTCTACAGGGCTCCCCGCGCACGCATCTTTGACCTGCCTGCAGAGCATTCCATTCTTTTCTATTTTTTGAGGCTGAATTTGGTAAATACCCCTCGGCCTCGGTAGCAACTCCGGATTCCTTGAACCCCTAGGACTTGCGCTAAACGGTTACAGTGCAGCAGCGTGGGTAGTTGTAAATGATCCTTCAAGTATGACTTTACCCCTTCTCTCGAGTTAGAGTATCACCATTTTCGCATCCATCACATCCGTTATCACACCTGTTAGACAAACATTCTGTTCTGGATGCTGTCCATAGCCTCCCGCGCCACGGATTAAATTCGCGCTATTCGTGTGGATTGCCAGAAACAAGCCTTCGTATATCCCATATACGTGCTTCTTAGTGGCAGCATGGTGTCAATACAGGCTCCGCCTTGTTAGAAAAAGCCATACGTAAGCTAGTTCTGCTGAGGCGATCAAGAGGAGTGCCTTTCGCACTACTTACTATGGCGAAGTTCTGATTCCGAGTGACTAGGCTTGCATCTAGTGATCTGACTAACCTACAGTAATGCAAAGGAAAATAGGTAATAGTTGGCATACACTTCCCTATGCCCCCCCTAAATGTGCTACGGCGGTGTCGAAACACCACTTAGCATGGGTTGCGCATTCGTTTGACATGGGTCTTCGACGCACATCATCGATTTATCTAGCAAGTGGTATCGGAGGCACAGACGGGGTGTGAGAGATCCTTCAGGAGTTGTCTTAACCAACCAATTCCCTCCGCTTAGTCCTACATAGGAGCCGTTGCTAATATATTGAGCAGGTGTGTTCCGTGGAAGAATGGGACAAAATGCGCGAAGAGCATAGGAGGTATTTGTGTTTTGTGTTTTGTGTTGTGAACCTTGAGTCAAGCCTAAATTAAAGTCTTCCTGGTTGTCCGTATGAGACACTGTATAGCATAAGTACCTAATCCATTATCCACTATATTATTCGGATAATCCCAATTCATATGTACCTCTATTGTATGTAAGTCCGAGCAAGCCCGAAAAGGCGGATATAGTCTAGCCTAGCCTAGCCCTTTTCCTAGCGTTGTAGCTGGTCCTATGAGATACAGTTTACGATTTACTGTAACATTATCAAGTTTATCAAGTTTATCAAGTATATCTTCCGACTAAAGCAGCAAAGCCTGCAAAGGTCTGTGAGGCAACGCTAAAAAGAGGTAAAACTCTCGGGTTATACCGTTACGGTTCTCCGTTACGTCTAAGCATCTGATTACATAAGAACCTCATACGAAATACCTAATCTGATCTGAATAAGATTACACTATCGAGGTGGCGATGCAATGCAGCTAACGTTTGATAAGCGTTTGCGTCACTTGCCGTCAGCCTTTTCGACCGAAGTCTTGTTACAACCGAAATCCGTGGAGTACATATAGATATACGTGCATTGCACATACATACCTCGTACATTAGCAGATGTAGATTCCCGCTCAGCTCCCCATCTTTCTACATCTTTCTACATCTTAAATTAGAAAAGCAGGCTCTGCGTGTATCAACTTAAAACAGCATAGATTTTCGCATATAGCCTCACAGCTTAAGCGACTCAGCGAATCAAGTATCGGACTTAAACGCTGTATAATAAATAGGATCAAAAAGCTTATCTTTCTGTCTAAGTAGAAGATGGAATTTTAGATTCATATCCATTAGGCACGTAGGAATGAAAATCAAGGCTGCTACTATATTGTAAATGTATTCTGTTTGTGGGGTGTTAATAACCCCTATTCCAACTTGGCGAACATAGATGATGCATTACCATGTGTATCACGCCACGGCAGCCTTAAATCGTTGTGCATGTTTATCAATTTTGTTAGGGAGAGATTGTGAAGGGCATTTAAGGGATTGAGCTCTTGTTCTGTTACCCCTGATGCGCCGATTAGTGTACTAACAGGGCACAATAAAGGCTGGCAAATCTTGGAACTGCAACAGGCGGAACCGACCCGAACCCCGCCAAGCGTAGGTAAACCCAAGCGTAAATCCGGTGGATCTCTCCTTACCCCGAACCAGTTTCCCTTTTTTAGCTATTGTACATTGGGACTGTCCAATAAACATACCTGATAAGGTTAGAGTTCCAAGATTCAAGCTGCCTAACTAAGCATCACAGGTACCTAAGTACCATCATCCTAGTTAAAAGGATTTAACGTTGTTCCGTTGTTCCGTTGTCCGTTGTCCGTTCTACCTACGAGTCAACTTTCAAGTCAACTTTCAAGTCTAGACACGTCTGAGAACGGCCCCACATCAAATTAATCTTTACGACGCGTGTCTCTCAAGCGTCCCGCCAAGCATCAAACTAGAGCTGAATGAGTATCTATGACTTTGTAACTATATGCCCCTGTTGTTTCTAACAGTATCGATGAAATCCATCGTAAGCTTGTCGTACTACCAACAGATTTGCATATAGTATGTCGATGTCCCGGAACCGGGATATTAGAGGCTTCTTCGGCAAAGGTGCTAGCCGTAGTAACTCTGAATCCCAGCCGGTCTCCTCGTCAGAGCCGGTCCGGGATCTGCAACCCTCATTTTCATCCCCTAGGACACCTCCGAAACCCACTCCGAAGCTACGTGATCGGACCGATGAAATTAAAGGGTCTGACGATGAAGACGGCGGCTCGGACGACTCATTGGAGTCTATATCTGCATTCATCCAACGGAAAAAAGGCCCTGCGCCTTATCAAAGAGACTCAAATCTAACCTCCACGCCTAGGGCGAAGAGGATAGCCCCTAATCCAGCCCCTCCACTGAAATCGCCATTGACGATACAGCCTAAACATAAATTTGACCTGAAATACTTAATCAACCATGCTCGGCAGTCTGACAGGGCAGATGAGAGTGCTAGGATAGCAGATGAGCTCATCAACCAGAGCGAAGAAGATGATGAGAATGGTCAAATTTTAATAGAAGTGCAAAATGACCCGACGCTGTTGCAAAAGACAGCTAAGGAACTTCTTAAGGATGACGAGGAGGACGCCAAAGGCGACAAGTTGATGAGAGCTATGAATCGTACTAAAGTCGACGGGTCTCATAGACTATATTATTTCTTTAGCCTCGAACAGCCCCTATTTAAACCTCCTAGGAGTCTATTCCCGCAAGAGGCGGCAAAGGGGTGTTGGGAATGTCTCGCTAACTCGCGAGCGCGAGATCAAGCCGTCATTCTCGGCTTACCCCATACCATTGCCTCCAAGGGTAGGGCACTCCCGGATGAGCTTTTCTTATGGATCATCGAGGAGGTTTGCGCTGAGAGAAACGCCCAGCTGCGCATACAGTACTGCAATCTGGTAGCTCTGTATCCTAGTAGCATCAAACGTCTTGTCACTGAGAAGCGACTATACTCTATGCTCGAAAGGTTAGGTGGGCCGAAGTATTCTCGCAGCCAAAATAACCCTAAGCTTGAGAGTTTGTCCAGAGTGGATGATCCGTATCCTCGAAAAGACTGGTCAGGCCTGGTGACTTTTCTCGAACTATTAGAACGCATGGCCCCAATTTTGAGCACGCAAAATGCAATAGGGGCTATTAAACTACTACTACGGATGGGACTCGACCCCCTTGTGAGTACGACAGTTCGTTCTGAGCATGCTGCAGCGATGGAAGCTCTTGTCACGGCATTATCGAAGTTGAGTACATCCCAATGGAATGAAACTGTGAGTCTTAGCCCCTTTTCCATACGTGTGAGATCAATAAAACTAACACCCACCAAGTGCGAGACGATATCCTCTTATCTCTACGAGAGTGTAGACGAGCCCATGCATCAGGCCATCCCTATCAGCCACATGCCTAAAACTACCACTAAGCTCCTCGACCTACGCCAGCGCATGGCAGCCGTGGTACTCTTCAGGGACCAAGGGCTGAGTAGTAGACCAGTTGACGAAAGTTTAACGCTTGCCCATGTCATCGATCGGCTTGACTCGAGTGATTTTCGTGTCGGGGTATCCACCAACTTCGAGGACCTACGGGCGCTAATAACGCTTCTGGACATCGCTGTCGGCAATGCAGGCTTCATTATGCTGCAGCACTCGGGAAGTGACACGGAGGATGCAGCTCGCAAGTTCGATGCCGACATCGATGTCTTGACGTTTAGGCTTAAGGTGATACATGATAAGATTCACGACAGCACTCTACTCTCCCGCAAGGTCGCCAAGGCATCCATCGACTTGGTAGCCAAACGATTAACATACGCGGTGCGCACGCGGCCGCCACCCAAGACAAGCATATTCGACTCGGAGCCTAGAGAGGATGCCAATATACCCAAACAGCGGGCATTCATGAAGAACTGGGCGCAGAAGAAGGCGGAGCGGAATAACGCTGCTACGGTTAGCTAATAAGGAAGAAACAGATGATAGTATGGCACGAGTGTTGTACGACTAGCTATTGGTAATATAGAGGGTAAATTGGTGTGTTTTATTGATGCTGACGTTCCTGCAACGCCTTATGATATACAGCAAGCAGCCTTCTAGTGAGCACCATCAATAAATAATAGTACGGTTCTAGATTCCGTGCTCAAACGCGACTGACTACCCCTTATAAGAGACCCCTAGACGAGGAGAATAATGTGACGCTACCTAAGCATAATATTCTACCCGTCCCCTTCTCTTCTTTGCAGACGTCCAGCGTTATTAACACGTATTTGTGCTGACGCTCATGGGTGAAGTTAAACCTCGATGTGAGGTTCTGTTTAATCGTAGAACTTGCGGTTGGGGTTCTTGCCGAACAACGTCTCTCGCACAGCGGGGAGACCGCTGGTTTGTAGGAGTAGCAGTCTCTGGTCGAAGGTATTGTTGATCTCGATCTTGCCCTGGCCACCTACAATAAATAGTCCGCCGGAGCTGCATGTGATAATTGGTCGTCAGCATACTATATATTTTTACACGAATTTTACCGAACCCTCTGGTTCAGAGACAGCATAACTCACCTTCCCTCGGGCAACGCGTTGTCCTCATCGATTGTGACCTTAGTCTCCTTGTCCGTATTGCTCTTATACTCGCTCTCGGCGTCCTTGATAGCATCCTTCAGGATGGCGTAGTCGGCCTTTCTGGCGCGGACCTGGACCTCGGGCTCGGACAGGGCGTACAGGCCCTCGAGGAGTAGGTTCTTGAGGACGGCGCGGTACTTGGCGGTGTCTTTTGTGCCCTCGTCGAGACGTTTGGAGACGACGGTGAAGATATCGTCGAGGAGCTGCTGGCGGGCGGCGAGGACCTTGAGACGGGACTTGTTGGCGACGGTGGAGCGGGTGATCTGCTGGGACATGGCGGCTTGCTTGAGGCGCTTGGCGTGGGCGGCGTCGATGGCGTCGGTTTCCTGGCGCACTAGCTTGGACTTCTCGATGCTGAATTCCTCGTTTGCCTTGATCTCGATCTCGCGCGCCTTCTCGAGGGCCTCCTGCTTGATGAAGGCCGTCATCTTGCGGAGCTCCTGTCCGACCTGTTTCGCGAGGGGACATTGTTCATTAGTATATTATTGCTATTGACTATGATCCGACTTCAACCACATTCATGTATTCTTCTACAACTTGAAACTCCGGCGTCGTATCCAGTTACTCATACTTGCGGGCGAGGAAATTATTTACCTGGTCGTCGGACAAGGCGTGGACTTGCGACATCTTGGAGGGAGTATGAGGAGGAGACTTGGTGTTCGGGGGTTGAAGAGGAGCGAGGCTGGAGAATATCTCAGCTGGACGGACGTCTGAGACCTCTATGGGATTGGAGGTATGTTCAAGTGTATCTGATGTTCAAGTAAGCTCGAGTTTGAATAAGGTTGTCTGATGGCACAATACATGTACGTAGGTTGATTGGAGATAGCGGGTCGGTCACAATAGGTATGTAGCTCTCCTGCAGCAACGTTGAATGAATGAATTGATAGAACCTTGGTCCGGTGACATATGAATGTTATGTTATGTACAATACATAAAAGCTCACCCTTGAGCTGCATAATGCATGTACATGGTACCTCTTTCAATACCTAATGGTCTTCCAGCATCCACATGTCCATCAGCCACAGCATTTTACCTCTAAAATGAACTAGTAAAGGGACTACCTGTTATGTACAATAGGTTAGGTTAGTTCTCTGTGGCTAGGTATTGTATTGTACAATACCTAAGGTATCCTTCAACTGTAAACCCGCTGTAACCCCACTGTAGCAACCGCTGTACCACGATGCAGAACCTGGGGTCTGGTGCCCCCTGCAGAATGACTTGTGATGTCTGACCAATGACCACTGGCACTTGATGCGGTCGACTGGAGGTATTTTATTCATGGATACGTTGTCGCTGCATGTATAATAAGACCAGGTTAAACCATACTGGCATTGTAGGACAGATCAAGACAAGTCAAGTCAATATTGGGAAAATTATCGAAATTATCGAAATTGTAAAGAGATCTTTAAGGTTTTGCCGTCCTTCCCCAACAGCCGCCGGATTAAATTGAATCATCACCCCCATTACCCCGTTACCTCATTACCTCATTACCTCATACCCCTTAGAATAGAGTTTGGTACTTTCCTATTTTCTACCAAAGTCTCTTTTTCGCAACATTTAATCCGTTTTTGTCTTCTACCTGAAGTCAAGTATCACACATAATATCTTGTTCGCCTCACCATATCATCGTAATCATCCCTACCGTATTATACCAATTTCCCTTTGTCCCATTTCACTGTTGAGAGAAGGAGAGAGAGATAAAGCACTAATTGCCAACTCAACAAGTGCCTAAGCAATACCCCCTGCTCTTGCACCCGGATAGCGTCGACGAGTTCACCGCATCGCCAATTTGGTCTCGAACCCTGCGACTTACATATTTAGATACGTGTCGAACGTTACATCTTACGACTAGATCCGTTGGTTTCGTCCTCTTATTAGACGCGCAGCACTTGAGTATCGATTTACGCCTATTTTGTCGCAACTACGGATTGAGCGTGACAGGTTGAAGTCCTTCGAGAGTTACAGTCCCATGGGCAACCGAGGTGTTCTTTCATCTGGCGTGTATCGCAGATGACCTAGCCTGAAACTAATCGCAATGGGGATATTTGGCAACCTCTCTCCCGAAGGCACCATCACAGTAAGTTCTGTTACCTGAGAACCTCCGTTGTGTCTTTTCCTTTTACTAATATGTTCCGCCTCCTTTGACAGATTGGTATCCTAGTCGGCTTAATATCCACGAGCGTCCAGTCTCTCGGTCTCACTCTGCAGCGAAAGTCGCATATGCTCGAAGATGAAAAGTATCCACTCGAATTTCAACGACCGGCATATCGAAGGCGAAGATGGCAGTTAGGGATGGGCATGTTCATCTTTTCCAACATAGTCGGGAGTACAATCCAGATTTCAACATTACCCTTACCAGTTCTATCGACCCTACAAGCCGCCGGATTGGTCTTCAACTCTGTATGTGCGAGTCTAATATTGGGTGAACCTTTTACGCGATGGTCTTTCTACGGTACCGCACTCGTCACCACCGGGGCAGCCTTAATAGCGATCTTCGGTGCGATACCTTCTCCAGCGCATAGTCTACCAGAGTTACTAGATCTGCTCGGTAGATGGCCTTTTATCCTTTGGATGTCACTCCAGGGTGTACTCGTCATCTCAATGGCAGTGGTTATCGATCTAGTCAATCATCTTAGCAGCCTTTCACAAAACGCCAAGTTCCGGCTAGCCCGTGGTCTCGTATTTGGATGCATCAGCGGCATCCTATCAGCTCACTCTTTACTATTCGCCAAGTCTGCTGTCGAGCTTGTTATTAGGACAATTGCAGACGGCGACAACCAATTCGTGCATTGGGAGTCGTGGATGCTCGTGTTTGGACTAGTTTCTCTGGCATTAAGCCAGTTGTATTATTTGCATCGTGGATTGAAGTTGATATCCACCTCAGTATTATACCCCCTTGTCTTTTGCATTTACAACATCATCGCTATTCTGGACGGTTTAATATACTTTCGACAGACGGATCTCATTACACCTTTACACGGCGGGCTCATTGCATTGGGCACTGCCATCCTACTCTCCGGCGTTCTAGCGTTGTCATGGCGTCTTAGTGATGAACAGCATCCGCCCGCTGTCGGACAGTCGACCCTGACACCGGGATTAGGATTAGTTGACGACACAGAAGGAGAGGAGTCGTCTCCCACGGACTCGGACTCGGTAGGCTTAGTTGAAGAAGCTGTACCGGCTACCTACAACACCTTTGCGCCAAGTATCGAGACCGCGCCCCTCACGCCAGGTCGCAAACCCTCAAGTCGTTGGCACGAGCGTTCGGAGATATGGGACGAATTGGAAGATCAGGATACACCGAGACCATCGTTCACTAAATCCCGATCGATTACTGTGCCCAGCAGCGCCATCAGCGAGAATACGCCGTTAATAGGCGATAGGAGGGTAGTATCGGGGGAATCAACAGCTTCCCTGACTGCGGCTGAGCCTAGCGGGGAATCCCCGAGAATCTTTCGGCGCCGGAGAAAGTCGACAGGATTCCCAGGTTTTACGGCGCGCAAGCATATGCGGCGGAAGAGTTCGGCAGGTGCTGGGGTTCAAGATGCCCTGGGCGGAATTTGGAAGCTGAAGTGGTGGCGCGGAAAACGCGAGAACGGCTCAGATATGGCAGTAGCTAGCTCACCAGGAGGCGAAAGTGAAAGGAGGCAGTATCAGGATGAGCCGGAGGGTGATGGCGAGAATAGGGATCCTAATCAAAGGTCACGACCGAGGAGTCCTAGAGGCGATGATGCTGTTTAATTAATTAAGAGGTCCAACAGCTAAACTATACATCCATTTAAGGTGGGACGCGCCAATGATACACATGGGCAGGATAGCCTTAGCATTTTTTTGAGACAAATAAGACTTATCAAGCGTATCGCAAGATTCAAGTTTGATAGGTATTATATGCTTCACCCTTAGTCCAGTGAATATACTTGCTTTTACAATTTATATTGACATTCCCTTCTGGTAGTGAATATTTGACTAACCTTGCTTGCTAACTTGCTAATTGATAGGAAAATATGTAGGTTAGTATGTGAATGGCATCAAGATGGTGTCAGCCCCCGCCGGGCATTTTAGTTACATTATATAAAAAGCTGTCTCATACATAGAGATATATTTAGCTCACGGTACATATGGTGCCTCACATGATGTATCAATTCCAGCCCCAAGACGCAAGGCGTGGGATAGTCACTCGCATAATTTCCGCAGGAACCAACACACTCCGGTATGTTTGTATGAGGCTTGTTGGTGATGGGTGAATTTTCGTATTCGTTTAACTTGAGGTTCGGTAAGGCAAGTGAAGGGGAACCGGGATGTCTCGCTTTACTTTACCTAGGTACCTAATGAAGAAAGCTTCAATTTTTATGAAGCGTAGATTTCACTTCACTACCTCACAACTCAATCGTAGCATATTGTTTACTAACCTAGTTGATGTTCTTAAATAATGAATATTCTGCCCCCTCCATATATTGGCACACATGAATAATCGCAACCATAGACCAGCCCATCCCCTCTCACTCTGCAGTCTCATTTTCCCCGTACTATTTTCACGTCATGTAAACCAATGCCGACATGTACATAGATCTAATATTAAGCTGACCAATAAAGCAACGTGAGGTGAGCGTAGGGCCTAGGACCTGGCAAGGCTCTTAATCCTAGTTCGGATCTCTTCTAAGCAGAATGTATCGCGTTGGAATATGGTAGGCAATCTGACAACAGGCGATAATGTAACCAATAGTTCTACTCGCGTGCGGCTCAAGATGGAATATGTGTCGATAATTGCCGCTGGGCAGTAGGTTCATATATAACCTAACGTCAGCAATTGCGATTATTCATCGATTTCTTTACCTTAGGTACCTAATCTATGTTCTAACTTATGAGGTAGTCATTCAATATTAGGATATGTATGGAATGGGATGCCGCCATGGAGTTTTATGATGGATGACCTCATCAACATAATAGTTGTCCCTTTTCTTACCCTCTAGGCTCAAAAATGTTGTGATAGTCATGACCATCCAATTGACCAGTTGAATTATCGTAAGAGTAAAGTCCTTGTGTACCAAGAGGCTCAGGTCGAGTCCATCAACGCTCAGCCGCTATAAAAACCAACGCCATCAGGCTATGTAAGTAGCGTGATGGCCCGCTCCTAGAGGAAGAAATTCAGTCCTACGGTGAAATGTGTAGGTCACGCGAGATATCTCCTTGTCCTCATCGCTGACAGTTGACTATTTCCAATACGTCGTAACTCGTCCTTAGGTAACGTAAGCCGACTACCTTCACAGAAGACTAAGCTCCGGAGACGGCAAAGTCCAGATGGTCTAGTCTCTCGGTTTACAGATCATCGATGGAAATTATCGGCAATAGAGTTCTATCGTTAATATTGATCTAGGGGAAAGGCGGGATAAGCTCACTCGCGATCTTTGTCAACAATATTTCCCCTTTTCGTCTTGGTCTCCTACCATGATTGTCGTTCAGTCAGTCAATGAGTAAGCTGGTAAGCTGGAATCTAGTCCTCGAAGAATGGGGTCGAAAGAAGAGAGCGGTACAGATCCGGCGATGCGGAAGGAGAGAAACGCATGATCAAGTGGCAAGAGGACGCTACGAGGTTATATATATATAGCTTCGTACGAGACACTCTCAGCATCTAGACTTCTGTTCACCAGCAGTTCCGTCCAGCCTCAGATCAAGAGCTACATAGAAGCCTATCCCATCCTGCCAACGTTTCCTCATCATCAATCACCAAAGATCTCATTTTAGTACCTATCTACTAAACCACCACAATGTCCCCCTTCACCAACGCCCTGCTCCTCCTCGCCGCCGCCGCGAGCCAAGCCCTCGCCTACTCGGGCGACATGACGTACTACACGCCCGGCCTTGGGGCCTGCGGGAAATACAACTCGGAAGCCGACCACATCGTGGCGCTCGCGCCCGCGCAGTACGGGCACGACGCGAACCCGAACAACGCCAAGGTGTGCGGGCGCAAGATCAACATCCACTACGGCGGCAAGACGGCCTCCGCCACTGTCGTCGACAAGTGCCCGTCCTGCGCCTCCGGCTCCATCGACGTCAGCCCCTCCGTCTTCAAGGAGCTGGCTCCCCTGGCCAAGGGCCGCGTCAAGGTCACCTGGGGGTACTCGGGCAGCAACTCTGTCCGCGTCGAGGATTTGGGCGCTGGCGAGATTAGGCTCGAGCTGGTTGATGAGGTGAATGAGGAGTATGCGAACTTTGAGGATGCTGATGAGAGCGAGTTGTGAAGATGGAAGGTTTAGAGGTCGGTGAGAAGTTAATTGGTTGTTGAGATGTGAGGTTTGGGCGAGTGGGTGTTTAGAAACGGGATTAGGAGGAGGGATATAGATTGGTGAACACTAAAACAAATATCTTTCGTTAATCCTTCATATTCGCTACTAGCTATGAGTAGAGGGGAAGGACTAGGTTGTACATAAATATATACATATACATCGATTCGCATACCTAACCGATATCTTTCCGTGAGATCCTAGTAGCAACAATTATATTGCGGTACTAAAAAGAGCCCATCGGAAGTCAATAGAGATAGCGTAATTTAATCCGTCTATAAAGGGTATACATATGCCCAACCAGATCTATGAGAGACGAGAATGTCTTTGAGCTCTAGAGTCTAATACGCAGATTATGGACCTCGAACCTACCTAACATGCTGATTTACCACGACGCCTAGTATGCTTCTATAGATAAGAGTCATTGCTGAGAACACAAAATCTCGTGACCCCTTAATAGCACATCGTTCTGGCAGTCTCTTATAACCGCTTCCTTTTCTCAGCCTGATCCTTTTTCATGTTGAGCCGTCTTATCATCTCACGATTCCGGGGGTCTAAAAGACCCACGTTTCCCTCATCGTGGAACCAATGATAATCGGGTCCTAAGCTCTTCCTGTCATCGCCCTGCATCTTGACGCGCTGGACCTTTCTAAGCCTGTTTAGACCGTACTTGCACACCCAAAGAGATATTACGATGGAAACACCCGTGACCATAGCGAAGCCCCAGTGCGTCTCTTCGATGAAGTTCTCGAGGTTCATACCGTAGAGGCCGGCGATGAACGTGCCCATGGCTAGGCCTAGTGTTCCAACGCTGAACTTTAATTCTAAGAGCATCAGAGAGTTGCGGTTTGCATCTAGAATTGCCCGGACACTATATTGCCGTTAGGTTAATATTACGGGCCTAGCTAGTTGAGTTATTCACTTACATATCTTCGGTATTTCGAATGCCTGATGTCAGGTTTTGTGCTTCCTGTACGATTTCATCACAGATTTTATGATACGACTCTAGCAGCATCTCAACTTCGGTGTGATCGTCAAGTTCTCGATGGATGTCGTGTGTTTTCTCCGTAAGATACATCGAAGCTAAATCATCATCGGCTTCGAGAAGTTCCTCGATAGCCTCACGGACAAGTTTAGCCTTTTGTACGAAAGTGCTCACTCGTTTAGAGAGTACGAGGAGGATGCGTAGCTTGTGCCGATCAATGTCATCCTCAAGCTCGCTTAATATACGGATTACCGGGTCGCGAACCGCTTCGAAATCAGCTTCTAACTCTTGAGTAACAGACTGGAGGACAGCTTCCAGAGCTCGAAATTCGTAAGGAAGACCTCCATTCCCAGGGGACGACTTCTGCTGGAGCTTTCCCTGTAGGTCATACATGAAAGCCGACTGGGGGTAAGAGGCTTTGGAGCCATATACGTCGAACAGTAAGACGCGATTGTATTTAATGAGAACTTTGAGGTGCAGAAGATTAAGCAGAATAGCAGTCGGTCGAACGAGGATGTGTGGTAGATTGGACGAGTCAATCTTTCGTAGATCACGAGGCAACAAGCCGAACTATATCGAATTAGCTAGGTACCTAGTTAACAACGATTGAATATTAATAGGATATACGAACCCTTGCAATTAGCTCGCTCTTCTTAAATTCGCCATCAACCAGTATAACACTTCCATTCTCATCAACTTCGGTACATCGTAGCATTGGTTCTAAGGCCGCTTTTTGGCTGAGCTGGCGCCTATTGTTAAACATGGAGCTACCATCAGCGCCTTCTACATCGGGTAGATCATCTGGCTCTAAAGGGTTGGAATTTTTCGCTCCAAAGCCCCAAAGTCTCTCTCGCCAAGAAGGTGGACATGGAGGAGGCGGTGGTCGGTTCGAGGAACTGTACCGAAGGCCTATATTCGAGCAGAAGTATGGGTGATTCTTTGGGCGAACTGTTCTCGAAGCTTTGTAGCACCGAGTTTGTATGAGCGCATCCAAATCTAACATGCCGGCTTGTAATGGCGCATCCCGAGAGGTCTCTACGGTAGTCCCCAATCGCAATGAGCTTCTCTGGTTCTTCCTAGCTGTGCATAGTATCCTGCGCACAGGCTGACCTAGTCTAACGGCACGGCCATGGTTGGGGCTAAAGAAGCTCAGATTTTCCGATTGTAGGCGAAGAAATCTTAGAAGCCTCAAAGACGGGACCGGCAGATGCAGCGACGCCATTGTGAGGGTCATCTAGCAGTGAAATAGAGAGGGTTACCAAAGCTGAACCGAGTATCTTGCCATTGTATTTTTATAATACTATACGTGGGATAAAAGATGAAAGAACGTATAGATGTGGGTGATTTCTAAAATTCTAAAAGTTGGAATACGCCATTCGAAGTTATCGCAGTGTAGCTTCTGAATTAGACGCGCGATAAGAATTGATATTTATCGTTAGACCCGCTTAGGCCGCTCAGACTTCGGTCCGCCTAGTATCCCGGCTGATTGGGACTGGTGGGGCTGCGTGGTAGTATCTACCTATGTACCTATGTATTACAGGTCTCTGGGATGATAATTAGTAGCGCGGCGCTAAGTGGAGAGGTTTAACCAAGTATAGCTAGCAGGTAGCTTCACATATAAATTTATATGTAAGGTACAAAATATCAATGGATAGATCAACTATTCATAGCAGTATTTTATCCAAACCTACATATAGATATTCGGGAACAATTTTTCGGTTCTAAAAAACATTAACGTTGTGTACTATTATATACAAATCTATATGTAAGGATACTTACTAGTTATGTTTGGTTAAACTACCCACTTAGCGCCGCGCTACTAATTATCATCCCAGAGACCTGTATACCTACCTTATGTAGGTAGAATTTACCCGAAGATGTCCCTCATTGTTTATGACATCCATGTACCTAGGTAGGTACTCACTATTTCACCATTTCACCATCTTCATCCTCGTCATATTACATAGGCTATCATTTTGCATCTGACTTAAGACATACCCGTGAATTTTCTAGGATTCACATTATAAATATTATCATTGATTGCCCCAAGATTTTCTCAAGTTAACCAATTAATATTCTCCACATCCCTATTAATGGAGTTAACTCCTATCAAAGTCCGCGGTAAACGCCGTCTTGGTAACGAGGCTGTCGTCGCTATACCTAAGATGAGATCTAAGGCCGTTGACAAATCAAAGCTACACAAATCTCAAAGATCTCGCGAATCAAAAGCATCATACCTCGAGAAGATACCGCTAGAAATACTCGAGCGTATTCTATGGTATAGCGAGAACGTCAACTTGCCCCGTTCTAGCCCTCTTATTGGACGCCTCCTATCCGGGCGTTCTACTCTACGCGAGACTTTCATCGTAGCCTTCCAACCTACCTGGGACGCTTGGTTTGGTTGTATCGGCTATAGACACGACTCTACCCTTCCTGCCGAAGGTAATCCCGACTTCCAGGTAAGTCCAAGCCTATCCTGTCTCCATTTATAATTTGTTAATCTCAGAAGTCCGGTCTCCTGGAATATCCATGGACCAACATCTCCTTTATTCTTGAATCCTGGGACTTTTACGTTCAAAGATTTGCGAAGTTAGAGCAATCTGAAACCAACCAGCCTTTTCACCTCCAACATATTAGGATATGGGGTGATCCGGATAACCCAGCCAACGCCATGACAAAAGACTATTCAAACATAGTAGATTCCCAAAAGGCGAGCCGCTGTTTCTTCCACGATTATGCTGCCTTCCGGACGATTGAGGAGCATATCGGATATTATCTCAGGACGTTTTACACTCAACCAATTAACCCTACTTTTCTAGAAGTACACAAGGATACTCGAATACCGGATTCCCTATTTACCTCTCCCTACAGTGATGATAAGATTCAAAAGCTGTTCTGGTTGGTTCGAGGGGGCGCTCGTTTATCTCCTGATCAGACGTGGGAACTTACCCTTCAGAGCTTCCGCGATGCGGTGCCGGAAACATTGCCTCACGTTGGCAAAGTCAATCTCACTATGATCAGGCTACTATATACCCTAGGAGCCTACCAGACTTGGCCCGAACATGTCAGTACTGATGAAGCTGATAGGATATATTCTATCCTGCGCAAATTCATTGGCGGGTCAACAGCTGAGATCGCGGCTAAGTATGAGTATATATTTCGGATGTTGTATCGAGGTTAACTTGACCCGGCTAGCCCTTATTCCTGGTTTAACGACTCTTGGATATATGGTTTGGATTTAGGTCCAGGTTAGATTTTTCAGTCCTAAACCAGAAGTCCTTAGTCCACTGGAACGCAACTGTATTAATTAGAAGGAAGCCACTGTATTTAACTACCACTAGTAAGATTGATAGTAGTTATGCTTGTCCACTTCGTATGCTCCTAGTCATAATAAGATTGATACACATAACGCAAATGCTTAGAATACAGTGAATGCTGAAGCGAACTGGGTTCCCCGTGTGCAAGATGAGTGCAAAGAAGTTCTAGCTCTTCCTCCGAACCTTCAAGACAACGATATTCCTCCATTTTCCTTTTCTCTTGTTTTCAATGATGTTCTCATGGGTACACTCGCCAATGAATCTTACACATACACATATCCTTTTTTTCCTGCTTTTCAAATATGTCTCTAACAACGCGCGAATATCAAACGATCAATATGCCACTTCTCTGTACAAACAGGCAGAGAAGTTCGAACGGCCGATCCAGGTAATTTACTCAACAGAGATTCGCCAATTGAAGATCACGGGAAGACGCGTCAGGTCCTCCTTGTCATCCTTATCAAGGCGCTCTCGGATCTTCGCCTCAAGAGGCCACCACAACTCCTCGTCGAGACCGCCGTCAAACTCCATCACCAGAGCGTGGAAGTGGCCACCGGGAAGGCGATGGACCCACTGGACATCGCGGATGCTGAAGTCTCGCATGTGGATGCCGACACGCAAGTCATCAGTGCAGATGTTATGCACATCCTCGTAGACCTTGCCCTCACCGCGATTGAACCAATCGCAGAAAGGCATGTCGAAGCAGGGGTCACCCATGACGATAGGGTCGACGCGCTCGCGGCGAAGGCCACGCTCCTGCATCTCAACCGTCACGAAGCCGAAGCCTTCATCCTGAAGGTAGCTGCGGACTTGGTCGACGATGTAAAGCCACTTGCTGCCGCGGTAGGCGGTCTTCTTGCCCCAGGGCTCGCCGGTCACCATGTTCGAGTTGGGCTCGGCCTGAATGAGGACGGTGAAAACGCTGACGGCGTGCTGGATCTCGGGGCGCGTCAGCACCAGCGAGAACTCGACCTCGAACTCAAGACCATTCATCACGTTGCCGATGATGTGGTCGATCATGGGCTTGCGTAGGGCAAACTCGTTCGTGAGATAGTCTCCGGGATAGATGGTCTTGACAGGCAAGGCGGGAGGACGCGGGGCGCCGACGCGGAGGCGCGAGAGGAGGAAGCCGCTGGCCTCGATGCTGGAATTGAAAGGCAGAGACTTATCCATCTTGATGCTGCTGTAGTAGATTGATAAGTGGATGGTTCTTGGGCTTTCAGATGAGGTCGTCCTGTGTTGGCGATAGCTTCTTGTAGAAAATACTATTTGAAAATCAGATTCTCTTGATTCAGTAGTCTTGATGATGATACCATCAAAAGGGAACTCAGGATAGATAAATACTGACTGTCTGCTAGGAATGCGAGGTTGCACAGTTTCTGGGCAATAGTCCTCGAGTCCTGATGAATGTTGTGTGCTGCAGCCAGATAATTATTTATGTCTGTTCAAGAAAGGAAAAGTTGTGCTCTAGTGGAAACCAGTTGCTGTGGTATCTACCTGTGGTTGAATGCGGCTGGTACTGGCAATCACATTAAGGGCAGGAGCTGGTGGCTACACGAAGTTGAGGCTTTTATCAAGTACCTGGCGACAGTGTCAAGGCTAAGGGGCAACAGGGATGGACTTGTGGCTGGGGCCGCGGCGACGACGACATGTTAATGGCTGTATAAAGCGGATCAATCATATAGCTAATATCTCCAGGGCGTAGCTGTCATACTGCTTGCCGTCGTGTCTATCCAAAGGCTTGATCGTTAACAGGCTATCCTATAGATAGAACGCTTCATCACTAAGACATAAAGATTCCTGTTCAAGTATATGACTACGATGTTACTGCTATGAGAACTAAAAACGGAGAAGCTGGTGACATTTTTGAGTGATCATTGCTTTCAATCTCTACAATGCACTATATGTAAAAGAAGTATAGACGGTAAGACACCGAGTGTTATTTGTGAAGTTTCTCTACATCCCTCAGGGGTAGCCTGGGTCATAAGAAGTTGAATAAGTTCGTCCCTAGCCCGTGACGGAGAAAGCATATGCTAGGCACTTGAAATAAAGCATAATTGCCTAAGTGGATGGGCAAATGTCTGATGTATGCTGCAAGGCTGTATTTTAGTATTAATGGAAGACGTCTTAAAGAAACATAAATAGACTTCATAAAGATAGGTATATAATAAGACTCAAAAGGGGCATCGACTTGAATATAAATTAGAAGATGAGTTAGCTTTAAGTAGGAATTATTTTTGTATTTTCAACAAGCTTGGATTTGGAAAGACGTAACTCTCCTTTTCTAACAATAACTAGTATATTTTGTAGATTATCATTTCATTGTTTTGAAAATAGAGAAATAGGGCACAAAGTTGCTAGCTAGTCCCAAGACGTATCTATCTGGGCTCTAACTACTGGCTGCCAGTTAACGATTCTTGATGTACTATGGTCTTTATTGTAGGCTACGAATTATAACACTTAACAGAATAATGCCTATGCCTCCATCCACTCGTTGATCCACTTACGCATCCATTTATCCCCCACAGGAGGCATGTCATGAAGCGTTTGACTTGCAGCTAGAGCGCGCTCGACCGCCATTGGTTGTGCAGGAACAGCTTCATGAGCCCATAATCCATTATGGTAAAAATCTAGTAGCTTAATAGCCGGATTTGACTTAACTGCGTTGGCCATGCCTGGGATATCTCCCTCTGAAACAACCACTGCACTTTCTTCTAGACGGTTTAACCAAGTTGACGGTTGTACAACCTCAAGTTTCTTACCAAGGCGTGTCTCAACATGCTCCAATATTACCGGTAATAGTGTATCCCACGCTACTGTATTTGGGTTGCGTAGATTGAATACGATGGCGTCGGAGCCTGCCCCCTCGGGTTTAGAAGATTTAGCAAGGTCTACCACGACGTCGGCCAGAAGATCCGAAGGCATCCAGTCGACCTCGGAGAATTGGGGTCCTAGGTCACTGGGCAAACAGCCAAGGTGTAAGGAGCTGATAACAAGACTCGGGAGCCACTCGGAGGGGTTCCATAGGCCGGGATAGCGGGCGGCACCGCCGACTTGACCCACCCGCGCAATCGTAACGGGAATACCCAAGTGCTTAGAAGCAGTATTACAGAGGTGCTCGGCTATGAATTTGCTGCTGGAGTATCCGTTGGTAGCAGGGCTATCGAGTGACTGGAGTACGGCTTCAGGGGCCGCCCCGGAATCAACTAGCCGCCCTGCTATAGCGCCTATTGACGAAATGAAAACAATACGCATCTCCCGTGGTGCCGATGCTGCCGAGAGTGCAAACAGGTTTACTAGCCCAGCCAGATGCGGTCGAAAAGCTTGTAATCCCAAGTTGAAGTTCACCGGCCAAGCATTGTGGATAACGAGTCCAACTCGAGAACGCAATTCGTTGTACGTTTCCTCGTCAACACCAAGAGAAGGATTGCTTAAATCTGCCTGTATGAAAGTTACTCGATTATCAAAATCTGCTGTTAATCCAGCCGCCGCGAAACGATAGGACTGTATGTTGCGACCGCCTCCTTGGCTACGATTGAGGCAGAATATGTGTCCAATTCCAGGTCGACCGAGTAACGCTCGCAGTGTGTATGTCCCTAGAGTACCAGTGGAGCCTGTTAAAATCACATCGACTGGCTCTGTAGGGTTTGGTGCTAGTGGCTTTGGCACTGGAATCTGCTGAACTAGTTCGCGATAGGTAGCTAGTAAAGAGCCCACGAGGTCGTGGTCATTGGGCGTACTGCTTTGGTTCAGAAGCGCTGACGTTAGTTGAGGAATGGTAGGATTTTGGTATACAGTGGATAGGCCAATTCCAGGCCGACGGAGGGCACGTCGTAATGCACGCGTGAGCTGAAGTGCCTGCAATGAATCCATACCCAGGTCAAAGAAACTAGCCGAGTCATCTATGCCTTGCCAACTTGTGACAGTAGAAACAGCGTTTCGTATAACGGACGCGATTTCACCCTCCGTTGCACCCAGAGATATTCGATCAATTTCGTCGTCGAGATCCACATCTATATCTGCATATAACTTGTCGATTTCAACTGCGTACTGAGCAATGCTGGCGGACCGTTGGATAGTACCTTTCCCAGCGCGAATTAGCGGGCGGTCTGATGCTATGAGGACCAACGCCTTTTCCACGCGCGCATGAGCTGGCGCATCCTGGTTAGCCTCTTCTATACTGGGCCAGATGCGTTCAATTAAGGCAGCTTGGTCCGCCGTACTCAGGGGTTTAACGACTGGCTCAATCAACAAGGCCGCTTGAAATCGCTGTGAACCAATTACCAAGACACCACTTAGCTCGGGATTTCTAGCGAGGACATGTTGCTCCATTGAAATTGGGTTCGTCTTTTCGCCATTTAGAAATACTATAATGTCGTCGGCACGAGCGCGCCATCGCCAAGCATCTGGCACGGACGGATGAGGTCCAAAAAGATCGCGGGTACGATACTCCTCAAGATTCTTTTGGCTTAGCATTCCAAAGGCTGTCTGTGTCTCGGAGAGGGCTTCATCGCGTCGTATGATCAACTCATAATTGTTACTCGTAACTTCTTCAAAGACTGCACCGGTACATGGATGGAAGCGAATATAACGCCAGTCCAGCGGTCCTAGTTCGGCTGGCAGCAATTGCTGTGGTATACCAACCTCAGAAGCACCCCATTGACAACGTAACCTAACCTTGGTTGCGATACGGTCTCCGATTTCTTGGGGTAGGTCACCTCCGATATAGAGAATCAGTTTAAGATGGGTTGCACAGTAATCCAGCAGTTCGGGATTCTGGGCTAGTTCAGCTATTACCGACGGTACGAGTACCGCTACATCTGCTGGTGCCTGCTTGAGGGCTTCTACAAGCCCCTGAGCGGTCACAATGGCCGTAGCTGCTGGTGCAATGATAATATTGCCGAATGGAATGGCGTTGAATAGGTATTGTGACAAACCAGCTCCCTAGAAGTGTCAGTTTGATGACAAAATAGTAAGGATTCATCTCGACGGGGTCTACTTACGTGGAACGGAGGTAATGCTGCTATTACTCTCTTGCCATGGCAGAAGCTATCGATCGAGGTCATCCCCTCAGGGGGCTCACGGCCATTAGAATTACACTCCCGTGCAAAAGTGTCATGACACCATATCAGGGGCTTCGGCAAACCGGTTGATCCAGAACTGTGACTAAAAGAAGTTATATTAAGCATTATATGTCTCCAAACGAGATGCTTTCCCAAGACGTACATTACGAGGGCCGGGTCCCAGCGGACTTGCTCGAAAGTTTTATTGAAGAAGAAGTGCGGATATGGCTTCTCCAAGAGCTCTTCTACAGTAGGAATAGAAAGCTGACGTGGTTTGACGGCTTCAAGAACAGTGGAGACGGACGGTGGCGCTGGGTCCGTCGTTACAAGAGTCCGGCACTTCAAAGAGTCGAAAAGACTACGGTGTGCTGCGGCGCTATTGCGCGGCGATGTGAGAAAAAGCTATTCATTTATCAGCGAGATATATGCTAGAAGTCTCATCTATTAGGCACTGGAAAGTTATGATTTCCAGGCCCTGTCCTCATAAGCTAAGATATTGAACAGTTATGATAACCTATAGGTCCATGAATATCGAATGAGGTTTAATAATGATTCATATGAGGCATTATAGTGTTAATAGGGGACGTGGGAGTAACTCGCATTTTGGTTTTAACTTCTAGGGGAGTCTTACTACATAACCCGATTTCATCGAGGCTAACGCGAGCGCTACAAGCCGCACGTCGTTGGGGCCGATATAAGTCAGGACTTCGTGATGAGAGCCGGGCCCAAGTTGCTCAGTAAGCCACCAAGCCAAGCCATTCACGATATTAGCCAGCTGTGAGTAGGTAACAACACGAAAGCCGGCATCATAGGAATCGGGCGCAACGGGCCACAAGCCATAGATAGCTTCGGGTTTCCGAGCCAGTCGGTCAACAATGTGAGGTAGCAAATCATTCTATCAATGATAATAGGGTCAGCAACTAGGCGGTTTATGAACTAAGAAGCCTAGATAGTCGAGGAATAACGGATATTCCATTTAAAAAATATATCATGTTCTCACTCACCTGCCACTGGGCAACACGGGCGTGATCGTTAGTCATTAGGGTTAGAAGATGCGAGATCGGATTGCAAATGAAGATTTATAGGAAGAATATACATGGGGTAGCAAGATGGGGGAGAAGTTAGGAAGAATTCAGATACAGATGTAAGCATATACCATACCATATACCATACCAAAGTAGAAACACTCTCAGACTTGACCCACCGTTTATACCAATTGTTGGTTACCAATTATCATTAATACAATGGGCATAACACACCTAGTGCTGACGAATATTTGGAGATTTACTACTCTGCCAACCGTTACCAATTATCCTATCGTATAATCGGCCAGCCATCTTTTAGAAATTCGGTCGAGTTACGTGTCGTGAAAAACTGGGTGTCCTTCAATGTCACGTCAAAGGGATGAGAGTCACGTGGATATTATATGTACATCTACCCTTGATATTGAGAAGACAGAAATGGCCGTGCGCAACCCCTATTTTATATCTAAACACACACACTTATACAAGCCACATATAGAATAAACTGGCTTAAATGTTGTTCTGCCTCCCATTTAAGTGTTAATTAAATACCTAAGTATGGTGAGTAATTGAATTCAACATAAACCTCTGCTAAATATTAGGCGCATAGGCTCAGTGAACGCACAATGGATTTTGACCATTTATTATAAGTCAAAACACCCTTACTGGGGCCACCCTAGTGGGGGCCACCCATTTCCCATACAAAATCAACAACTTCGCATGTCTATAATTAATTTAAAGAAATAGATAAAAATATAAAATCTCTTATGTTTTACTTTTCGATCATTATAATAGCTTATGTACATTTTATCATATTTAAAATCTAATGTTTTAATAGTAAAACAGTAAAGTGTATTTTTAATGTTATTTTAAAAATTTAAAAAATTTTAATTTTATATGGGAATTTCATCAAATTACCATAAAACCTTATAAACGCTTATAACTTCTCAGATAAATAAGTTATATAACTCGCCCTAAATTTAAAAGTTGTATTAAAATGTCCCTTATTTAACGATATAGATTTTACATTTATATCATATTAATTGGTAAAGTTATAAGCAATAATATCCCTTAACAGCTTTACATATAAATTTGTATGTATAACTGTTAGTGTATACTCTTGTATTCATTTCACCACAGGTATTAGCCCTGACATTTTTTTCAATTTTTATATATAATAAAAATATAATACCCTATTCAAAATCAAAGACCGTATATTTTTATCTATTTTCTTGAATTAAATACAAATATGCGAAATCGTTGATTTTGTATGGGAAATGGGTGGCCCCCACTAGGGTGGCCCCAGTAAGGGTGGTTTGACTTATTACTTGATTTACTCTTTGTTTATAATGATATATGATGTTCAGCCAGATAATTAATACTTATCAATGCAAACTTTTAATTCGCGTATAGAATCATGATGAATATGAATAAATATAATGGAAATTCAAAGGGTTGAGCCAAATATTACATTTGTATAGCATCGTAAGTATGCTGTATATTCAACCCCTTGAAATTGGCTCTAGCTGTGTTGCAAGGCACAGACTTAGTAGAAATAGGTTTTAAGTGTACAACTCTTACTTATACACGATAACATATATCAAAGACCCTTTTACCCCTATATTAACAACTTCTATGAATTGATTAGAGGATTACTTCGCCAGTCAATTGATTTAATAGGAGTATAAACCTGATCAACATGGGCGACCATAGCACACCTAAGCACCATAAGAGCTCATCCACTAGCTGGAAGAAAGCAGAAAAAATAAGCTGCTTTATTCTCGTCTATATGTCCGCAATCTTGGTGGGATGTTTGATTGTAATAATCTTCCAAGTTCAAAGTCTTCAAAAAAATACTGTTCTTCCACGAGGCTGATTGCAATACGGTTCTTGTTTCGAAGATAAACACAGTCCTCCACTTACTCATCAATATCGTGTTAACCTTAATGGTAAGTTTTGTCACTAAGATGCTGTTTTGCCACTACTCGCCCCCCCTGGTGTGATTTATAGTAACCGTTGTTCTCTTAGCAAGCAAAACCTGTTTAGTCTACTCTACCAATAGGCAACTCTTCATGCAAATTTTAGATTTCCCATTAAGAAAAAAAGTCAACGTAACTCATTCTAAGGGCTGGTAGTTGGGGATTGGTATACCTTCCGTTCGAAATATCCTCCACGTCTCTCTGAGTTTAAAACGATTTTCTGGGTTATTCTACTTGCCAATTCCATCCCAATTCACGTTTTATGGCCCTGCTACTGCAAGGTAAATATCCTCCACAGCTAAAAATGCGCACAGGTGGAAACGACTCAAAAACAGAGAATGCAAACAAGAATATATTAACTACCTACGTAGGCCTAACGTGCTACCAAAACCTAATATTAATTACAGCCAAGCCTGGCGGCTGGATCTGAGACCGTACGTGGAAAAGTACTGCATTAAAATTCCCCTTTATACCTCTCATTTACTCAACATGTATAAAATAATATTGCATGTATCCAATAACTAACATATAACATCCCTTTGGTCTAAACCTTGCTTCATTAACTACCAAAGGCACTAGTAGATTTATATCTTAAAAGTCTTTGTTTTTACTTTCTCTGCTTCGGCAAACACCATCTCATGACGATCTGACGATCTGAATTCAAACCTGACCTTGAAAGGCAGACACTCATTGATCGCCCCCTGGTGATATCCAGTGCGCGGGTCAACATCTACCGGTATAGGATTACCCCCTGTATCTAAGTCCATATGTATAGTGTAAGCCCAAAGTACCTTTGCGACGAATAAAAACAGAATTCGCTCGGCCAGGTGGATTCCAGGACATAAGCGGCGTCCAGCCCCATAAGCAAAGTGGTCTCTGTCTCTGTGGTCGTGACAATTTGCATACGCCGACGCTAAACGGGTTTGCCATTGAAAGCGGGAGGGAGCAAACTTCTCAGGATATTGATAGCGAACGGGGTCGTGATGGATATCCCAGATATTAAGGATTACCATAGAACCTTTAGGGATCATCATACCATCAATCGTGTCATCTATAACCATCTTTAGAGCGTGATCCTTATATCACTTTCCGGTAATCATCGCCTACCTTTGCTTGATGCGTGCGGAAAACCACTAGACGTAGGTGGCCGCCACCTGAGTACTTCTTTTATGATCATGGCGACTCGGGGAAGGAGATTGTAGTCTTTCCAACTGGGCATCCGACCATCACCCACGACTAAGTCGATCTGCTGCTGGGCCTCTTTTTGAACACTTGGGTGATTAGCCATGGCTTGAAAGAAAGTCAAAATAAATGTGGATATAGTGTCAGTCCCTCCCTCGATCAGATTACCGCACATGACGTCGAGCTCGTTCCTGGTTAAATTCAAATTTTCTTGTTGATCAAGGACCGCGTCCAGGAAGCTTGTTTGGAGCGCCGTATGTTGTTTGCGTCGTTCAATGACTCTCTCAACAAGTGGGTGGTAGAGACCAAGCATCCTTTCTCGCATCTGCTTTGCTTGAGTTTTCCAGTTACCCCAAAGTCGCTCTGGTAAGAATTTCAGGAACGGGAGCAAGTCGATGGGCGGTGTTGCTCCGATATCACCCAAGGAGGCTAGTTCCGTCATTATCTGGCGCAGTTCGTCAAAATGATTGGTGTCGTGTCTGGGCGTGCGAATTCCAAAGACTGGAAGATATGGTTCGATTAGCATGTTTCTCCCGTTAGCTATTTAAAACCCATACTGACCCAAGGACATGATGATGCTGTTGCTCAAACGTCCCGGATGATGCATCAAGGCGCTCGGCTCCACGAATAAATCCTTCAGTGTTTGCGCAATCTCGGCTTCGATCATGGAACTATGGTCGTTGTCGCATCTGTATGGATTCATAAGCTGGTAATACAGCTTGCGCCGTAATTTCCACCGCCCGTCTGCATTCATAAGCATCGTGTGATCTCCGTTGAATATCAACTTATCCAGGACATATAGCGGTGGTCTGTTGCTATAGTATGCTGATCGCTTAGTAAAGAGCTCGTTGGCAAGGTACGATGAGTTTAAAACAATAATGTTTCCGTGGAAAGCTTTGAGAGAGAAGATTGGGCCGTATTCTTTTGCCCATTGAGAAAATCTGTCACTCTCTGAGCTCAATGATCCTACAGTATTTCTTGGACAGGGAAGACGAACTTGAATTTCATACCCAGTCTGGGTAGACTGTGGATATTGCCGATGAATGGTAGTGCTAAGGGTCCTTTTCTAAGTCAGTTTCGTGCTTGCTATGAGGTTAGCTACGCGAAGTGGCTTACCTGGAGGCAGATGCTCCCCGCGCAATCCCGGAAAGGAAATGAAGCCGCTGCCTGTAGCGATTGCTAATACTACAGCCAGAACGAATATGATAACTAAGGCCATGATACATGTGATATCCGACACTATAAATCTTTTCCTTGATAAAGTATAGCAAGCCGCGCGGTACGTTTTGAGTACCACAAACCAAAAGAGGCTCAGGAGGACGGCTAATGAAGAAAATGAAAATGATATAAGTCGCTACAGTTGTCCTCAACGAGTTCGATGAGCCGATTCAGGTCCAATATATTAACTTATATTATCTTATGAGGCTTATCTGGCTACATCGTCGACCTGACCTGGGAGCGTTTATAAAGCCACAGGCCAATGCACCAATCATATTACATCAAAAATAGTGTATACGTAAACCCTCAAGGTATGTAATTGTTACACCAACAAAAATATTTACGATCTACCCAAGCCGGGTCAGGTTAGGTCAAGCTATTAGCTGACTCATCGAACTCGCTGGTTGTCCTGGACTATAAGTTCTTCGTCAACGTACTATCAGAGGGTATCAAAACGGTGTAATGCTAGAGGGCAGCCAGATGGAGTCTGGTTAAAGTGTCAATCTGCAGGATGGGCAGAGGAGAAATTATCATGATAGTATCCCCGTGGCGATCATGCTACGTCATAACATCCTTTCACTATTATTCAATTCCTGGGTTTATCATGCGAGCAAGGAGGATCGGGTAACCAGTTGCAGTCTTACCTGCAGCCAACTTGGGCCCCTATGTCACATCCTCGCAGGGCCTTGTTTCGGCATTAGACATTATCAGTCACATCACTTTCAAGTTGTGTAAGACAAGATACAATAAATTTAATAATTGTTTACGTATTGAGGTTAAACGATGGATAGGTACCTACCTAAGGTATGGAGGGATTGGGAGGTCGGCCCATGTGCCCATGTATTTAAAATTAGTTTCATTGAAATCCGGCATCCATCGGTCTCTTCTCTCCTTTCCCTACCTAATTTATCAAACAGCATAGCAATCGACGATGAATATCAACGGACATGCACTAATTGTCGGTGGGGGTACGTAGTATTTGTTGCCTCTCTTCTGCGTTATCTCTGAACCAGAAGGGTAATAATAGACTCTAGGAAGTGGAATTGGAGAGGCGTGCTCTCTTGCATTCGCACAAGAAGGCGCTGCTGGAATCGTGGTCGCAGACATCAACCTCGAAGCTGCAGAGAGGGTCGTTAAAGAGATCAGCGCCTCAGCTTTAACTGCCAACTTCAAAGCAAAGGCAGTTGAGGTCGATGTAACATCAGAAGACTCGGTGAAGCGTGCAATCGAAGAAACAGTTGCCTTCTTTGGACGTATTGACTATTGTGTCAATTCTGCCGGTGTAGGTTGAGCCCTCAGAGCTGTTTAGAAAACACGGTCCTGATGTGACTGCAGATCGGCGTCCAAGCCGCAAAGGGAATTTACGAGGCGGACGTCTCTGAATTCGAACGCTTCATGCGCGTTAACGCTACAGGCACCTTCCTAGTGACCCGCTACGTTTCCGCAGCGATGAAGTCTCAAGAGCTCACTGCTGTCTCTGCTCGAACCCCAGGCAAACGCGGATCTACTAGGGGGTCGATCGTAAACATCGGTTCTCTCGCTTCGTACATATCGCAGCCTCACATGGTTCAGTATACAGCCTCTAAACATGCAGTTTTAGGCGTGACTAAAAACGCCGGTAAGCACAAGCCTGCATGCAGTAAGTGAATCTTGCAACTTACTTTATTTCTTCAAGCAATTGACAACGCGGTACATGCCATACGCGTGAATTGTTTATGCCCGTCATGGGTAGATACTCCGATGGTGCAGCAGGCTATGGACAGCGTGCCTGGGCTGAAGCAGATGGTCGAGCGAGTGATACCGATTGGGCGGATAGCGTGTCCAGAAGAAGTGGCCGATGCAGTGATCTTCTTGTGTAGCCCCAGGTCGAGCTACATCACCGGCAGCAGCTTCTTTGTGGATGGCGGTACTTCTTTAGCTGGCAAGGTTTAGCGCCCGCCTTTTCAGGTGCTATTATAGTGAAGGGTTGTAATCCGTGTGTAGTAAGATTGATGACCTGCAGCGATCTGATAGGGGCATGGGCTAGTCTAGGCCGAGGCTGTCTCTGCCGCCCTTATTGTCAATACGATGTACTGTACTTTGCACGCTACATCTATGCCCAACCTGCCCCAATGTTAGGTACATTGGGTATGTGCCCCCTTATCAATCCGATGTCCGGTTGCACACAGGAGGATTCGATGAACTAGCGGATCCCGAGTCCAACATTTCCGGACATTTCATCATAACCACAGCCTTACTTAGAAATACCAAAGCCCAGCATGGAGAGGTCATCAAGCTGAGGGTCAAATACAGAAAGGCAGTGTGTCAGAGTGTGTCAGAGCGTATCTATCAGCAACCATATAGTGAACAGATAGGGGTAGCAACATATCAATCATTCTTGCCGTTAGTTTCTGTCTCTGCATTGAGCATATTACTTTATCGACTTTGTTTTGACATGGAGTCTCAGGCATCAGAGACTCATGACCTTACCGGCGCGGGTTATGTCGTTAATGGCTTCCCAGCGCCTGGGTTGCCCCGGACTGTACGCCACATCACCGGGTTCAACCCAGACGGCCAGTCGGTGTTTCTAAGCACTGATTCAGGAGACCACCACAGAATCATGGGCGAGCGACAAGCCGTCGCGAACATCATATATTCGACTGCGGAAACACCTGTTGACCTAAATGATAGCGCTGACGTGAAGCATGCCAAAGAGAATGAGGTTTGCTGTCTTTCCAAATCCTAGCTATGTGCTAAATTAATGAGTTCTCAGCCTCCGCTACACTATACAAATGGTACCGTGGCCCGCATGATAGACTTTGCCCCGGGTGTGGTGTCTCCTATGCATCGTGCGGCGTCCCTGGACTATGGTGTTGTCTTGGAGGGTGTGTTCGAGTTGACGCTTGACTCTGGCGAGACACGAATCATGAGGAGAGGTGATATCAGTGTGCAGAGGGCTGCGGCGCACCAGTGGCGCAATATCACGGGCAATGGTACTATGCCTGGTCGTATGCTGTATATTCTGCTTGATTGCAAGGATATGTATGTTGAGGGCAAGAAGGTCGAGGGCTATCTTGGCTTGTTGGGGCAGTATTACAAAGGACACGAAAAATAACGGCCCATGAATCAAATTCTACTGCTTGAAGGATATATAGAAGAGTAACGTCTGAGGAACATTCGACGGTGTACTTGGTGTCAGCTCTTACCCTTCCTCGCTCTGATCTTCCCAAGATTGAACATATGCCAAAATATGTAGTCCTGCAGCCATGTTAGAATATGAAGAATCTGAGAGCGAAATTGTTCGTTATATATACCCAAACCGTACGCCATCCGATAATATCAAATAGGCGGACCAACGATGTTGTCTTCCCGTACCAGAACCACGCTGGTGCGGATCGGTTCAGACTTTGTGCAACTACCTTCTCGGCATAACTGAAGCGGTTTGTGGTAACTAGAACATTGAGCTTATTCATACTTAACGATACCTAATTAGAAGGACGCACCTGGAGTTCGTCGCACATGCTGTCGAAATTCGTGGGCTAAAGGAGAGTAGTAAGATCCTTCTCGCAATTATAAGCTAGCGAGCAACGAAGAGGCCAGGATTAACATGTAATACGAACCTTCGGGCAGCTCTCTGTCGAAATCATTCTTCAAGATATTCGTGCCAATCTCACCGCTGATGACCTATTATTGTGAGATTTTCGCAGTGGGAACAAGTAATTTATGAGAAAGCGTACTGTTAAAACTTTAACGCTATGAGTTCCCGGTCAATATCTGAGATCGAGGCCCATCTGCCATCTAATATGTTATTACTTACCCAAGAGGAGCCATCTCAACACGAAGAGTGTTTGACCAGTGATGAAGAGCCGCCTTGGACGCATTGTAGGATGCTACTTGCTATATTAGAAAACTTTCCATAACTCCATAAGTAGCGTTTCCTCACATCCATAAACGTATGGCACAATACCTCCAACAGATCCAATGTTGACGATAGTCCCAGATGACTGGATGAGCATGTCATGAAAGTGGTGTACCAGTCGCATAGGCCCAAACACGTTGACATTGAACATATACTCCACCTCAGAAACGTCGGTATCGATGGCAGTCATAGTAAAAGCTGATGGTACACTTAGATTGAAGGTCTGTATTGCGATTGTAGATCTCACCTATTCCACTATTGATACACCAATATCATTTAGGACTAAGTACTTGAGACCCATTCTGCTACTAGGGGGATTTCTTACGCATTGTTTACTAGTATGTCCAGATTACCATCTGTGACTGCATGTACATGCTTCTTCAACTCCATCACGGAGTCCTCCTTGGTCACGTCAAGAGGGAAATGGAGGATCCCAGCCTGGTCAAGATGTTCGCTCGGCTCGTTAGGCAGCAGAGTGGCGATAGGCCGGACGTTCTGTTTCGCAAACTCCCTGACGAGCGCTTCTCCTATGCCTCCTTGCCCGCATCTGACAAAAGTAGGTAAGTGACTGGTCAGACCAATGAAGATCTCTCCTAATGTGACCTTACCCAGTAACCAGGGAGAAGCGTGCCCTTCCTGCCATTTCAAAAGCAACTGGCTATTAACGCGAATGCTTCGGTGAAGGATAGTAATGATTATCTACGTAGTGCAAAGGGGAAAGTCAAGCTGGATGGAATCTCCCCCACGTTTCTGACTATTAGAGGACAAGATTGGTGATTCCAGGGCAGCCAACCACATAGGTAATTCTAAGAAAAGGCGGAGATAAGAAGGATATTTTCTAATGCATATCACACGAGGATCACTGTACACTCACATTTCTTTTAGTATATGCTGTGTATCCACCATCCTAGCTATTACCACTAGACAGGTAGCTCCGATTGCACCGTCAGATGTATCCCAATGCGGGAGCTGAGCCGGGAAACCATTTGACTAGATTAAACGAAGGAATGGCCCCCAATATATATCGGAAACTTAGACCTAAGTGCACGACATAATCCTTCCGCGATGTCTCAACAATTGGCTTATGCAATTAATCCAAAAGTTTCTACCGGATTTCGGATGTTGATACCTAGGTAGATACTTATTTGAACGAACTTGGCTTTGGCCTCGACATAAGCGAAGCTGTGTAGACCGGGCGGAATAGTGCCGCAGTAGCTGCGCATATGGGCACAACCTGCTCTAGATGCGGGTGAGCCACGGACGTGGGGGAAACTACCATTGCCCCCTTTTACTGATCCTTTTGATAATAAACGTTGTCCACATTCGTCTGTCGGCAGCGGTATAATAATATATAATATGAAATTGAACAGCATGAACAAACTGCCACGATGTCTGAACAAGCAACTACGCAGGCCAACTACAGTATTCTCCCCACTCCCGATGAAGTGACTAGTAGATCCAAGTCAAACATGGACGAGAATCCCGTATGCATTGTTGGAATAGGTATAGAACCTCAATCACTGCGCCATGTAGTACTCTTACTAAAGTCCACCGTGCTCAGGTTGCCATCTTCCAGGGGGCATTCGATCGCCTTCTGATCTCTGGAACTTCCTCGCCAAGAAGCAGAGTGCTCAATCGGTTGTTCCAAGCAACCGCTTCAATGTAAAAGGTTTCTATCATTCAGATGGCAACAGAGCCGGGGCGATGAATGCAGATGGAGGTTATTTCATCCAAGAAGATATCCGCCTCTTCGAGAACACCTTTTTTGGCATTAACAATATGGAGGCGGCTTATAGTAAGTCGTGTCACACAGCGGTGTGATATTCAATCCTTCAGGACGAGTCTCCTTGCTCGCTTATTATATATGAAATGTAGAAGTGAATGGCTGACCGAAGAACAATCAAGTGGATCCTCAGCAACGAAAGCTCCTTGAGGTGGTGTTTGAGTGCCTTGAGAACTCTGGGGAAACACTCCAAGGGATCTCCGGTACTAATACTGGGGTGTACGTGGGCAGCTTCACAGTGGACCACCAGACCATGCAAGCGCGAGATCCAGATACTATCCACAGATATAGCGCAACGGGAGGTGGCACAACGATTCTAGCGAATCGAATCAGTCACGTATTCAATCTCCAGGGGCCAAGGTACGTCCTGTGATCAAGCAACATATGCGTGTACCGGTGCCTGACTAAATAAATACTCAGCTTTACCTTGGACACGGCATGTTCATCTTCGCTATACTGTCTAGATAGTGCCGTCAACGCCCTCAAGCGTGGTGACTGTGACGGTGCCATTGTCGCGGCCGCGAACTTGATCGCCGCTCCAGAACAATGCCTTGCGACCATGAAGGCGGGCGTTTTGTCGCCTACCTCTACGTGTCACACGTTTGATGCTTCAGCCGATGGCTATGGACGGGCTGATGGTGTAAATGCCATCTATTTAAAGCGTCTGTCTTCGGCGATGAGAGATAAAAATAAGATCTGGGCGGTCGTCCGTGCGACTGCTGTAAACTCGTGAGTTTGACAGGTCCGTAAAGTATACGCGAACATCTTACTTAACGTGTCACTTTAGAAATGGCAGGACTCCTGGTATTACTCAACCAAGTGCCAAGTTACAGGAGGCCGTGATTAGGAAAGCCTACAGCAGCGCTGGCTTACTATTCGCGGATACGGATTACGTTGAGTGCCACGGCACTGGGACTCCCGTCGGAGATCCCATCGAAGTAGACGCAATCGCACGTTGTTTCTCACAATCCCGAGAATCGCCTCTGCTTATTGGGGCCGTAAGTTCCCCCTTTAAGACATGACAGTATAGGGTTGAAGTCGCCCTATTACTTGGCTGGTGAATCTGGGGCCTGTGTGGTTTACTCCATTGGTGTACCATACTGCCATACTGACATTGCATTAGGTGAAAACAAATCTAGGTTTGCGCCCTGGAACAGCCATGGCAAAGCTACTAGGGCCAGTGACTGATAACATTGCTTAGGACACAGCGAAGCAGCCAGTGGACTCACCTCGCTTATCAAAGTCGTCTTGGCTTTTGAGCATGGCAGGATCCCACCTACGCGTAATGCAGTGAGACTGAATCCCAATTGTAAGTGCTTCCCGTATTCACGACGATTGGCTGAATACTTACACAAATAGTGCGGCTTGAATCTTCGAACATGAGAATAGTGACAGAGGTGGAAGAATGGCCTAGAGCCACACGTAGGGCAAGTATCAACTCCTTTGGCTATGGAGGTGAGCTATAGGCACCTTGTAAACGGGGAGAAGAAGCTTACTCGGAAAAGGCGCAAATGCACATGCTATTCTCGAGGCATTTGACACTCATTTTACAGTTCCTCATTGTCTACCAGAAAAGGATAACTATGCGACAGTTGCTAGTCAACAGTTTATCATACCTGTCTCAGCTTCCTCGGGGAAATCGCTTGAGTCCCGTATCCAGCAGATATCTGATGTGATTCGAAACTGTGGCTGGAACACACTACAAAGCATCGCATATACTCTCAGCATGCGTAGATCCAAGCTAAAATATAGGCAGCTATTATTAATAAAGCCTGGCGACGACGGGAGACCCAACCTGTCGGGTGTCAAGTCGGCAAACTATACCGATGGAATTGCTGATGGAAGTGCTCAAGACCATTTGCCTTACGCCTTCGTATTCACGGGTCAAGGGGCTCACTATGCTGGTATGGCTAGAGAGCTTCTTGAGCGGAGTGATGATTTTCTGGCCACTATTCGGGAACTAGATCGCACTCTACAGGCCTTTGCATCAGACAAGGCACCGACCTGGTGTATAGAACAAACTATCGCTGAACACGCAGCGACGAGTCCAACCCACAGCGCTACACTTAGCCAGACAGTCTGTACCGCTATACAGATCGCTATCGTCAATATACTTCACGGCTGGAATATCAATCCTGTTGCCGTTATCGGCCATTCATCTGGAGAGATTGCTGCTGCTTATGGTGCAGGCCTGATTAGCCAGAGTCAGGCTATACTGACGGCATACTTCAGAGGCTACGCAGTTGATCAGCTGCACACGAAGGGACTAATGATGGCTGTTGGTATCGATATTAAGACCGCCCATAATCTTATCGAGCAGAATGGTCTCAACGATCATGTCTGCGTCGCATGTGTTAACGCGCCAGAGAGTTTAACACTCAGTGGAACAACCGAAGGAATCAAGCTTCTACAGCAGCATATACAGGAGCAGAACAAGTTCTGCCGGATACTGCTAACTGACGGGATTGCCTATCATTCTCATATGATAGTAGAAGTTGGTGAAGCCTACGAGAAGGCGTTGCGTCCGATATATAAGGTTCACCAAAATAGCGGCTCGACTCAAGCGATAGTTCGGATGTGTTCCTCGGTAGGGAATCTCGGCGACGCATTGATGACACCAGATACTAGCACAGACTGGGCTAGATATTGGCGAGAAAACCTCGAAAAGCCAGTCCAATTTGACTCTGCCTTGAGAAGCCTAGTAGCTTCTACGGATCTCCAGTTCATAGAAGTCGGCCCGCATCCGGCTTTGAAAGGACCGGTGAATCAAATCCGAGCAAGCATGATGGTCAATGCTGATCGTTTCCGTTATGCCCCGACCTTGGTCCGCGATCGAGACGCGGACTTATGCATGAAGGAATTGGCTGGTACGCTGTTCATGCATGGACACGATCTCAACTGGGAGAAAGTCAACTTTATCGACCCAAGCAACCAAGTTCCCCTCCACAATCTTCCTCCCTATCCCTGGGACTACAGCAGCACAAAGCTGCTCTATCACGAGTCTCGTTCGAGTCACGAACTACGCAATCGCAAACATGTGCGCCACGAACTGTTGGGATCGCAGCAGCACGCTGGTAATGGTATTGACTGGAACTGGCGCAATCATAGCGTGCGTCTCAAAGAGATGCCCTGGATGCGAGACCATACAGTTAGTGGCCAGGTAGTTTTCCCAGCCGCTGGCTATCTTGCCATGATCATGGAAGGACTCAATCAGATCCAAGACGACAAAGAGCCGCCATTTCCACCCCTTTCCGCCTTCGAGTTCCGCAGTGTAAGTTTCAACACTGCGCTTATAATCGATGATCAGGACGGCCTCTTGGCGGAAGATACCGAACTGCACACTACCCTATCGCCACGAAAAATCTCTACGACGAGTACTTCTTCCTGTTGGTATGACTTTTCCATCTCGTCGTACAAGACCGGTAAATCAACCGTCCACTGCGTTGGCAGTGTTCGGGAAATAGATGGCTCGGGGCTTCATCAAAGCGTCACCATTACCCAAGCAGAACGATTCGAGAGAGTTCCCACAGACCACTGGTACGATAAATTCGCGCTGGAAGGCCTGGACTTTGGTAAAGCCTTCCGTTCAGTTCCCTTCCTTGATAAAGATAAGAACAGAGAGCGAACAGAGGCCGTAGGTATCATTCGCATGAGACCTCTGGCTTCCGAAAGCGAAGGCACATTCTACCCCGTTCATCCCATTACCATCGACGCATGTCTGCAAGCAGGTATCATGAGCACATGTGCAGGTAATGTGAACGAGCTTCAGGCATATCTTCCGGTATTCATCAAGGAATGTCGAATTGATACCTCGTCTCTCCCCGAGTCCGTGGACTTGGACGCCAAAGTTCATGCGCAGTCTAGAAGGACTGGTGTATCCACTCAGAGGATATCCTGCACCCTTCGAGACTCGACAAATAAAGCGGTGATTCACATGAGAGATGTACGGATGTCTTTGTATTTGGGAAATATCTCCAGGGACTCTGCAAACCCGGGAGAAAGTCCAGACGGTCAACGCCACCCATGCCTATATGTCAACTGGAAACCCGATATTCAATGTCTGCAGCCTGGGTCTGAGGCTCCATTGCGGGACTATATTGCCTCTTTTATTGAACAACAGGATGCAGACCTTGTCGATGACGAGAACGTCGCGGCGATCGGCTCATTGCTCGACCTCGCTGGTCATAAGAAGCCACGGATGCGCGTTCTCGAGCTCGGAGACAGCTGTAACTGTAAATCCAGCCGGTGGTCGACGTTTCTGGATAGAAATACTCCATTCCCACGCTGCGGGATGTGGCGGACTGCTCGCATTATGGACGACGGAAAATTATCAGTCGACGATGAGGATGATGGCCCATTTGATGTAATCATTATCACGGGGGTGAGTGATTGTCGCCCTGACAATTTTAGCAAGCATACTTACATCGTCTATAGCTGAGAACTTCGGAAAAGTGCTGGAGATCCTGTTCCAAGTCAATCATGTCTGTTCTTGCTAGTGATGGTATTATCATAACTCGTCAGACACGTGCAGCTCAGGCGTCTTTGGAAGCGGCAGGCTTGTGGCTGGCTGAAGTTGACAAAAGGACCCTTTTATCTAGACGCTTATCCGATCCTGAAGTTCTCAGAAACAAGACATTTTTCATTCTGGTATGTCTTGTTACCCATAGTTAACCCTTGGAAACTAAAACCCCGTTATCTTACGTTATGCCTAGGTTCATGACCCTTCTGCGACTCTCTCAGAGTTCGCATCATTCTTATCGGTGCGGCTTGAACAAACAATTGATGATTCTGAGGTAAAGATAATTTCAATTTGCAATGTCCAACAGACAGCGTGCTCCAAAAACTCAGTGTTCATCTCGTTGCTTGAAATGGAGATTCCCTATCTGGCAACCATGGGCCAACCAGAGATAGACCTCCTTCGCAACATCAGCAACGCAACAACTCATCTCCTCTGGGTCACCGGCGCCGGCATGCTAAGTGAAGTAAACTCTAAGCCTGACCTGACTCTTTCCAGTGGACTATCACGGGCTTTAATGCTGGAACAACCCTCATTGCGCTTCGCGGTCCTAGACGTCGGGTCCGAAGCCTTCCAAGCACCTACTATACAACTGACGTGCAACAACATTATTCGTACCCTGATTCCTGCGGACGAGTTAGATGATAAGGAGTATGCCCAACTGCATGGTATGCTTTACACCAGTCGTTTTGGTCCTGCGTCCAACCTCAATTTTCTGTTTCAAAACCGGATCCAGTCGAAAGACCGCTTCGAGAGCATCCCACTCGACGAAGCGAAACCAGCTCGGCTATCTATTGGGAAAGTAGGTGTCATGGATACTATCCATTTCCAACAAGTAAGGGAGCCAACAAGCGACCCACCCTACGGCTTCGCAGATATTGAGATGCAAGTCATGAGTTTGAACGCCAAGGATGTGTACGCCCTAAACGGACGGGTCGAGACTCAGAAGGGGACTACTGCCATGGAATTCGGTGGAGTAGTCACCGCGGTAGGCCCCGGAGTTCCAGATACTCAGTTGAAGATCGGCGATAGAGTCGTCGTCGTCATCCCGAACCATTTCACCACGACGGTACGGGTGCCTGTCTGGGCGGCCCATCGGATTCATTCGGATGAGGACCTGACTATCATGTCGGGCCTTCCTATAGCTTACAGTACTGCACTATATGCGTTGAATGATCGCGCCAATCTTCGGTCTGGCGAGTCAATCATGATCCATTCTGGAACAGGTGCGCTTGGCATAGCAGCTATTGTCATTGCCCAACGCATCGGCGCCACTGTTTACACCACCGTCGGCTCGTCTGCGAAGAGAGACTGGATTATCAACAATCTGGGCTTACCAACTTCAAATATCTTTAGTTCCCGCGATGCTAACGATTTCGTTGCGGGCGTGAGAAAAGTAACACGAGGGCGTGGAGTTGACGTAGTTCTTAATTCTCTTACAGGCGACCTTATGCACGACAGCTGGGACTGTCTGGCTCAGTTCGGCCGCTTTATCGAAGTTGGCAAGCGGGAGCTAGTTGATGCCGGCAAATTAGATATGTCCGTCTTCCTAAGGAACGCGACTTTCACTGCCTTCGATCTGAGCGAGTTGTATTTCCAAAAGGACCAGTTCTATCGCGAGCTACTCGTCACGTAAGCAGCAAGAGTTCAGAGAGGTGATTTTTGGCTTTCAACTAACGAGGTCGTTGACTTGTGTAGTAAAATAAGGGAGGTGCTTGACTTGTTCCGCGCGAAGGAGATCAAGCCACTTCCCACCAAATGCTTCGATGTATCGGAGATCACTAATGCCTATCGCTACTTTTCGAAACGAGATAGGGTGGGTAAAGTGGTCATTTCATTACAGGATCCAGGGAGTTCCATTGCAGTAGGTCGTCTTTTCCCTAAACCATACCTACAGGACTAACTGAAACTAGGTATCACCAGCGAAGTATCTCACCATTCTTTACCCAGGAAAAGTCTATCTTCTCGTAGGATGCCTAGGCGGTCTCGGCCGTAGCTTAAGTAGTTGGTTGCTATCCCGCGGCGCACGCAACTTTGTATTTCTTGGTAGATCGGGCGACGACAGACCAGCCGCGAAGGCGCTCATATCCCAGCTTCAGGAAGCCGGAGCCAACGTCAGCACCGTGCGTGGAGACGTGTGTTTCTCCGACGACGTGGGCCAGGCCATACAGTGCTGCATTGATACGGGCTTGCCAATTGGCGGCGTCATACAAGCGTCGATGGGCCTTTCCGAAAGCCTGTTCTCGCACATGAGCGGCGAAGCCTGGCAAAAGGCCGTCCGGCCGAAATGGGCAGGAACACGGAATTTGGATACTGCCATCCGCGGCGTCGACGATCAACTCGATTTCTTCCTGCTCATGTCATCAATATCAGGGACCGTGGGCACGGCAACAGAGAGCAATTATTGCGCGGCGAACAGCTTTCTCGATGCGTTCGCGCGCAAGGGCCGGCGAGAAGGGCGCCCGAACATCTCGCTCGGGTTGGGCATGGTGTCCGAAGTAGGATATTTGCACGAGAACCCCGAGATCGAGGCGCTGTTGCTACGTAGAGGGATTCAACCACTCAATGAAGAGGAGTTCTTGCAGATGGTGGACTTTTCTCTAATGTCGGCTAAAAGCATGTCTATCCCTTCCACCTCTTTCCCTTCATCGTCTTCTTCGCATATCCTGACTGGTCTCGAACCTCTCAGACTTCAGCAGTTGAGAAGCCAAGGTTTCGACATCGTCCACGGCGCCACTCAGGATCCGCGTTCATCCATATTATCTGCAGCCCTTGAAGCCGACAAGCAAACCAACGGCAGTGCGACCGAACAAGTCCAAAATATGGCCGTAGCTCCGTGGCTGGCGAATGTCCCATCAGGCGCTCTGGCAGCGCTTAAGAAACAGGCCGATGCTCCCACTCTAGAAGTAGCTATTCTACGACTAGCCAAGAAGTGCTTTTCCAGCTTGATCCTATTGCCTACAGAGCTTATCGACGATCACAAGGCTCTGAATGAATATGGAGTGGACAGTATGATTGCGTCTGAGCTCCGCAACTGGTTCTGGAGTACGTTTAAGGTAGACGTTTCTTTCCTTGACATTCTTAGCCAGGGGAAGTCGTTGCAAACACTTTCGGGATTTATTGTGGACAAACTAGCTTCGAGTCAGGTAACAATGTAAATAAATGATATTGGATATTATAATTTATAATTTCGATTGATTACGTACAAGTGTGGGATTGAGGGTGGAATTGAGGCTCTGTGCGCAGTGAGAAGAGGGGCACGTGCCACATTGTATAATAATATATTACTAATATTCCCACGCTGGCAAATGCTCTCAATCTTTCTTGACTCTGTGGGAGGTGATTACGTAATTACTACCTACCTAGGTAGCTATACTGAAAATTACTGGGCTTCGCCCACTAATTATCAACCTTTCCCAATACAACATCATTCTACCCCGATATCAACTCCTTTTTTGAATCCATCTTGATTTATCCCCGTAGCCACAAGCTTAAATATATATATTAGCTAAGCGCGTTAAACATACCCCTGGTGCTCAGTATGGCGCATAGGATGCCATTCATACTACCATAGCTTCATACTACCATAGCTACCTCCTATCTGAGGGTTGTCAGCTGTGTAGCCACTTGGTCGTATAACCTACCATTTATAGCGTCTTTTAACGAGCAAACCTGTTTCGTACCGGTACATCCAACACCAAATGGTCGTACTCGCAGAATCCGCCATTTTCAATTACGGACCCCACGTAGTACACGAGGCTGCGTCTCGGGACCGATGATTCCCGATCTTATTAATGGAGTCCCGCCACCTGATTCCTTACCGAAAAACAATCGTAGGTACGAAGGATCCAGCGGATCATTCCGAGATGATGGATCAGGTTTGACGCAATCGTATTCCGAATGGCCGCAGAGGGGCTACGAACCCAAACTTCCATACCTAACTGAAAGCGATATGCGCAGGGCCCGGGCCACAGGAAGAAAAGTCTTGCTTGGCCAGAAGTTGTCTATACCAGAAACATTCATACATGTCTCCCGTAGTCACGAAAGAGGGACTAATCGTAGCAATACATAACAGCTCACGGTTGGGGTTCTTCAACATAGGCTTAGTATAAAGTAGACTACTATAACGATTCAAAATCCATACGTATGTTAATCACTCCGTAGCGGGCATCAAGGGCCGTTGCCCGCTCACGTTCGGATCCTTCCATGAATTTAACTTCCCTAATACCAAGTCATTGCGCTCGTCGATCGGGTTGTACAAGTTTGATCTCGACTTCTTTCGAGAGAAAAAAGACTTGAAAGGTCCAGACTGCGAATCGAATCCGCTCTCCGCGCCTGTTGCTGTCCCCCGACTACTGCTTCTGGCGGAACGTATCAGCCGATCCATTGACCCGATGGCCTGCTGAGTCAAATAGAGCACCGGCTTCGGGGTAGCAGGAGTGGTGAAAACCAAAAAGCCAGCAGCGATTTCAGCATTACACAGGATCGTCTGCGGCGATAGTAGGTACGTATAGTCGTCACTCGATACGTATGCAACACCGAAGGCTATTCGGAGCGCCGCACAAGCACAGGCCCTGTAGCGTCGTACACATGAGCGACCAGAAGCATAGTATGTCGAACTGGATTACAAAAAGAAAAAAAAAGGAAGAAAAAAAGAAGAAAAAAAGAAACACATGCGAGTTACAGGATCATAAGAAAGAGGTCAACCTACAGAAGTCCTATAACGAAAACGACGGAGCAGCCAACTCTCTTCCTCCGGGACATGTTCAGACGCCAGATAACCCCCTGTGGCAGGATAAGGATAGCGATGTCGAAGACGAGATTAACAACAGCAGATATCAGAGATAGAATGGTTGAGTATCTGCAAGTACCGCCGACGATTGTCTTATCCCAATAATACTCCCGTGGGGTGCATGCCGTGCACTCAAGGATGATGTTTATGGTATAGTAGATCGCGTTCAATGCCGCGATACCATAGCACGACCAGCGGAATGCTTTACGGCTACCCGGCCCAAAAATACGAGCCCATTCGAGGAGAATGGCTGACTTCAACGTGATCATGGTGGCGAGATATAGTTGAGTGCCGAGAAAGAGATTCTAAAGAACAGCTCAGGTCAGCATAATGGCAGCCCAGCAGCTGATCGAGAGCAAAACAAACTGACATAGTAGAACCATGATAGATTTTTCAGCCGAAAGTCCCAGCCGTGGACAAAAAACCCTGAGGTGATAGCTATGCGGAAGACGATGATGCTTCCAGCAATGTAAGTGCCCTACAAGAGAAGAAAACATCAGCCCGGCAACTAAAGAAATTCTTTCTCGCGATCCCTACTATTGCGGGTATTATCAATACTGTCGATGGGTTAGATGAGATATAAGCGGCCGCTACGGAAATCAGGCTTACAGTCTCCGAGTGTTTGCGTATTCTTCATGTAAAAAAGTCTCGCATAGGCGCGAACTATAAGGAATATCAACGATATAGCAAGAAAGAATGAGGTGAGTCCAATGACCAGAGCATTGCGGTTTGGCGGATTGTCTAAGTTGGACTCAATGCCATCGGGTGGCGACAGGACTGGGCCATTGAGGTCAAGATGTTCAGCCATGATCGAGAATAATTGAACTGAATAATTCAAGTCGACGCCTGGAATGTTGGATGAGACTTTGAGGATGGTGAGATATCAAGGACAAGACGAGTTATACGGAGAGGAGAGGTGGGTGCAATGCCTAGGTATGTAGGTACCTACCTAACTACATAGATACCCAGGCATTGGGACATGAAGGATGAGGTAGCATTTCATCCGCTGCAGTCAGGTAAAGGTAAAGTGATAAAAATACCTCCCATTTGAGAGATCACAACCTAGGCAAATGATGGCTGTGTCGTGTCGTGTAACACACGCTGCATGTAAGAGGTAAAGTACCTGAGACAACAAGTCGGTGAGGGGCAGCCTGTGGACATGAAGCCTTGCGTAGGGGTGGAGGCAAATCTTCAGCTAACTTCTGAACGCTTCCAACCTGATAAGTACCTAGGTTAGGTAGGTAAGGAAACTCCGTTATCTTATTTCCTGGTTGGCAACATTCAGACAGTAATCCCCTAGTACGATTCATTACAGATCCTTCCGCTATGGCAGAAGCACACGCAGACCATAACAAGGACGCCCCTTACCATCTCATCTACTGGCATGTTATTCCAGGCCGTGGCGAGCATATCCGGCTCTGCTTCGTCGAAGCTGGCGTCCCCTACTCTGATACTGCCTTTACTGAGGGTGGCATGGATACCTTGCACGCCTACATCAGCGAGAACAACACCGGCGATGAGAAGAACCCTCCACCTCTCGCTCCCCCTATCCTTAAGCATGGCGATCTGGTCATTTCACAAACACCCAACATCCTAATGTATCTAGGTCCTAGACTCGGCCTGGCGGCAAACGAGGGCAACGACATCTTCAAAATCAATGCTCTTGCCCTGACTGCTTTGGATGGCCTGAGCAATGAGGTACACAATTGTCACCACCCCATTGCCATCGACCTGTACTACGAAGAGCAGAAGGAAGAATGCCTACGCCGAGTCAAAGATTGGGTAAAGCATCGTCTTCCCAAGTTCCTCGGCTACTTTGAGCGTGTCCTCGCTGGTAAGGCGAGTGGCGAGGGACCGTGGCTTTACGGTGGTGTTCTCACGTGGGCCGACTTGGTCTTCTTCCAGGTAGGCCCCAGTGTCTTTACTGCCCCCTATGCTCATGATTGATTACGCTGCTAACAGCAGACGCTTCGCAGACTCTTGATGGAACTACCTACTTCTTTCGCAAAGCTGTTGCGGCTGCAAGGAAGTCCGGCAAGTATGACCGCGTCTTCCAGCACTACGAGGCAGTCAAGGCGCGGCCGCGCATTGCTGAGTACCTCGCTAGTGATCGTCGTCAGAAATACTCCAACTATGGCATCTATCGCTACTATGAGGAGTTGGATGTAGAGGCTGAAGAATAAGAATACTAAAACCACATTGGTCTTTTGCACGGGTGTTTGTTGATATTCAGGCTTTCTAGAAAGCGAGAATCACTCGAGTCTTCCGGTCTTTACTCATACCCGCTGCCAATCAATTATTTTGGGACTTGGCTCAAATAAAATAGCCAACTCATTTACACCGATCATATGTAGAGTTATTCGTGTCTTAATCTTGTTCGTCTCGTCTCAGACATATGGCCATGATGCGCTATTGCATTCTAAGTCTAATACTATGCCTTAATCACTTCCGCGTCCCTTCTCTGCAAATAATTGCCCTTGGTCTTGACACTTCTTCACTTGAAAAAGCAAGCTAGAATTAGAGCTGTACCCGCAAACGCCGTCGAGTAGAAATGTGGAATATCACCCGTACCCCGTACGCGTAAGCCTCAGCTATCAGTGGCCTCTGGTCAGAAGCCATCAAAGCCTGCAGACCCCTGATCCCGGCGCCGAAGATCAGTGCTACTGTGATGTCTGGGATGGCGCGCTGCACTTGTCGGCGCATAGGACTGAAGATGATAGTACCAATGCTGGCCCCGAGGTTACAACCTAGATCCTGCCATATCGTGATAATGGTCAGCGCTACGGGAATATCACTAGAGTCCTAAAAAAAGAACTGTCTGGGCTGCAATATGCGGTCCGTTGAATTCAATACCTACATCCGAAGCCACCGAGAGCCAGGATTTGCAACCCTAGGTATCTAACGTGGTGCCGGAGTTAAGATCGCTAGCGTAGATCCACTTTACGGTCAATATATTCATAGACTCTCCTGTCAGGGGCTATCTATGAGGCCGTGCCTGTATGAGATAGGCTGGATCTCACGCTTCTAGCCACACCCCTCCATGGTGACTTCAGCCTAGTTCTTCAGCCGGCTGAGGACTTGAAGACACATTTTTATCTCGGTGTTCGTCTGCGCGGGTAGCCTATGATATGCTTACCCTCGCAGTAAGAGGGTGTCGATAGTGGACAGATCTGAGCTGGATCTAACCAAGCTTCAGTACGCATATGTTCACAGATATATAGATTCAAGATGAAAGGTTTAAGAATGGATACTCCAATAAGCATGGCCATGGAAACGTTTCATCTTTGGACTTTACGGCGTAGAAAAAGAATAAGAAAGCTTTCATATGAGTATAGTCCATATTGATGTTGAATGCCTTTGTATCCTGTCTTGAAAAGATTCTCGCATACCTATCATATCAGGGTACTTTATTTTTATTTTGCCGTCAGAATGATTTCCAACAGGCAGACGATGGGTACGCTGCTACTCCTGGTAGCAAATATCTTGATCCCACTAGGCATGCTCATATTCATGGCTGGTCTCTTCCGCAGTCGACCTCTGCTAGAAGTCGCGGATTTTCCCAGCCCGTCAACAGAAATCACAGTTCATAAGGCGCCTTTCGACAAGGTGATCTTCATGATGGTCGATGCATTGAGGACCGATTTTGTTTTCGCTAAGGACGGTGGATTCCCCTTTACGCAAAGCCTCATTCGCTCAGGCGCCGCTGTACCTATAACAGCCCTTTCGGCCATGCCAACCTTGACCCTATCTCGTATCAAGGCCCTGACTCAAGGGTCGAGTCAGTCGTTTCTAGATGCCTGGCTAAATGTGGTTAACTGGCCTGAGGACTCGCGCCTGGACAGCGGAGACACCTGGCTTACACGTCTCAAGGCATCCAGGACTGACCAAAAGAAACTCGTCTTTTACGGCATAGAGGAGTGGGTGGACTTGTATTCGGACGTCTTTGATCGCCAGGAGTACTTCTCTTCTTTCCACCTCCCAAGGCTCGTTGATATCGACCGAAATGTCACCAGAAACCTGTCTAAGGAGCTGGAGCGTGATGACTGGAGCGCTCTTATTCTGCATTACTTGGGGCTCGATTGTATCGCTCACATGGGAGGGCCAAGATCTGCTCATATGCGGCCCAAGCAGCTCGAGATGGATGATGTTGTCAGAGACATCTACACGGCCTTGACCCGCGAGCCTCACATGCAGGATACTCTTCTAGTTCTCCTTGGTGACCACGGAATGACATCTCAGGGAAACCACGGCGGGCGCCTACCCGAGGAGCTCGCCGCCGCCACCGTCTTCATATCCCCTAAGTTAGAAGACATGGCGCAACCACGGCGCAGCTCCCCCCTAGAAGCTGCCGAGGACTACCTGTACTACTCCGCTGTGAAGCAAGTCGACATAGTCCCCACGCTTTCAGGATTGCTGGGCTTTCCAATTCCGTCAAGAAATTCAGGTATCTTCATACCCGACATGCTTCCAGCTTTTGGCGACGACATGAAAGCTGTGGAGTTTCTGGCTGAGAACGCAAAACAGATACACAGGGCTCTTGAACTATCGAGGAAATGCCCAAGCACAGCTAAGGTCTTAGATGATTATAAGAATTCTACGAGATGTCACGATGGCTTGGATCGCACTGATGATCTGTGGGAAGCCATGCTGTTGGCCGAGAAGGCTTGGGTCAACTCGCCCAATGACGAAGCCAGAGAGCATCTGGAAGTCTCCATCTATGAGGCAAGTAGGCTGTATAGCACGTTCTTGATATGTAGCGTTTCACTGACACCACAATAAGTTCGCCGCGGTTACCCAGGGCCTTTTGCTCAAATCCGTGGATAACATCAGCGTCAGCCGGCTGCATATTGGAGTCGATTGCCTTGCGGCCGCGGCAGTGCTAACATACGCATCACTTCGATCGTTGAACTTTGGCAGCTACTCGCTAATTATCGCCACGGCAGTTCATTCCGCAACCATGTTCGTCCCGGGCCTCGTGAAAGAGGAACACCATTATTGGTACTGGGCTTCACTTCTGTGGCTGGTATTCCTCTCTGTTTCTAGGTATGTGTGGTTATCTCTCCGAAAACAATTTTCTGAACCCCAAACTCATGATCAGTCGCAGGACTCGTCGATCCGGCTTTGTTTTGGCATACTTGGGTCTAATTGCCCTCCACTTCATGGGCCAGTGTGTCAATAAGCAGGGCACCAAGTATTCCATCGCCGAGCATATTGACGATATCATTTTCGCGCATCCGGTCATCCTTTGGATCCCTGCCCTTCTGTCTCATGTCTCGGCTTTCGTGCTGATTGCTAAGAATCTGCGGACCGCCCTAGGTCGATGCGTTGCCGTCGTGGTGTCCCTCGCCCTTTGCGCGGCTGCATTCGGTTTTAAACTGTCGTCGACATACACCTCCAATCCCGAATCGTTGAGTTTTGTATCTCAATATGTGAAAAAGCTGATGGCTACTGTGCCGCAGGATCGCCTACTACAAGCCTTCTGGACTGAGCTTCTTGCATGCCTTCTTTTCTTCATATGGCAGCACCGAAGTCTATATAGTCCCACGAGAAATTCTGGTAGGCTGAGAGAATTATATTACTATTGGCATCCAAACGCAATAAGACGGACGCTAACCAGGGCCAAGTTGCTATGACCAGAGTTATCGAATTGGTCAATGTATACTTGATATCGCAGTCTCGGCCGAAGAATCTATCCCTCTTTTTGATATTTGAATATCAGCTTCAAGTTCTGTGTGAGTCTGCGTTGTGTTTTTCCTAGTGGCCGATATGAGCTAAGAAATGCTTCTTGTTACAGTAATGATGGGGTTATCTCCCGCGGAAACGGCAACTACTGTGGTCTTGCTTGGCCAGAGCGCCTTTTACAGTATGGGGAGAGATAACACAATCGCCTCGCTCGACTTGCTGAATGGATTCAACGGCCTCGGCGAGTCTAGTATCGTTGGCGTTGTGATCCAGTCGTTTCTTAGCAATTGGATCGGCCCCGTGTGGTGGTCCTTTGCCGGTCTTCGGCTATTGACTTCGTGGGCTGAGGGAGGACATAGTAGTCCTGCTATTCCGACGTTACAGAATGTACATGACAACAGTGGTCATAGAACACATGATCAGAACAACAGCAATAATCCTAAAGCCGCCAAGTCACCGGCAGAGAGTGCGGCCAAACATAAGGCTGCGAACATCGCGGTGGGAACTAATGCCCATTACATTGAGTACTTGACTATGCAGACTCTTTTCTCGGCCCTGAGCTCACTGGCACTTGATCTGGCCTGTATTTACATATGGGGCCACGAAGACCTGTGGAATATCTACGCTCCCAAGTTCATCAATGCGTTTATATGGGTATTCTTCCACCAGTTAATGGTCAATAGTATAGGCTGTTCAATCATCTGGTTCCTTGTTGGGAACTGAACCAGGGGACGCGGGAATGGATTAGGAGCAATATCAACCCGTCAGAAAGGAGACGGAGACCATTGTCAGGATTCCAGATAAGACATATAGAACAAAGACCATGTTTCCCTACTGTTTAGTTCCACCTTGTGATAACCATAGCTGCAGAACAGCGGCTGCGGGATTCCACGGCGGCATTGTAATTTACATCGGATGGGGAAGTATCAATTTCCGTAGTATCGATTCGAGCATCCTTACGCTGTGAGAAGTACGGTGTTCTCAGATGTATTGCTCTTAGATGATATCTTGATGTGGAGAGGGAATTCAAGGTGAACATTGGTCATAAGCTTACCATGCCTCGCGGTGCTCATATTTTATCCTGTTCTACGTCCTTCAAATGGGATACCGTAGCCTCCAATCACTTGACTTGCGAATACTAGGTTTGTTTGTGATCCAGTCTGCCATCCTGACTCTGGTTGACGTTACACAAGGTGGGATGGTGGGAGGATTGGGGGCCGGCGGTTAGCAAAGACACTATATGCATACCTACCTAGGTATAAAGGAATGTTACGTTAGGTACCTCCTAAGACTCACAGTATTAAGGCGCCCCCAACCGGGGCTGAGACAACCAACACTTAGGTACCTAGGCTTTTACCTATAAAGCATCCTCTCTTCTCTATAATAGCTGTAGGTGTCCGCACTTCACCGCCAGATCACATACATCATGGCATCGACCATGGCGATAGAGATAGAAACAATCACTGCGCCTCAAAGCGCCGTCGTCACACCCAGTGAACCATCTGGCTGGGACTCCAACGACGGCCCAGCGTCCACAGCACCGCTAACCTCGACAACACGTGTCGACCATTCTCTCAGCGACGATGCGCCCACCAACAGAAAGCCCTCAGTCGCGAGCACGGCCTTTATCATGCTGCCTCTATGCCTCTCGACACTTCTCTCCGCCCTCGACATTACCATCGTTATACCTGCCATCCCCACCATCGTTGGCTCCCTCGGCTCCGTCGCGGGCTACACCTGGATCGGCAGCGCTTTCATTCTCGCCAGCACGGCCACGACCCCTTTGTGGGGCACCGTCGCTGACATCTGGGGGCGCAAGCCCATCATACTCTTAGCCATCGCCATCTTCCTCGGCGGGAGCTTGCTGTGCGCCTTGGCACCCGATATGGACGCTTTAATTGCCGGCCGCGTGGTCCAGGGCTTAGGGTCAGTCACCGCGCCGCTTTTGAGACGAGATGCGCGGCATGGCTGTTCGTAAAGTACCTAGTTTCTCACACCTCTGCAGGTCTGCCGGCATGGGCACCATGGTCAATGTCATCATATGCGATTCTTTTTCCGTGAGGGATCGCGGTCTTTATCTGGGCATCACGTCGCTGGCCCACGCTCTGGGAAGCGCCATCGGCCCCCTCGTTGGCGGTGCCTTAACAGACAAGGCTGAGTGAGTTCGATCCCCAAAGTCTGAGAGTTCTGTCACCAGTTCTAACGGCTCATCATCGTTCAAGTTGGAGATGGTGTTTTTGGATCAACTGTGAGTTTCATGAATAGGCAGCATCACACCTCCCCCCTTTCTACGCAACACTAATTGTGATGTTTCTGCGTCAGTGCCAATAGGTGGGACTGTCTTGGTCATACTCCTCTTCTTCTTGAAGGTAGCGAATCCCGGTACACCTATACTTGCCGGGCTTAAGAAGATAGATTGGGCGGGTGGTTCTCTCGTTATGGGATCAGTCTTGATGGTACTGCTAGCCCTGGACTTTGGCGACGTTGTCTTCCCATGGTCATCTGCCACTGTCATCTGCCTGTTAGTCTTTGGCGTCGTCTGCGGAGCATTGTTCGTCGTGAACGAGTGGAAATTTGCCAAGGAGCCTATCATTCCGCTTCACCTCTTCTCACGCAAATCTTCGGTTGCTGCGTATGGCGTGTACGTCTTCAACTTCTACGTCTTCATCGGGATGTTGTACTATTTGCCGCTGTACTCGCAAGCCGTGCTTGGCGCTAATGCTTTAGACTCGGGCATTTACATCATTCCTCTAATCGTGGCAAGCTCACTTGCAGCCGCTTTTGTCGGCTTTTTCATTCAGAAGACGGGGAGATATCTCGGCATCATGTACATTGGACAGTTCCTGAGCATACTAGGAGTTGGACTTCTCGTTTATTTGCCATTCGAGAAGAGTCTTGCTCGGCTCTTCATCTTCGAGATCTTGTAGGGTTCCACTCCCCTGAACCAGAACTAACAGGCGGTCACTGACATGACTCGTAATGCAGGGTCGGGGTAGGTTGTGGTATGAACATTGAACCGCCTCTCATTGCAGTACAAGCTGTCAATTCTGAGCGTGACAGTGCAGCTGTCGTGTCTAGTATGAATTTTGCGCGCTCCATCGCCATCGCCGTTTCCATCGTCGTCGGTGGAGTTATTTTTCAGAATGAGATGGCGGCCGCTAATCCAGGGCTCGTCACGCAAATTGGTGCTGAATTGGGTCGACAGTTTAATGGTGATCAAGCTTCGGCTAAGGTAGAAGTTATTAATGAGCTGCCAGATCAACAACAGGGCGTGGTACGACAAGCTTACTTCCACTCCCTCAGGGATGTGTGGATCATGGTATGTGCACTACCATATACGTTTTGACTATAATGCATTAGACACATACTAATATTTCCTGTATACACATAGTACGTAGCATTTTCAGGTTTGTCGTTGTTGCTTAACGTATTTGTACGCGCACACCATCTTAGCACCGAGAATAAAGGGGCTGTGTTAGGTGCTGATCGTGAGAAGACAATCGGCACTGATGATAATGTGGAGCTGAGACGGCGATTACCAGACATAATGTTAGATAATTAAGCATCCCTTATATAGATGTCCAAAACCGTGCCAGGATGGCCTTGACTAGTGGTTATGGTTCTTATAGATAAAAAGTTCAGAGGAGCTCAGGTTCATTGACAGCAATGCTCACCGATCAGGGCAACTTTCAAGTGATGCATATATACGTTGCTCTCTTCTAATACATTTAATATATTTTTATCTACTAGAAGCCGGTATTCTGATTCAAATTATAGTGACGTGTTGAACATATAATTGAATATGACTCAAGGCTATTATATTTACTCCCCCTCAAATAGATTTATATCAGATCCGAACTTGCCCCCTGAAACTGCTATTGTAATAGGCCATTCAATATATGCATCAGTGGCAATACCGATAGTACCATCTTACTTACAACCCCCCCCCCCCCCTATTAGTTAGTCTCGGACGGCTTCCGCAAGATATGGTGAATATTGGGAACAATTCCTTTGCTCTCTCTGGCGCATATCACGCATCGAAACTATCGTATGCCTTGGCTGCCTCTCAAAGGAAGCCAACAACGCCTAATCCGGCCGACTCAACATATATTTCCAACATCACATTTTTGAATTAATAGTATACAAGTCTCTTGAACAATGATCACCCATGAATATATTTGAATAACAGCCTTTTAAAGGCCCTAGTAAGATTCCAATTTAGTGTGTAGGGCTCAAACTAAATTATATATATCAACCATAGTGCCCTATGCGTCAAGATCCTATTACTCCTAGTTCCTTTAAATGGCTAAGTTGGAACCAACTCCGGATTTATTCGGAGTGCTACCTATCACGATGCCCTGTGGACCATTCTCAATGTCGATCACATTTTTGTGGACGTGTCCGTTTATCACGATAGTGTGCAGTCTGGAAGCGTCCTGGAAGAGTTCGATATCCTCCAACGGGTTCCCGTCAACTAGAATAACATCAGCGTAGTATCCAGGCAATACCTTCCCCAAGTCGTCTGGGTAGCCCATAAGCTCTCCTCCTAGGGCTGTTGCGGCGATAAGAGACTCCTTAGGCGTATACCCGAATAGGTTGACAAAGTGGGCAAGGTCCTTTGCGTAGGTTCCGTGGGGCGCCCAAGCAAACCCGTAATCACCTCCAGGAAGGATCTTAACGCCGCGTCTCTTGAGCTCCTTCATAGCTTTGTTGGCAGCTTCGACTTCGTGGACTAAGCCCCTTTTCTTGGCCATCTCGGGCGTGAGACCGTAGGGAATTGCCTCACCTGTGCAGCTAAGCACGGGAAAGTTGATAGCCGGCGCTACGTACACCCTGTCCTTGAGCGCTTCGAGCATATCGAGCCCTTCTGCGTCGACGTAGCTGGCGTGGTAGATCATGTCGACGCCAGCTAGACAAGACAATTTCACTGAAGCTGCGGACCGAGCATGAGTGCATACACGCTTGCCCCTATGATGGGCCTCTTCAACAGCCGCCTTGGTCTCAGCTAGAGTATAGTAGGTCTCCTCGCTCCTATTTACACGATCAATGATTAGCAAGACTCCTTGGTGAACTTAGATCGGGAATGCCGATGGAGAAAAAATAGAGCATCTGCTCAATAAACATAGGAAAGGAATTATTTCGTAAGATGCATACCCCATAGTCTCATGCACGTAGTCTCCTGTCATACTCAGCTTAATATTGTCGGCGCCAAGTTCGATACATTTGCGCACGACCTGGCGCATGGCGTCAGGGCCATCTGCGAATTGACTGATACTTGGGATGATCGCACCACCCGTCGTCGTTATCTCCTGACAATTGGCTAGGGAGCGAGGACCTGGGATCAGGCCGGATTTGATGGCCTGCTTGACAACAATATCTAGACGGGGTCGTGCGGAAGCCGCTCCAAAACACATCGTGTATCCATAGTCCAGGTATGTCTTTGCCGACTGTGCTGTCTGTATCACATGCTCTTCCAGTGGCGTTCTGGTCAATCCGTCCAAAGTCGGCGAATTGTTCCAGCTGAAGTGGGTATGGGAGTCGACAAGACCGGACATGAGGGTCTTCTTGCCCTTTCCGTCGACAACTAAGGTGTCGGAATCAGGGGTTGCATCAACCTTTCCAACTGCCTTGATTCTTTCCCCTTCGATAAGAACATCACCTAGATAGGGGTCCGCGCCAGTGGAGTCGAAGATGTTGACATTCTTGAACAAAATCTTGGCCTTGTCACCATCTTTGTGGTTGTTTATAGTAATATCGGCAGGTGTTGGCTTATAGAAAGGTAATCCATTTATGGGACTAACTTCTGCAGTCGGGTCAACCCAGTGACCCTCGGAGACAGCTGCAAGACGGCCATTGAGTTTTTTGCTAATATCTGCGGATGCCATTATTAAACTCAGAGATTATGATATATGTTAGGTAGTTTCGAGATAAATAGGGGCAATAGAGAAACTTCAAGGGTAATATCAAGCCAAACAGACCCACTTCTAAACGTGGAATAGTCCTGTCAGTTTCAACTAACTACATCCTAAGTTAAGACACCATATATATGTAGATGGATTGCATCCTTCCCGTGGAGATCGTTTGGAGATATCGTGGAGTATTTCCATAGTGTCCGGGAAGTTGCCGCAAGATTGCCACGCTGTCTTACGCTGACCTATACTCTTCGGAGAGTTGCCGTATTTGGAGGTATGAACACCTCCTATTCATGGTGGGGCTTTGAGTATCATACAATAACAACTAGGTATAAGACCACATACAAGATGGTATTTCGGCATTGCTCGGTATTCTTTCCATTTTCGTTGACAAATCTACTACCTACCTCTCCACTTACTTCAGTTCTCTTATTGGAAAGATGGCTGATTCTCAGAGTTCTACGATCCCGTCATTTGGCTTTGTTGGCCTTGGGAATATGGGCTCTGTGATGAGCTTAAACCTGGCCGGCTATGCCCAGAAACAAGGATTCCCAAAGGTCAAGCTATGGAATCGTTCTCGCGGCAAGGCCGAGGAACTTGCTGGAAGGGGCTTCTTTGAAGTGGCAGATACGCTAGAGAACATAGCAAAGGGCTGCAACATCATCCATGCTTGCCTTGCAAACGACGATGTTGCTCTGTCAGTTTACCGCCAGATTCTAGGCGCTGCAGGACCAGGCCTTATCCTTGTGGACCATTCGACATTGTATCCAACCACGTCCTCGACATTATACGCTGAAGCCGAAGCGAAGGGCTCGAGTTTCCTATCCTGCCCAGTCTTTGGCCCACCCGCTGTAGCTGCAAGCGCGGGTCTTTTAGTCGTATTATCTGGCCATGAGAAAGCCAGGGCTACATTGAAGAAGTACATCGTGCCGACAATTGGAAAGGCCATTATCGACTGTGGTGATAGCACAAGGAAAGGAGCACTTCTCAAGATTCTAGGAAACAACTGTATTCTTGGTACAATTGAACTCATGTCAGAGAGTTTTACTCTAGCCGAGAAAACAGGATTTGACGCCGCGTTGTTTTACGAATTCATACGTAAGTAGAAAATGTAGCAAATACGAAAATAAGCTAACATTTTGTCAGAGCAATGGTTTCCCGCGCCAGCTTGGGTGAACTATGGGAAGAAGATCCGAGACGGGGCTTTTAGTGGCGTGACGGGCTTCACTATACCTGGCGGGATGAAAGACGCTGCATATATACGGCAATTAGGCGCTGAAACATCTACGCCAACTCCTCTTATTGATCAGGCATGGAATCATCTCACTACCGCTAAGGCTCTTGGTGGTGAAAGTTTGGATTGGAGTTCATGTGCCGCTGGAATGCGAGTTACGGCAGGCCTACCACCATTCAAGGGCGAAGATTTCAGTTTGAATAAGAAGTAGTAAACGGGGTCTTGTGTATTTTGGTTAGGTTAGGTAGTCTTGCATACATTATACATGTTATAGACCAGCCGTGTATCCATAAACAAGTACTCTCGTTACTCGATCAACTCGACATGTGATTTATAATCAAGAATAGGGTTGGTTTGGCTAATCAATGACTTTTTCTATCTCCTCGGCGCTTCTGCCGGTAGTTTAGTCGCCTTCTATACGCTGCTATCTCCTAGTAGTTAGCCGGAGAATGGACGTTGTGGTTCTGTACTATGGAATCCATGGTACATCACAGTCAAGAAACTCCTATAATCGGGGATACTATATAAGTACCTAGAACGTATAGGTTACGTTAAGGCTAAACACGCTCGGTGATGCTGACCAAAGTAGACATCTAATAGTAAACGCAAGAGAATCAAACAACATAACTACCTCTGTTTTATAACTAGGTAACTATCTACATCTCCACTGCCAATGCTCAGACGTGCAGTAACTAAGATAACTATATCATTTATAAGTTAGAGGACGTTACGCAATACTTTTAACAACCGAGATGATCGCCTTAATAGACTCATCTATATTCTCCAATACATGCCAATGGCCTGTATCGTTGAAAATTACCTGCTTGGCGTTCGATCCAATATCCTTCACTATATCTGCCCCCGCCGTAGCCGTAGATACCTTGTCTTCGTCTCCAGTTAGAACGAGAACATCAGCCTTGATTTGTTTCCAAGCAGGAGCCGAGCTTCCTGCCAGAGCATCCAAGGCTAAAGCGTATCCCTCTGGATCCTGCCTCGTGAGCATTTCTCTGGCTAGTGCTACCTCTCCTTTCCGGTTGAGCAATGACTTGGGTGAGAATGCATTTGACACTACCAAGTCAGCAACTGCCCCAATTCCTCGACTTCGAACTGTAGCGGAGCGAATGGAAAGTGCTTTCTGGCCAGCCTCCGGAGGCGGTCTGACGGGGCCGAAGGCTACGATCCCTTTTACAATATCCGGGCGCTTCGCCGCAAGATGAAAACTGATGAGCCCGCCGAATGAGTGGCTCACAACCAGAATATCTTTCAACCCCAAGTGGCCAATGACAGCTAAACTTCATGTTAGAATACGATATGGACTTGGTATATTCGAAGGTAGAACAAGTCTTACCCTCACAGTCTGCCACGTATGACTCGATGCTCGTACTCTGTGGTACGGAACTCCGACCATGGCCGGCCCAGTCGAAGCGAACTAGGTCGAAATCCTGCAAGCCAGAAACCAGCGGTTGGAAGGCATTCGTGGTCCCCCCAAGCCCGTGGATGAACAAAATAGTCCTAGATCCACTAGTGCCCTCCCGTTCGTAGAAAAGCTTAACAGAGTCCCGAGGTATGTAACCGGACGACTTGATTTGTGAGGCCATGTTTCAAACATAGAATTGAGGATCGGTTGTGATTTTTGGGTGGTAATTTCATATTATGAGAAACATGACCTACTTTATACAAAATCCTACGCTCTTACGAAAGTATATGATATTCTGCAGTTCGTCTTCAAGGCGCCTGAAAGCCCGTACGGCAAGTTGCCGGGTGCTCGCACAGTGGATCCCGGCACTGGGCATAGTTTCTGGTACAATTCGCAAGTACTTGCCTTCGCAATAAGCCTGGAGGGAGGGTGATCATTACGATATGAATTCTTGGGGTTGGAGTGTGGAGAACGTGTGCCTATGTCATAGTGATACCTCACATTGGAATGACTAAATTTCCACAGAGCTTCGAGGCTAACCGAGTGTTTCCAAAGATGAGTGTTAAACACACGGATATATCACTACAGTAAACCTGATTCCCTAAGTGATACTATATTCACATTTGATACGTAGGTATAGGGCGTAAAATGACACCAAATATTCAGCTGCTTTTCCGTACACTAATCGAAATTATCGAACAAAGCTACAATGTAGGCACTATACTCCTTAATAGCGGCAATTGCTACTACTTCTGCTTCAGGCCCCGTAATGGAAACCCAAGGTGTCCTAATAATCTTCTTGTGGGACTGGCTAATATCTGCCTGGCCTGTGGTGAGTCTTCGCGTTTTTTCAACAAGAATGGAACTCCCCTCAATCCTCAGGGGTATCCCCTTTTGCTTCGACGCCCCAAAAACAGCGGAGAATGATACATCTCTTGCGCTGGGATTGCCTTGAAATTCTTGCAGCTCCGAGGGCACGCTATACGAAGGTGTCGCGGCTGATGCTTCCCAGAGCTCTTGGCCGATGAGTCGCGACCCCAAAGTCGCCCATCCTACGAGAACTAGGTTGCATGGAAGAGACACCTCGAATAGAAGAGAGAATACGCGAAAGGCACTTGTGAAGGATGGTTCAGAAAGGCCGCCGTCTAGTGGGAAAGCAATAGCAATAGGCGCAATATCTGTATCCCGCTCGCGTCGAGTGATGTAATTGTTTCCTAAATTATCCTCCTATGAAACTGATTAGACGTTATGGGTTCGAAATATATATTTGCTACTCACGAAGAAATGAAGCGACTGCGATGTGGCATATGATCTGAGTGCTTCTCTAAAAGGGGTATTGAGTGATGTTGGTGATACATGGGGACCGGCATAGATCCTCTTAAGATCCGTAAGAGTATGAATGTCTGCCATTATCTAATGAGTACCGTTCGTTGGGTTGGAGAAGGCCTGATAGTTGAGCGGATGATGTATGTACTATTCCTAACGCGAATATCCATCTCTTAACATGTCCTTCTAATAAGAGATTGGATCAGATATCCAAGGAGATAAGTTACTAGCTTGTAAATACGAGCGGCAATCCGGTAGGATGCCGGGCACAATGGCTCCCAAAGTACCGGGAACTCTATAACATACGCATTTATTTAATAATCGCCACTTCCGTACGGGTAGATGCCCGTGGTAATATTCGCGCCCCTACGTGATGGTCACTTTCACCATGGCGGTGACCTCACGGCCAGAAGGTACTTCACCAATGATGCATTAAAGTCTATCTTGTTGTGTCTTCGTAGGGTCCCATCTTTCTGTAACCCCCATGGTGGGAATTGATGCATGCGCGGGGACATGCCGGGGTGGTAGGATATCCTGGACACCCTGAACATATGTCGCTTATGTTGCTTCAATTTATTGTTAACTTAGAACCTGACTGGTCGAGCATGCTGTTGTACGACAGATGGAAAATGACTACGCTGTATCTACGTTAACTCGACAATATATGCGCACCTTCGTCGAGAGCTATACTACATGAAGAGGCATTGAGGCGTGCAGCATCTCTACTCCTCGCCTATTCGGGGTTATCGCGGGGCCGAGCGTTCGGATCTTACCGGAGCGTCGATTATCTGCTTCGGGGAAGCAGGATCAACTGGATACTAACCCCGACGCAGCTTGGCACCTCATTCGTCTTCTGAAGCCGAAAAAGTGACATTGAATGGGGATACAGAATGCCTAGGTAATTATACGCTGTGGTTGTGGCTATTAGGTTAGGTGCGATTTCATTGTCCTCAAAACTCCGAGCGCTACGATGGCCAGATTCCGCTGCAGGTAGTAACGAGATCAGTTTATAAGCCCACGTTTCCTCCATGAACGAATATCTTCTCTACGAATACTCAATCACGACACCCAGTCTTCGCAAAACCATGCCTTTATACCACATAGGTAATCCCACTGTTCCCAGGGAGTACCAGCGATACTAACATATGTAGTATTGTTCCGGTTAAAGCCGTCAACGCCGGTGGAAAGCCTCGATGAATTCAAAAGGAGAGCCGCAGCGATGGTGTCGCAGATTCCTGGTAGGTATCTAAATATTAGATTCACACCACTCTTTAAGCTTACAGTCATATATCATATCAGGTCTCTTAAAGATAGACATTAATAGTCCATGGCCCGGCACGGCACATAGAAGTAGAGGCTACAACATGGGTGTCGTAGCTGTTCTGGAGAAAGCGGAGGACATTGTGGGCTACGCAACTCATCCAGCCCACCTATAGTACGTTTTACACCCATCATTTTAGGAAACTCCGCATCAACTAACACGGGCCGCATACATAGTACCCAGGAACTTCGCACTGAGATCTGCGAGGATGACACTCTTGCATATGACCTGGAATTCCCGGCCTGATGAGTCTAATTCGAATAGATCAGAAGAGTATGATATGCCTACGCTCAGATTATCTCATTATTCTGCTTCTACATGTGCATTCAACCCCACCTGACCGTAGATACTTGATGGTCAAAGCATCTTAGACATGGATCAATATTATTGTCCACCTCTCCAATTGGTTTCGGAAGCAGAGGAGTAATTGCCGTATAGACCCCTCTACATGTTAACTCCACCCTCTATCTAACTCCTAGGACGTATATCCATATCCTAGAAGAGAATAAAATCTCATCTCATAGACCTAACCAACTTCTTGTGAATTATTGAGTAAAATAGCAAATCCATAACAAACGATGCGACAGAACAATTCTAGACCAGCACGGAAATATGGGTTTGCTTGCTCAAATTGTAGGAGGCGCAAGGCCAGATGTAACGGTGCTATGCCATCCTGTCAGAAGTGTCTTTCAAACGGCGAAACCTGCTCGTACGACAAGTAAGCATTATACCAACACCAATAGAGAGAGAGACGAATACTCATGATTTCTTAGGGCCCCCTCGATAGCTTATGCAGTATCATTACAGAACGAATTGCAAGCATACAAAAACAGGATCGAGGAACTAAGGCGGGTCAAAGACAAAGACCGGGATGCCCTCCTAGATGAGCCTATTAGAACAATAAATCCAAATGAAGGGAGATCCCGTGCATTTCGAAGCCCTCCTAGTCTCCAGAACCCCCAGCAGGAAGACAGCGCCACTGTTGAAAGTGCAGATGATGCCGCTGATATGGCTTCTGTTGGTACAGACGGGAGAGTCAACTTCTATGGGAAGACTAGTTTATACCACATAGATCCCAAACACTTCGAAGAAAGTAGTCCCACAGAAAGCCACGAAGATAGCATCGGAAGTTATATTCATGATATGGCGACCATGCCTTCGATGTTAGAATTCCACGACACAGCCTCACTTCTGGCGGAAATACCACATGGCCTCCTAAATGACCTCCTTGATACATATTGGTGCTACCCACACCACTTCCATTGTGTATTATGCAAGCCTCTATTTTTACGTTAGTATGTCCCTGTAGGCGTCCTTCCGAAAGTCTAACCAATATCCAGGAGATCTTTACAGTTCGGGGTCATACGTTACCCCTTTTCTGCTGTGTACTGTCCTTGCGCAAGCTGCTCGGTACTCCACACGCCGAGATGCTACGGAAGTTGGGCAAACTTTTGCCACTCGAGCCTTACAACTACTGCCTAGCGATATTGACAAGGGCAGCTCTATTCCTACTATACAAGGGTTGCTTATACTCTCCGCCCGAGAGTGCGCTTGCGGGCGCGTTTCTCAAGGCTGGCTATACTCTGGAACGGCGTTTAGAATGATGCGCGACCTTGGGATAGATGTTTCGCCCAAAAAGCTCGGCCACTTGGCGAAACAGTTCACTGATGAGGAGCTCGCTGTGCGGAAACAGGTCTTCTGGAGCTGCTATACGTGGGATAAAACCATGAGTGTGTGTCTGGGCCGAGCACCGGCCGTACACTACTCTGTAGAGCTTCCTACTCGGGACACATTATTACATGGACACGATGCAGACGACGAAGTATGGCCGCCAGTGACAGCATATAATTCATTTGTGGACGGACTAGTAGAACAGAAATCCCTGAGCAGTACACGTTTTGTCGCATACTGTGAGCTCAGTGTCATCATTGAGAATATTCTCGACACGCTATACTCCCGGCCGCATAGTGGGAGGCAAGACCACCTCATTACGTATCTCGATTCGACCCTACAGCGGTTGCAGTCTTGGGCCGACCAACTCCCCCCGGAAATCTTCATCAAAGAAACCACCTCTACGGCAATAGTGTCTCCCCCCTTACACATCTTACTCTTAAACCTAACATACCAAGCAGCTACGATACTCCTATGCCGACCCTATCGAACATTACAGCAAATAGCAAAGGAGAGATGTACCAAGGCAGCTAAGATGACCGATACCTTACTCATGCTACACGTCAAGCGCTTCGGTTTCCGATACATAACTTATCTAGAGACGTATACGCTGTTCGTAGCCTGCACCGTAAACGTGCTCGATTTCACCGAAAACGAAACTTGTACCGGGGATCCCGTGCTAGCTCGAGAAGCCAATGCCAGACTTCACTTCGGGCTCGAAATTCTCAGGCAGGCAAATAGCACACCAGCAGCCGCTCGCTGTGCTTCGACCATCTGTCAGCTGTTCAACAAGCAAAAGGCGTCAGTACTGAACGGCGCCGGGGGCCCGCGACAAGACGCATCATCACAAACGATCGCTAGTTCTTCTCCCAGGGGCTTGGAAGTCGGCTCCAACATCCAGACATTCATGCCAACACCCGCCTCCTCAGCAACCGCCGTATCTTTCCCACCAACGTCTCAGCCACCCCTCACGGTTACCGAAGGGAGCTACATCGATTCTATAGTAGCTGCTGGGATTCCATATGTGCAGGATGAGAATCAAGGCCACGCATTAGAATCACCCGTGCCTGTCGAAACGCCGCTTCGATGGTTGCCCGAGAACGTGCAGGATGACGGAAGCTGGATGTTAATGACTGATACTAATTTCAATGGGGATTTTAGCTTCTAACCTATGGTAGAGTTATAATAATAGCTATTGGTTCTAAAAAGGCAAGATCAAGGGTGTCTAGGTAGTCGTCCATTTATACTGCCATACAGATAATATTTGTAAACGAATAACAGATCTTATATAGGGAGCCTGGGTGAGTAGTGCTGGCCTCTCGTGCCCTGTAACTATCAGCGACAATCACATACCATAGCGAATCTTACACCCGTGAAAGGCAATTGTAGTTGACCAAGATAAATTGGTAGTTTGGAGCATTTGAAGCCGGTGCTCCGAAGCTTGACGATTAATATGGTCTGTAAACAAAAATATATACATGCAGCATGATAGGGAGGTGAAAGGGGGAGGTAGGGAGTTAAACATCAGTAGCATCTTATGCTCCGATTCCTTGTCAAATATGAAAACTCCAAGAATGAAACTCCTCGTTTATTGATAGCGTAAAGAGCTGGGTATCTCGTAAATGTACCTAACCTAATACAAAAAAAGCCATAACAGCCCTCCTACGCCCATACGTGCCGTTTCTCATACATATCCGCTTCATAACCCGAATTTTTTGTGCAATGCTGTAATTTTAAACCACGCTACCAAAACCCCATACCTCGGAAACCAAAATTTTGTAAGGGACTGGATACCTCTGTTTTCTGCACTCTTTTTACTAAAGTTTTTCATTCCGATGCTTTATTTACTCGACTCGAATAATGACTTTCCACCCTAGAGCCCCTGCTTCTCTTATGGCGCAAGATAAACAACCCCGCCTACGGCGGCTAATAACTGCGTTCCAGCCCCTCTCGGCGCACAGGGCGCGGACGAGGATCTCGAGGTCGGACCCGAATTGCCTCCTACGCGTTCCGAGTCGCATCTTGGCTTCGGGACTGGGACTTGGCGGGTCGATCCGCTCGATCTTGCTCCGGGATGATGCTGCTGTGCTTGGCCGCCGCTCCAGCTCTAGTGAATTAGATGTCCGTAGTGGTGGCATATTAGTGGCTTCTGTACCAAATGACGATGAGAGCGAAGACATGCGAGAGAGTGAGGGCATATCTGGTGATTGCGGTGGCGCAAAACCCGTTACACAGTCAATTACCAAGAATCGGGGAAGTCTGTTGGATATAGAGGTTGAGGAGTGACTTCTTGAATGCCCTTTAACTGATATTTTGCATAATAGTTCCTCTAGATTCGTGGAAGGATGGTTAATGAGATCTGTGACATGAATCGCCGTATAATGATAAAATCGATGGAGCGGATGGCCTGGCACGTGTCAGTAAGACGCAATAAGAGAGGCGTGAAGCAGGGATACAAACCTGTGATGTGTGCCGGGCTAGAGGACTTGCCATTGAAATTATGACCTCCGACGTCGATTTGCTGGATAGTAGGGCTAGTGGGGGATTTAAAATACTTGACATAACTGGAGGCGACGCAAGGATGAGCGGTAACAAAGTAGACGTCATTGGAAAGCGTAAAGTTGTGATGTTCGTCTCTTTCAAGCGCGTCGTGAGATATTGTAAACGCTACAGAAGCAGGGTAAGTCTGAATTTCTGCGTCCTCTTCCTTGTTGGAATCCGACAACGGGCGGAAATTCTCATCTGCGGTAGGTGCTGTGCTTCCGTTGTCTGTCGGGGCGTTTAAATTTAACGATTTAAGCTCTATTCTGATATTCGAGGGAGGCGGATTGGGGTATGCATTTTCGTACGGGATTATAAAATCGGCGGGCAGTACACTCGAAGGATCAGCATCACCGAGAACATCAGACTCGCGTTCAATAGTTGTTTTACCCCATATTCTAGCTTTCCTTCCTGTTCGGACGAGATCGGCTGCAATGGTAAGTACCTGGCTTGAACTAGATTGAATGAAATCAGCGGGCTTACCTGGGATTGCATTAACTGCAATGTTTACCCAGCCCTCGTCGAGTCCTCGAGGAGTCACGTCGCTCGATATCCAACCCATACACTCTGCCGCACCCTGTCCAGCAGCCAATACACGGCCCACGATGCAAGCTGTGCTCCAGAAACTCTTCCCGCTGTAGACAAATCCACCAGAGAGATTTGCCAGTGGACCGAGCTTTGCCAATACATTTTCATCAACCTCCAGTAAAGCCGACATAAGATAGTGCGATAACACTTCACCCGGAAGGATTAAACCGGATACATATGACTTCGAAAACCATCCGGACGTGTGCAACGCAGCTTCAACCTTTCTCCGCCTGGCGGGCTGCTTTCTGTCGTGCACTAATGATGCACTATCGGAAAAGTATGAAGAGCGGCGGGAATCATAATCAAGGGGAAGCGTAGTAACGGGGGTTACTTTACTTAACGCCATAGCCTTCTCGGATAATGTTGCTCCAGAAAGTTGTATGCCTGGCCAGCGTAGCTTTCGCGCGAAGTGTATCAACCCGTAAACCTGCCTCTCGTTATATTTTCCCTCTATTGCGTACACATACTCAGACTGAGAGTTGTGCCGATGCTGGCTGTGGTCAACGTGATGCGCCCCGTACATGTGCTCATGCTTGAGATTCATCCTGCTCGTCAACGAAGAGAGCCATCCTTTAGGCGTGGATGGTTCGGAGTGATTTACTTGTTGCTTTTTAATCCTGATATTTTCCAGCCACGATCGGGCCAGAATCAAGGACCATCTAACAGAGACATTTGCCTCCTTTTCAAATCTGTGTACCTCAGACGTCTTGAGATTCTGGCCTATACCGCATTCATCGCCCTCCGTGATGGCATCTAGTCGAATAAGGAGTTCGCAGGCAAGAAGGATTTGAAGCAGCAACCAATATCGCTCCTCACCTCGATCTTGCGCGTCGTTTCCCTCATTGATAGATGCCCCATCTAAGATCTCATCATCCAAGGGGAAGGCCCACAAAATTTGGCCAAGACGGATCCTCCATTCGACACGGGAAAAGTCGGTCCAGGCATTCGGCGCCGCCAGTACCTTTACTAAGGCATTGATTTGCAAAGCCAAGCTATAAGGGTCTTTTGGATCAATAACCCTGGTTGGTGGATAGAGAACTTTAGCGAATAACTCATTGTAAAGCTCCTGAGATTTTATCCGAATACCCCTTCGCTCTGCCTGATATCTCTCCTCCAATTTGATTAGCTGTTCCATGATGTCCGAATCATCGAGATGCCGCAAGCCATCCTTAGAGGTTATCAGCCTCTGGCGCTGCTCTACAATAACATGGCCCTTGGATCCTAAGCTGTCGAAACCATACTGCTCCTCTTGCAGGGAGTCGGCAACAGAAATTTCCAAGGCAGCTTGATAACCGATAGTTCCTTTCTCTAAACCCTGCATGCTAAGCATGTTTGGCCGTTCCTGGCATCTTGCATTGAAATGAGGCCGCTTCTTGCTGGACGGCGACTCTACGGATAGGGGGTCTCGGAGAATGATCCGGGGTCCAGCAGTGATACAACCCCAGGCATTGTCTCCGATCTGGACATGGTCTGTTAAGTCTCTAATGCCCAACTCATCATTCCAGGGGAAGGCCACAGATGGGTGCGGGGCACCGGTGCCGTGACCTTGAGACCGAGCGAAGAATTGCGGAGCTCCGGAGAATAGCTTCTCGATCTCGGTATCGGTCAATGCTGCCATGATGCGATTTAGTTTCAACACGGGCTTGCGAGGCCTGCCATCGACTTTATCTATAGCACCCGGGGGAGGCGGAGATGGGAGCGGCTTATTAGAGTTGACAGGCACACGCGGAGATAATGGTGGCCTCTCAGAAGATGGCCGTGCACTCGAAATCTGCTGAGATATACGAACGGTGTTAGTGATAAACCCCGAAAAAGCTCCTTATAGGCAGTGCTGGTTATAAGAGATGCTGAACACGTGAGAAGTACGTGGAACTGTAGAAACCGATATAAGAGATTCAGCTGTGTGAACTACTTAGTTCCATCTGCCTGAACAATTAAGAAGCATAAAAACAAGAGGGTTCGAAAAGAAAACAACGCATGCAGGGTCAAGGTAGAAACATCAGCTGAGGTCATAAGACAAGCAGTTTAGGGGTCGCGGTCTTATCCAACAGCTATGCACTTTCCCCCCTCATTGAACTGAAATGGTATTGTATGTACAATACTTGTACCGAGGCTTGGCAGGGGATTAACTCATACGTGCGCATCTGGCAATTGCCATCGCAGCTGCATCGTTAACGAATCGCCCCAGAATCTCCAGCAGTTAGAGCAACTACCAGTTGGCGAACACGTGCCCTGACAAGGATGTGGAGGGAAATGGAGGGAGATGGAGGGAAATGGGCAGGGGCGGTAAGGGTTGCTGTAAAAGGAAATTATGGTAGGTACAGTACCGTTGTTGCTGCTGTGTTGGCCTTTGATTTCTCCGCACTAGATGTACTGATACTTCTGCCTGTAGTCGTGGCCGGCGTGTTTGTAGTCCCGGTACGTGTAGTTGGAGTTGCATCTGCATCTGCATCCGCGACGGCCGCGCTTGTGCGTGTGTTTGGACCTGAACCCGAACCTGCACCTGAAGCTCTTTCTGCATATCCACACCGTTGCCCCGGTCCTTCACCTTCGCCTTCGCCTTTACTCATTCCAACACCTTTAATCACCCCATGGATACCCTTATGCAACTTATTCCGTATTCGCGCCTGAGGGGTCTCACGACTCTGCTCTTTTGGCCGTCGTACAAATTCTCGAATTCGAGCATAGTTAGATGAGCGTTTTTGCCGGTTGCCATCGTCTGGTTCCTTGGCGTCGGTAATGAAGATCAGTGCTGAGGGTTTAAACACAGCTAGCGATGGTGCCCTCATGAATGAGTCGTGTGCGCTTTTCCGGTTGTTTAAGTTTAGAGCGTCGAACACAACGTCGGACGGTATGTTGCGCGAAAAGTGCATCGTGGTTTCAGAACTGATATGTCGTACTGGTTATAAGTGTGCCATGAAAACAACCACCAAGCCATCCAGTCGATATCAAAATGAGGTTGGACCAAGGATATTAAGTTGGAGAGATGCTAAAAGCCAGTCGACAAGATCGTCTATATTGCGGTCTTCCCGATATGCTAGAAGACGATGATAGGCGCACCTAACGCCAGATGTAAATTTCAGATTACACAATTATGGGAAATCAGGCTGGGCGGCCACACGACCATATTAAAATGACAAGCATCCGATCTATCTTTGTATACTCCAGGCCGGTAGTATGGATGATGACACGAACCGCCAAGCTTATGTCCAAAGTGCCGAACGTCACCATACATGGTAGATGGATTCGGGCTATGGGTGCTTGGTGTTTGTACATACCCATGCAAACAAGCTGCGATAGCTACCTACCTACCTACCTACTTACGTATGGGTGAGCAAGATAATCAGCCGGTAAGCTACCTAACTATCCTGTACATTTTTGGCTTGTTTCATATCACCTTCACTACCTCCTCATAGGCTTCGGAGGTCAAATATGCAGGGGATATTTCCTATACCGATTTGGTGGTTTGAAATCCACACCCATCAAAAACTGTTGGTACTTTAGTTCCTAACCAGCAATATCATGCGTCTTATTCCGGTAGATGTGGACTTTTCTCATATGTAACAGCCGCACACCGACATTATCTCTCGCTACATCCACGTTCTCACTTACAGTTTCAGCCTTCGTCCCTGACGTGGCTCGCGTGGGCGGCCATCTGGATAGTCCGTAGATCCACTAGATCTTTTGCTTCGTACCCCCCTTGCGGTCCGCGATTCCACCTTTACATAGTGTAGAAGCAGAAACGCGGCACCACCCTACTAAGCCGATTCCGTCTAAGCCGCTTATCAAATACGAAGATCAGAACGCCTTTTGTCATCGCTGTTGTCAAAAGTTCTTATTTACGACTTTGAGACAATGTCAGCCTTATGGGGGGTATCCTTGCCACCTTCGAATTATCCTTCGAATTATTGCCGAAGCGTCTTTCGCTAGAATCCTAAGCACTGCCGTACGAGTTGTATAACACTTTAATTTTAATATAGGTGGTAGCCTTTCACCTTCAACCTGTCAACCCAATAAATCCGAACATTTCTACTTAATTTATATGGGACGCGATGACTGAACTCTGCCGGAAAATAGAAACTAACCCTTGCTTCCATGAAGGTTCCCTAATCAATTATTCACATGCGATGGTGCAACGTTGAATCCTGAGGCGCCGTTCCATACGATGACCAACAGTACATTGTTAGATTATATCGTATAACTACTATGTACCCACCAACTCAATTGTCCTGTTACAATTTGACAATAACTACAAGTCAATTATCCTGACCTTGTAGGATTCTAAATCACATCCGTAGAGCGTCCAGGTATGGCATCCTACCGTGGCCCAGTTCGGCCCCAACTGCAGTATTCTAGAATCGCTCTGTGGGTAATAACCGCGGCGATCAGTTACAGCTGACGATGATCACAGAGCTTCCCGCTTGTCCGGAACTAATGTTTCGTTGGTGCTGAATCTTATAGCTAAAGTTGGCGATGACTCGCAATCTGCGTATTGAGTTGGCAACACTTTAAATAGCACTGCGGATCAACTAATATCGGATATGACCGTAGGTAGTCAGCAAACTTGCGATATTCGTTGTGCTAATTGATAACTCTGGATACGGGGCCTTTCTCATAGGATCCTCCAATGCCTCCTCCTATGCATTTACACCTACTGTTGTAGTACCGAGAGATCTCAAACTACGGCTATACACATTAATTCGCGTGCCCTAAGTACATACGTGTCCGAGGTTCGGGTTATTATTTCCATCCGTCTCCCCTAGCCCGTATTCATCCAGTGGTTCTTGATTGAGCTACCACTGAAACTGAAACTACACGGGCCGATTCTCTTGGCAGCCGCTTTTCAATGACCGATAGAAATTTACAAATGTTAGAGATTCTAGCGGTATACATGGGGAAGAAAACAGCAGATATTCCACCGTCAAGGCTTATGGGATAAGCCGACTACTTTAGCCCAAGATTATGCGAGTGCCGAAAGTCTACGTGAAAGCATACTCATAATTGTTTAGGCTAGGAGCCGAGACATGTTTCATCCATTATTGCCAGTTCATGTGACAACTTTTAGTGGCCACGGTTATAGGATGGATGTAAGACGGGCCCTCGTGACGAGATTCCTCTTCTCACCAATGCTAACAGCTCGAGGTGAATCTCATCAGGGTTTGAGTGTTGGTTTAACATCTATCAAGCAGCATCTTACTTGGGGTTTTTTCTAAGGCCAGTATGCTCTTGCATCCATTATTCCTTGATACTTATTCGTGTAATCAATTCCAATCCTAGGAGAACGGAGCTCTATGCGTCCGGTTTCATCTATCTCGCCAGGTTCGATCTCTTTTATAAACACCTGTAATAATACTCTTCCCAAAAGTGTCAGTCGAGGCTACAATGCTCTGATGCCACAGATTATTTATATGTATCTCGTAACGGATGGAAAGATCTACCATCGAAAGGTAGCTTATATCGGCGACCTCAATACCAAGCCCGATCAGAGTAGCTATGCTGTGCTCCCGCGCCCAAGAAGCAACGGATTTTCTTCTCTCGTTCGCATTAATATCTTTCACGGAGGCATGTGTTGGCAGGCGTAGCAGAATTAATGTTATCCGCTCTGTTGACCACCCATGTCATTTTAGTGATCCTGTGGTCCTTCGGACATCAATTTTAGTTGTCAACGTAGACTTAACGGATGTTATGGCAAGTACCGTCATGAAGGCCGGAGGAATGCCTTATGCCTCCCCTGGACCGGTCAACTACTTAGATTCTGGCAAAAAGACACGCCCCCGGTGTCCTTGGTGCTACGTCAATTGCCTCCGTGAGAGATAGTCATGACAGCAAACGCTCCTGTGTTTTCGAAAGCATCTGCAGAGCCATGGCACGAACATTGTCCTTCTATTGGATTACCTCGCTACACCCCACGCGCGAAGGACCCCGGGAGGCCTGATAGTTAACATTCTTGGATTGTGCACCGTCTGCAGTAGTAGGTCTCAACTACTGCAGTCAGCTTGCTATCACGCGCGGAAATAGCTTAGAGACGACCGGGGGACGTCCACTAAGAGAGGAAGACTTTAGACACTACCCAGCAATACCGTCAGTCTGATAATAGCTGAAGCGTCTGCTACATGGTTGAGCTGACTCTGGGTGGTAAGCATAGGGGAGAAAGGACACCCATTCAACCCCAGCCTAGTCGAGTCTGACACGGACAGCGTGTGCTGCTATTTAGCCGTTGAGCACTGCTTTAATGGTTATGGCGTCCATAGCCTCAATCATATATGAAGTATACACAATTTGCCGTCGTATGGTATAATACCGCAGCAATGGCCGAGAGCGAGTTGCGATGATATCATAATGTTCTGGCTCCTATTCTTAGAAAAATAGGTTAGTTATAAATCTTCGCATAGTTGTCAATGGGGGAAAGTAGAGTGATGTGTATCAGGTCTTCCCTTATATTCCCCCACCAGTTATGGGTTAAATTCCGCTTATACAGGCAACCTAGAGCGGTCGTGCGCCCTTCGGTTCGCAATGAACATATTCCATCTATATACGGATACTTCAGACAGTCCTGATCACGTAGCAATGCCTACATTCGATGACGGTCATACATGATAATATTCTTTTATTAGAGACTTTGGGACCCATCAGGATAGCCTTAGGTCGTCAATATAAATCATTCCCAGCCTGGCGATCTTGGGTATAATGCCATCCTAAACGCCGTCGAACGCCGTGTATGCTGCAAGCTACTGGCTGAGAAAACCGCCAGCTCAGTCACGAGCCAGGAATCCCGCTAGATTCAATAACCTGAAATGTGACGCGTTCCATTATACGGGAGGTGTATCATGGACAACTACCAGCAGATACTTAACTTCGGGGACAATAACTAGTTCTTGCTTCTTTGTGCGCAACCTCAATAATTTCAGTTCATCCTACATCAAATTATTAGCCCCTCTTCCATTGAAAAACACAGGTTCGCGTCTACCTCGGTGTCAATCTCGTCAACTAAGCTCCCTGCCGTACTTAGGAAGCTCCACACCATGCTAGCGAGCTCTTGTGCGGCTTGGGTCTCGCTATCGGTACTCGCGCTAACGTCGGTCGAAAAGGAGCCGCCCGTAGGACTCGGCAGTGAAGCCTTCCTGTCTACAGATCGCGCAGGTCTAATCGTGGAGATCTGGCCGTTGGTCTTGAGAACGGCGCCGTTGGTCCGGTCCAGCATAAGCCAGGCCTTGACCCCGGGTTTCTTGGAGAGCCGGTGGAGTGCCTCCTCTATGGATTCCGTGTTGACGGAAGGCTACGTACGTTATCAGTTAGATATATATATATATACATAAATATTAATACTGAGGAGTTATAACTCTTACCAATGCCTTTTCTGCCATAGTTCCTTTTGGTGATTGAATGAAGAATCCTTCGTAGTAATTGCGAACGGGAACAGCCCTCAGGGTGAGTTAAGAGCTTATTGATTCTTTGTTTGGTACCTGTACCTAAGACAACCGTACCTAGATGGAAATTAGCTTAAGCCACCAAGAGGAACTGCGACCGTAGCGGGCAAGCCACTATGATAAGATAAGCAAGCCACAAACAAAATCCGGGGTCACTAATGAAATTATGCCGCTGCTTACCGCCAAAAAGTTGTGCTCGATAAGTTCCGTTGCGAAGCTCAGTTTGATGTATAATGGGATAGTATGGCCAATTGGTCTGCTGAACCTATCGCGCTAGTTCTTTCTCATCCCAATGACTGATTCAAGATGGGTTCTAGTACTAAGAAGAAGAAGGAAAAGAAGAAGGACTTCCAGAAGCCCAAGCTAAAAGTAGGGAAGCCCAAGGCGAAACCTTCTAACTTCACGGATACCAGTTTTAGATCCAAAGGTATGATGATGATGATGATGCTATTTATTGGATACCCACCACCGTAATTGAAGGTCGCTTTGCTGAACTATCGCAGCTATCGTCTTGCAGCAGCAACTTACTGAGGATGCACCGGATCCATCCGAACGATTCAAGCATACCCTCTCTCTGACGAGCTCTCGCTCGGATACTCAACGTCGAGATGCGTTATCATACCTCGCGAGTCAGCTCTCGACGAATCCGCCGATAAATCCAGTAGGCACGTCGACATTACTACAGAAGCTTCTTCCCATAATGTCCGACTCCTCCGGACCTGTGCGCGGCCAGCTGCTGAAGCTACTACGAACTCTTCCCGCCGATGAAGTTCGCCCTCATGTCGAGAAGATCATGCTCTATATCCGAGGTACCATGACCAACATCTCGCAGGAGGTCAAGGATGATGGCCTGAATTATATGGAATGGCTACTTGATGTTGCCGGCGAGGACGTTGTCTCAGGTGCTGGTTGTTGGGTTAAACCGCTTAGAGACTTCATGTCGGTTCTAGGATGGGCTGTTAAATCCGTACCAGCCACAGCATCGAAGAGCGGTTGGACTTCTGCTCCGAGGACGACTTTTGGTGCCAAAAAATATGGCCAGTCTTTCCCACGACAGATGTTGGTGTTGTCTAAGTTTCTGGACATGGGGTTCAAGCCTGGAATGGCCACCTCCTGGACCCCGAACGATTGGGTCAGCAATATATGCTGCGTGCCGCAGACACCAGACCCACTGGGGTATCTCGGCTTATTTAAGCCCCCTAGAGATGAGGATAGCGAGCTCTATCGAAACCGAGAAGATAGACAAGATATCTTCCAGAAGAGATTTAGAGCAGCTGTTGAGGCTGGTGTAGATATGGCTAAGAAGGAAGGTGGGACGGCTGGTAGAGCTGCGGCAACACTAGATCAAGTGTTGAAGAATGGTATGGGTGACTACGAACAGACCTCACGATTCAACGATGACGAGCATCTATGGGATGGTTATATCATGTAAATTAGGGATTTAGGCGCTCTGAGGCATACCTTTAAATTTCCAACCTGTGCTGAATGCAATATTCTTCCCCGTGCTAAATTTTGAATTCGATTCTCACTCCACATGCGATTAAGATGGATGTATATTTTGGACAAGCAAATTTCACCTGATCTCTATCATTTTAATATTGATGTAAGGTAGGTAGGTAGGTATGAATGAACATTGAACACTGCTTAAATAACCTAAAATGCTACATACAGATCCCAACCAACGCTGTGTATAATAATGATGCCACAAAGGCTTACTTATGTATATCTCTTAAAGGCTCAATCGTACCAAGGGGTTTACCTCTAATCATGCTGCAAGTACCCTCAGCATAGCCCCATCTGTGTGCTCTTTACCATTTGTTTGTTCAAGCTCTAATACCATGTAGCTTATGAACGAACGCACATATTCCCGTCATTCATCTCCAAGATCTAATACTGATAATGAGTTGATATTGTATGTTGCTACCCTAGCAAACAAATATCTTCATGTACGCTCAAAGGGCGTTTGATTAAGTAGGTAGAGATGGTATGCATGTGATACTATGGTTACGGATCTACTATAGTTCTTATATATTCAGTTCATCATGAATAAATCATACGTTAGGTAGGTAAAGGCTTTCGAAAAGCATAAGGAGAAGTTTCCAAGTAACCCCTTTTAATCTAGCTTGCTGATGAATCGAATATATAGTAACATGCCGCCATAGGAAGTCGATTGTCCCAAGGGTAGACGTTGATTTCTCAATCTCTCATTCATGTCCAGAACCCTAGTCATATTTCCATGTCGTCGTTTCTGACGCCCCCCGTCTAAGCACTCTGGCAGGCTTATCACATCCTGCATAGGAATTTCTTACAGTGATCTGCATATCGTCCCAGTATCCGAGGCCAGACATCTCATCTCCTATACGATCGTCATGGAGACCTAAAAATACATAACCATAAATTCTAGTGTGCCTTCCATGTTTGAGGCTTACAGTAAGGCAAGTACATACATGTGCGTATGTATTAAATATTAATAACTACCTAACCTACAGTGTCCAACTAAAGAGTCCTTGTGCACTTAGCTGGCGCCTCCTCCCCTAATAGCCACAGTCTTATTTACTTATATAACTACTTCCTTATTTACTAATGTACCTTGTTGCCTGATTCGTACCTGGCTCTACTTGCCTAAGTTGTACCCTTCACATACCTGTAACAGCAGTTATAGTAGATTTGGTACTTACTTACCTAAGTACGCGTACTTAATACCTCACATAGGGAGGTAAAGTATATAGAAGTATTTACGGGGCTCCTTCCAAAGCAACTGAACTTAAGTAACTGTTCCTTCCTAACTTTGTTGCTTCCTGATCCTCGAGGTATCAAGGTGCTGATTCTTTCCTGCCAGCAATTATAAGAGAACGCATCCCTCCTCCCCACAGCCTACTTCTACTTTTTCCTCTCCATCACATTTCCACAGGATCCCACGGAAAGGGACTCAAGCTTGATCCAAGAACCACAACTACAGTCTTCAGTTCTTAGATTTTTCAACAGAACAAAGGGCTAGGTAAGTTTAATGTTTCCTTCTTCCTCATTATCTCTCACCATCACCCATCAATCATACTCTGCTAAAGGTAAACCTCAACGTGTCTGCCTTACAATATAACACCCCCTGATTCTTTTCTCCCTCCTCCCTTCTCTTTACTTTCCTTCTTCCAGCACGAGAGACACTTCAACTCTGAATGTTACTTTCGATCGTCTATTACTTGGGCGGTCTTTTACGCGACTCGTCTATCGTCAACCTGTATTTCCCAAACAACCTTTTACACCATCTAAACCTCGCTTCTTTTAAGCAACCTACCCTAAGACCTTATCATTCCTGCACGGTTTGGCTGGTCGGTTTCAATGGCCTATTAACCTCAATCCAGTATCATAGCTTCCTCGTTATTACTGGATAGGTAAGCTTGTTTATTACACAAGGCTCCTTCTTGACATAATTCTTTCCTACCTATCACTTACACGAACTACTGCTACCTTACTTTACCTTCTATGGCTACTTCTTCCAGATATTCAGCTGTTTTAACGCAACCATTTACTAATAAATCTATCGCATAGGGCTCACGCTTACAAACTTGAGTATCACGACACTCAAGTTCTCAAGACCTAAGTCAGCAAGTAAGTATCTACTCACGCTTTACTTCGCATTTGCGCCCCCCCTCAACAAATACTAAGTGTATTTTGTATCCTTCTATCAAACTTCTAACCTTGGCACCCCGGACAACCGAGTATCTCAACATTCTACTCCTCCCAAACATACCTGATATCACATTGCCCGAAACCTTCATGTGCTTGTCTGGCTGCATTTCCGTGTATCTGAGATTCCGGCTTCAAAGCCCTTACAGGCTGGCGGATGAATATTACGTCTTCTGTTATCACTGACCTAAAATGTCTAGAAATCCGAGAACAACCTTGTTGGTCCATTGATCAACATGTCTGATAGCTGGGGTTCCCCCGAGGAGAAGCCAGTGGCCCCCAAGGAGGCTGCCGGCCCTTCAACTACCGTTGCGCAACGTCCTGAGAAGCCAGTTGGTGACTGGGGTCAGCCTGTTGCATTCGACTACACCGAAACTGATGTTGACCGCAAGTGGGGCAGTAACGGCGTCATCTATGAATGGGATGGCGAAGAAGGCGAAGTCGGCCCTGTGAATCCAGAGCTGGAACTCCAGCTCTTTGGTCTCCCGGAGGAGCGACACTGCGCCGGCGTCGATTTCTCCAAGTAAGTTCACTTAATTCGCCTTCACGGCTCGCTAACCTGCTAACTTCCCTAGGATCGCGGAGATCAGTGTCTCCCAAGAGGGTGAGAAGCGTATCATCCCTATCTCTCACTTCAAAGAAGCGGGTCTTCACCCTATCATGATGAAGAATGTTGAGATGGCCGGCTACAAAACACCGACCCCCATCCAAAAGTATTGCATCCCGGCGATCAAGATGGGACATGATTTGATCGCTATTGCCCAAACAGGTCAGTAACTCACTTACCTTTCATCGTCACTCTATGTAGCCCTGCTAACCCATTTGTTTCTTAGGTTCCGGCAAAACCGCTGCATATCTGGTTCCTATTTTGAACCAGCTGATGGGCAAAGCCAAAAAGTTGGCTGCTCCCCGCCCACTTCCTCAGCAATATGAGAATGGACCGACCCAATACGTGCGAGCCGAGCCTTTGGTGCTCGTGATTTGTCCTGCTCGAGAACTAGCAATCCAAATCTTCGACGAAGCGCGTAGATTCTGCTACCGCACAATGCTTCGTCCTTGCGTTGTCTATGGAGGAGGACCTATCCAGGAGCAACTCCAACAGATTGGACGAGGCTGCGATGTCCTCGTCGCCACTCCTGGCCGACTTATCGATATCATGGAGCGCTCGCACCTGTTCACGCTTCGTCGACTTCGATACATGGTGATTGACGAGGCCGATGAGATGCTCGACATGGATTGGCAAGAGGAATTTGAGAAGATCCTCACCGGTGGAGGTAAGTTCATACGTTCCTAACACATCAATAGAAATCTAATATCTGCTATAGAACAAGAGCAAGGAAATGTGAAGTACATGCTATTCTCGGCCACTTTCCCTGGCGCCGTTCGCAAACTCGCCAAAGACCATCTTGCGATGAACCATATTCGCATTCGCGTGGGCCGCATCGGAAGCTCTCATGCAAACATTTCGCAAGACATCATCTTCGTGAAGCAGGAGCTAAAGCGAGAGGCTCTTCTTGATCTTCTGTACTCGCTGAAGCCTGCCCGAACCATCATCTTCGTCAACAGCAAACGCACGGCAGACGAGATTGACGATTTTCTCTTCCACAAGGGTCTGCCTTGCACTTCGATGCACTCGGACCGCACTCAACGAGAGCGCGAGGATGCGATGCGAGCGTTCCGCTCTGGGAAGTCACCCCTTCTGATCGCTACCGGAGTTACGGCTCGTGGAATTGACGTACGTAACGTCCGCTACGTTGTCAACTTTGATCTTCCGAGTGCGGACCATGGCGGTATTCAGGAATATGTTCACCGCATTGGTAAGTTGCCTTTCATTTCCCAAGTGTCTTGTTCGTTTACTAATGCCGTACAGGTCGAACCGGCCGCATTGGATACACCGGTTCTGCCACCTCATTCTACACTGAGCGCGACGAGTCTCTCGCTGAGGATTTGACCAAGATTCTCATGGAGACTCAACAGCCCGTGCCTGACTTCCTCCAGCAATACATCCCCGAGGGTGTAGACCCAAAGAACTTTAAGATGGAGGACGACAAGAGCGACTTTGAAGAGGAGGAGGGAGACGCCGGAGACACGTGGCAGACGGATGGCCCCAATGGCGACCAGAATGCTGGTACTGATTCCTGGGCTACTGGCGGTGACGCCGGTGTAAATGACAGCTGGGGTGCGCCTGCGGCCGGAGGAGCTGCTGCAGATGGTTGGGGATCTGGAGCTAAAGTCGATTCCGCTGGTACTTGGGGTTCTGGTGGTAACTTAGGAGGTGACTCCTGGGTGAATGCAAGCAACGTGGAAGTTGATTGGTAATTACTGTATAACCACCACTCCAGTTTACATGACTCTGGCAGAGCCCTCGGACACTTCTGGCACAAACCATTTGGCAACTAAATTTGCTCAGAAACTGCGATATTCTGAGAGGTCACAGGCCTCCGAGTGAAGATGGCAAAATAATGTTTCATTTCGTTTCTTTGAGAGTTGGCACGAGGTAGGAACATACGTTTCTGGGTTGATAGTCCATAGTGGAATCTCTGAGTAGTACGAATTGATATCTGTCTTATGCCGTCCAAGATTTGACCACCGGATATCGTTAAGGTTCGTGGCATCGGAAAAATGTTGCTCTTGTTTAAGAAGGATGAAAATAGCTTACTTCTTGGCTCACTAACTCATATAGCCTTTCATAATACAATTCATGCTTAAGTACCTCACAGGTATGTAATCCAGAAGAGAGAGTTTACTAATCCGTTTCTTCACTCTCTGTTTGATGTTAGATATAAGTAATTGCTTAATATCACAACGAATATACGTACGGAAGGGAGAGTAGTATCAAGAACACTACCTGGTTGTAGGAGGGGACAGTTAACTAGCTCTATTCACATATAACATGTACCTAATTTATGCGATGTGTTTAAAGGAAGTGGAACTCTGCAGGTTTCATCCCTGTGCTTTCATCGTTATGCCTTGTCGATGATGTTGGAGTTATTAACTGACAGGTACCTTATGTAAGCTAGCGTAAATCTGGACTTTAGGCATATTGTAATGAGAGAGAATGGTAAGTCCTTATTCCGTATAAGGAAGTCTATGAGGATATGTCTTCTACGAGAATAAAAACGGAGGAGGGGAGGATACATATCTGGTTGTGTTAGGTGCTTTTAGTTTGACAAATGTTAGATACATATTGACATTACGGTGAGCTTAAATGTTGTTAATTGAATTATGGATCTAAAAAGAGGGAATTATTTAAGAAGTCGATGAATCGTAATAACGGAATACTAGATAATCTCCGATATGCATATAACGGAACGACATCTCATTCACTTATTGGATCAAAGCTCAGCGAGCTCATTCCAACTGCAGCCCGCAGCTCCGAAACATACGATACCTAATAGAGTAACTAACAATTACGAATTGAAGAAACATCTCCTCCTGAATCATCAATGGAATAAGTCTGGAGAATCTTTCTTTTCTTAGGAATTTGAGGGTTCGAAAAGCGTGAGTCGTAACAAAATGAAAGCTCTCACTCCTTGTCTACGCTCTGCATCGAGCCGGCATGGCCATGTCCAAAACCACGTGCTACGGCAACTACCCGTAGTAGCAGCAGCAGCATCATCACCATGCACCACCTATAACAACAACAACAACAGTAGGAGACCTTTCTCGGTTCTCAACCGCCCACCACCCAGCTACCCAGGCCACGTGCCGCTAACGGGTATCGAGCGCGCCGCCCTAGCCGTCGGCTCCGGCATCGCGTCCTTCGTGAACCCGTACCGGGGGGACATGATCGCGGCTCTGGGCGAGGCCACCGCGTCGCCGTACTTCATCCAGCGGCTGCGGCGGGCCATGCTCGCATCGGGCACGGGGCGCAGGATCTTACGGGACCGGCCGCGGATCACGTCGGCGTCGCTGAACCTGCCGTACCTGCGCTCGCTGCCGCGGAACACGGTCGGCGGGACGTACGTGGGGTGGCTGGACCGGGAGGGGGTGTCGCCGGACACGCGCAGCGGGGTGCGGTTCATCGACGACGAGGAGTGCGCGTACGTGATGCAGCGGTACCGCGAGTCGCACGACTTCTACCACGCGCTGACGGGCTTGCCGATCGTGCGCGAGGGCGAGGTCGCGCTCAAGGCGTTCGAGTTCGCCAACACGCTGCTCCCGATGACGGGGCTCTCGCTGCTGGCCGTCGCGACGCTCAAGGCGGCGGAGCGCCGGCGCTTTTTCACCATCTACGCGCCGTGGGCGGTGCGCAACGGCCTGCGCTGCGACGAGGTTATCAATGTGTACTGGGAGGAGGAGATGGAGACGGACGTGGATGCGTTGCGGGCGCGGCTGGGCATCGAGAGGCCGCCTGACTTGCGGGAGATGCGCAGGAGGGAGCGCGCGGAGAAGAAGAAGAAGAAGAGGTTGAGGGAGGGGGGTGGTGGTGCGCAGGGTGTTGTTGGGACTTGAGAGAAGGGGGTATTTCAATTTTGTCATTAATAGATAATTTGGTCTGTATATCATCATGGCTGCTGTACTTGGGCCGCGTAGGGCGAGAACAAGCACTTTCCTACCTACACATATTCCCCAGAAACGCCTTTGCCATGCTGTGCTATCCCGTCGCATCGTGCGCTGTCTTCTTTTGCCTCTCTCTTTTCTCCGCCGACGTCATCGACCGACGCCTCGCCGCGACCCATCCAATCCAGTCCGATCCGATCCAGTCCGCGTCGAGAAGCGACAGCAGACATAAAAAACATGCCTGCGGCATCACAGGTCCAGCAGATCGTCGTCGTCCTCGTCGTCCCAGTTCTTGCGCCTGTTCACCACGATCTTCTCCTCCTCCTTGGTGTCGGCGACCGCGTTCAGCAGTTCCTTGAGCTGGGCCTCGGTGACCTTCTGGCGCAGCTGGCCGGTGCGCGCGAGCATGATGAGGCGGTTCTCGACGTCGGCGGCGCGCTCCTCCTTGACGAGCCGGATGCGGCCGAGACGGTCGGCGGCTTCCGGGTGTAGGATTTGGTTGAGGATGGACTGGCGGGCTTCGGCTTCTTGTCTGTTAAGAAGAGAGAGTTGTTAGTTGGGGTGTTGTAGTATGTAGTATGGGTGAATCGTGATTGGTAAGGGGGGGGATGCGCTCACTGCTTCTGCTGCTCTGCTTGGTTTCCTTGGCTGGGCCCCGCGCTGCCTGTCCCGCTGGCCTGCGCTTTGAGCTGCTCGAGGCGCGCCTTGCGGATCTACGAGTTAGGGCATGTTAGTATTACCTTTCAAAAGGATTATTGATTATTTCGGTAACATCTATTTGGAATACCTGTTCTAATTCTGCGTCGGCCATGTTCGTTCGTTGTGTTATTTATGTAAGGTGGGATTTGCGTTGGGCAAGAAATCGGTATGTATAATAATAAATGATAGTGGGGTTTGTATAAGTCAATATTAGGAGGTACCTAACCTAGGTTAGTTACATAGGCGGCAGCTGGGATTCTAGGAATTCTAGTGGGGTGGTTTAAGGTGTTATGGTTAAGTTCATAAAAGGATGACCCCGCGTATTGCGTTAGTGATAGGTTTAGTATTTAGCGCCTTCTATGTATTGATACATATCTGAACTGACATCTGAACTGACAATCTCCTTTACTTTACGCTCTCCACAAGTTCAACCGATGAATGATTTCCGAGTTCATGTCATGCGAGAAATTACGGCAGTAGCAAGCAGTTTGAAAATTGAAAAGGTAAAGGTTAACTATCCTACGAGACCATTGAACATAGAGCTATGAATCCCAGGTTATATATTTTAGCAGGTGTAGTAATACCATTTTATGGCCATCACCAACAAGTTCAGCTGCCAGTCCAAGGTTTCCAATAATAGCACGCAGCCTTACACCTTTAGAGATGGATGGGCGGACAAAGTTATAACACCTCATGAGGAGGAGTATGAGGTTTTTGGGGAGTAGTGGCATTGGCGGAAACCATAATGCAACCAAGATGAGTACTCGGAAAAGAAATGGGATAACTGTTGGTTACATTTTATACTAGTCTTCAAACAGTCTGTAGACAAACAACACAACCCGCTGTCCAAACCTTGTCATTTACGGATAATCACGTTTCTACCGTCTAGGTAAGCGCTGGCCCAATGCTCGGTACCTTAGCACCGCATAACATGTGGGCAGAAAGGGGCTGTGGATGCTATAGGCAGAAAGTGGAGGATCTCTCATGCCAGAAGAAAAAGAATTCCACTCGTTAAAGAACTTACATTTAAGAAGACGACACGTAGCATAAGCTATTATTAAAACTATCTCATATCTGAACAGTGTAGTACATCAACATAACATCCTACAATTAGAAGGAAAGCCATGGCCAGAGACAGTGCCACCAATCAACACCCCCCCTCGAAGTACAGGTTCAATCCACATCCTCATCACCTTCATCTCTCCGCGGTTCAAAATTCAACTGTCGAGCATTAGCAACCAACCGGACATACTCTCTTGAGTAAACTTACCGAATTCCCATTATACAACTGCGCGTCCCTACGCCTGTCCTCGGCATCATCAAACCCCCTGATCCGCGAGGAAGTCCTACCCGCGGGTAGATTCTGCAGCGGGACCTCCTCGGGCGACGCAGCTCCACGACTGCTTAGCAGGCCGGTGAGTCCGCCTAGCATTCCAACCAGGAACCCGTATCCGGAGCCGAAGAAGCCTAGGACGTACGCTAGGCTGCGCCAGACGAAGCCGCCGGAGGCGCGTGCGAACGCGGAGGAGTACTTGGCGTGGACTAGGACGAGAGTGGCAGAAGGGGCTAGGCCAAGGGATAGGAGAGGCTCTGTTTCCTCGGCGGGTTCGACGGCTTTGTTGGGAAGTGGCGTTAGGACGATTCGGAAGGTGTACGGGTCGTCGCTGTCAGTCCGGTCCTCGTCGATCCACTTGCGTACTTCATTACTAAGGGTCGCGTCGCTCTTGAAGCGCGATCGGATTGTCGAGCCGTCAAACAAGCGGACCTGTAAGTTGCAGTAGTCTCCTGAGCTGCTGGCTTGTCTTCGGGCGAGGGGAATAGACGGGGTTTGGCTGCTGGAAGCTTCGGTGTCGTTTGACGTGGTTAGAAGTAGTCTTGCTTGTTTTTCTTTGGCCTCGCGCTCTTTGCGCTCTCGCCTGTCATCTTCGATGCGCTTTAGAATGCGTTTTCTGTCCTCAGCTGCTCGGATCTTCTGTTGTCTGACTTCTTCTGCGTAAGACCGCTCTGCTCTGTTGGTATTAGAGGACTGGCCCTCGTTGCTTTCACTAGGTCTGCGTCGCTCTCGTGCCTGGGCTTCTCGCTCTGACCTGGCCTTGGCTTCTTGCTCTGCCTTAGCTTTGGTTTCCTTGGCTTTAGCTTCTTTAGCCTCCTTCGCTTTCTTTTCTGCTTCTAGGCGCCTCGCTTCTTGTGAACTCTGCCCTTCCCGGGAAGGTTCTGCTGGTGCAGGAGAGGGCCTGGCTGGGATGTCATAGTCATCATATAGGTTGTCTAATGCGTTACTCCTGGTGGGTACCGGGCCCTGAGCGGCCGGAGGTGGCTGACTTGAAGCCTGTCCTGCAGGGGCAGTAGCAGTTTGTTGGGTCTGAGTTGTTGATGCAGTTTTGAGAATCGCCTCGATCCTGCGAACCAGATCCTCCTTTGCTGTGCCACCTTGAATATACTCTTTTAGAGTTCCGTTTCTGAGGCGTTTGTAAGTGGCGATACTTAAAATGCTGTTATGAGGGTTGGGATGAGACGTACTGAATGATTACTACTGTTGGCTTTTTTGGTATAGGAAATAGTGCTTCTAGAAATCCTGCCTCTTCAGACCCTGCCTGTAGTCGCAAGGCCAAAGCTTGATTTTTGAGTGGTGATTTTAGCTGTACAAAGTCAGTTAATAAATCCTCAATGTACATGCCCAGTTACTCACGGAATCGTTTGTGAGGAGCTCGTTCTCCCAAAGTTGACTCTCGTCTCCACTGTCTACACTTGTGTCAGTTTAACTGATACCATACACCCTTTCAGCATAAGTAGCTAACCAGTGACAAATGCGAGCACCATCTTGGTCTGTTGGATGGCAAGGGAGATGCCATCTTGTAGGCTGCCTTGGAAGAATACACTCTCTGACATCGTCACTACTGAAAGCTCGATGTCGTAAAGAGAAAAGTGTGGCGAATAATTTCGTGGACGAGTAGGTAGACACAGCGGCTGAGCGCAGGACTAGAGATTTGATATTCAATATTCAATTAAAGATGCAATTAAAGATGCGTGCTCATTCTTGGTGGAATTATCGACGTCTGACTGTTCATAGTATGGCGACCATCAATTAATCCAAACAGTCCTTTTCGCTGTTATCTAAGTTGAGCGTGTCTCTGATTATGGGAATGTCTCGTGAACATGTTGAGTCGTGATAAAAGTTGTTATTAAGTGCCACATGTGAGAAGCTGTTCAACATGTCGCAAGTACAAAGTACTTGGAGCTACGTACACCTTACCTAATACGGCCTAGCTGCCTGCGGGTTCCCTGCTCAAGCTTCGGGCTGCCGGCTCCGCAGAACTCAATTGATTGGATCAACTTGCAGAATCTAGTCAATGGCCAATGGGAGAGCTTCATTTATTTAAGAAAACGAACGTCATCGTTGAAGGCTTCGATAATGAAGATATTTGAAGATATACCAGCCATTCCGTAATGAAGTCGCAAGGGTGGTTAACACCCCAAATTCTCGCTCGGAGAGTCGAGAAAGCCCTCGAAGCCCAAGCTCGAGCCCGCGCCTCCAAACCCCAGAGCTACAGCACGCAAACCTCGCCATGTAGCATCCTCCGAACTTCCCACTCCCCCAGCAGCCAACCACGACGCCCTCTCTTCAGCCGACCCTTCACACACACCCCCCGGCCCCAGCGCCAACCCGCCGAAGACCCAAACTTCACCTCGATCCTCGACAACCCGCCAGAACTAGTGCGCGCAGGACGACGTCACGGGCCGGGCCTCATCGTCCTCGCCATCATCCCCGTAACCGCGTTCCTGCTCGGGACATGGCAAGTCCAGCGGCTCGGCTGGAAGACGGACCTCATCGCCAAGTTCGAGGACCGGATCGTGCGCGAGCCGTTGCCGCTCCCGCCGCGCATCGACCCGGATGCCATCCACGACTTCGATTTCCGCCGGGTCACCGCCACGGGGCGCTACCGCCACGACCGCGAGATGCTGATCGGCCCGCGCATGCGCGACGGCGACGAGGGGTACATGGTCGTGACGCCGCTGGAGCGCGGGGGCGACGAGGGCGCGACCGTGTTGGTAAACCGCGGATGGATATCCAAGAAGTTCCGCGATCGGCGGAGTAGGCCCGAGTCCCTGTACGCCGGCGAGGTTACGGTGGAGGGCCTGCTGCGGGAGCCCTGGAAGAAGAATATGTTTACGCCGGATAACAGGCCTGATATAAATGAGTTCTATTTTCCTGACGTGAAGCAGATGGCTGCTTTAACGGGAAGCCAGGCTGTGTGGATCGAGCAGACTATGGGTACGTTGGAACAATGGCAACACTTATAAACAGAGGAATTTATCCTCTGGCTAGAGAGAATGCTTCCTTAGCTAATGTTTTTTATTCTTGCAGAGCCGGGTTTACTCCAGACTCTGGATATGGAATCTAAGGGCATTCCTATTGGCAGACCTGCTGAGGTCAACCTAAGGAATAACCACGCACAGTACATCTTCACGTGGTATGATTCCTTCATTCATTCTTCCAAATCCCCTCTTCTCGCGCTCCAACTAAAAACATACCCTAGGTATGGACTCGCAGTAGCGACGTCGATAATGTTCTATATGGTGGTGAAGAAGCCTCCCACCGATATCTCACGCCGAGTGAGGATGAACAAGGAATGGTCGTAGACCCTAGTTCCGAGTGAATGCGCATCGCATCCGTTTAATAGAACCCCGGATAGGGGGGGTTAGCTCAAGTAACTTCCTCCTCTTCATCGACACCCCCTTGTCGGACTTGTCGTTTCCGAGGAGCTTTCGTCGGTGCTGGGACTGACATTCGCATCTCTTGTAAGAGTTCTCTGGGCAGATACCGCTGCGCCAAGGAGAAGGGTGTAGCGGAGGTACTGGTCTGCCGTTGTCTACAACAAAAGGTTAGTAAATTTGTACCGCTAGGAGTAATCATATACCCTAGCATAAATATAAAACATACCTTCGCATAAGCATCATCATGTCGCTCTCATCGATCGTCTTGCGGCCTGCGTGTCTCGCGTAGGCTGATAAATCGTCCCCTAGCTGCTCAAAATACCAGTCCGTCGCTTGCATAATGGCATCTACCGTATCTGAACTCAACTTCGCCTTACTGACCCCTGCCGTCTTGGCAAGTGTTGTCGCCAGCCGCTTTACTACACCCACAGGTAGAGAAGGATACTCAATACCATGCCGCGAGATTTTCTTTCCGGGTTTTCTTCTCCCGATGCTTCTTTGTGCTGGATGGTCAACGACCCGGGAGACGATTGTGTTCTGTAACGCCTCGGTGTCATCAACATCATCGACATCATCTAGTCCAGGTGCATCTATCAAGTCTCCCAGGCCATCGTCATCGTCATCGTAGTGGTCGAAGCCAGGTATGTCACTGGTCTCGACGTCTTCAGCCATCGTTGGGTCTCGGGTAGGCGATTCCACAGGGGCCATGACAAAGGTACTCTCATTCCCGAGGTCGGGGATCTCGATTGGACCAAAATCATCCTGGCCTCCCATAGTCTGACGTCTCATCTCTTCATCCACACTGGAATATGTTAGCACACTTTAACTCACACGCAAAGGTCAACATGGCAATACCGTTCGAATATAGCCTCTTCATCTAAGCCAATCCCTTCGGTGTCGTCGTCCAACGCTGGTGGGGGGAAGAAACCCGAATCGATACCAACGTCATTATCATCATCGTCTCCTATTTCCGGCCCGACAAAGTCACTCATCCTCGCACTACCTAAACTACTCCTATCCAAGCGACCCAGTGGCGCTTCTGTCCACGCTCGGCGAGGGAGCTCGATCGACTGCATTGTGTAGTTCTCATCGTCCAGTATGCTAGACCGGGGAGGCTTCAACTCGCTATCGTCGTCATCGTCGCGATCTAGGGGTAACGAAAAACGGGGACGCTCAATAGGAAAGTCGTCGTCATCGTCGCCCTCCTCGAGGAGAGTCTGCAACGTCGATTCATTGCCGCGAAGGGGGGGCGACGATGACGAGGAGACTACCGTCGACGTAGGTGCGAGAACCCGACTAAGATTCCGCAGGAGATCCCGCGGCGTTTCGCGCTCACGCTCGCGTGCAACACTGCGCCGCCGTCCCACCCGTCCTGGTGTGAATAGGGCTGCACGTCGCTGGTCTATAGCACGGATGGCGGCGCGGGCATGCGGCGTGTTAGGGTTTCGGCGGCCCGAAGCAGATAGACGGAGGGAAGAGGGCTCGGCGCTGATGGCGCGGCGGTTCGGGGTCGCAAGTGCTCGGGGAGTGCTGAGAGCTGCGAGACGGTTTTTATTTGGAGTCGGGTCCGTCATTTTGAATATGCTGATGTCTCTCTCTCTCTCTCTCTCTCTCTCTCTCTTATACCCAGCCGTGTACCTCGCCGGATGTCAGTGATAAAACGGAAGATTCGCCGTATAGCACATGACAATTGGCATCAATTTCTCATTCCTTGCTTAATTCAAGCCGATAGGTAGTCGCCCATAAAAATCTCGTGACTACTACCCCGATACCTTGAAGTTGTCTAGTAAAATGACGTGTGCTTGGTTGCTACTAGACGCGGTTAGGAGCTTAGACGCGTCGTGGTTATTCAGCAATACAGTTTATTGTAGCTGCTGTATGAATGTAAAATTGAAAAAACAGGGTGGGCACGTGGGGTTCCTCGCACTGTATGAGCTATGTACGCTATGTGTACGTGGGGCTTTATGCGTTAGGTGGTGCAGGTGGTGTTAAAGTTCAGAGGGGCTCTAGCGCTATTGGGTCATCCCTGTTGGTTTTCATACTTCCCCTTGCCCACCCAAACTGCCGAAACTGTTCAAAGCAACTTTTCTTAACAGCGTACATAGTAGGTACCTAGGTACCTATGTAAGTCCTGAAGTCTAGCCGAACTATTCCGTAGAATCTTTTGAAACGTCTTCGACTCATCTGCCTGAGCTCTGAGATCTCACCAATTCCTTGTTTCTTTGGTTCTCCTAATACTCTCGGCAAATCTATCAAGATGACGCCATGCTCTTGCGATATCGACGTTGGCGGAGTTATGGGTGCTTATGTACCTACATATATATTTTCCGTCTAGGTAGTTAGTACATCAGAGAAACTGAAGTTAGAATAAAATAAAAATTCCGTTTTCTCTGTAATCCGTACATAGACCGTGTCTTACCGGCATCTCATGCCGCAACCTGCTCATTGGTGCTTTGATCATTACGACACTCCGACTATTATGAGATAGTGAAAATAGGTTTAACTGTTTGGGCAAACAACCAAATATCAATAGCTTACACATTTTTCAGTCGTTCAAGCTAGGGATACGAAACACAGAATACTAATTTAAAACTGTAGTATAGTAGAACGATTGGTTACAAACCCCAAAGCTGCAGTGCTGGCTGGATTTAAAGAGCTCCATAAAGTCAGCATAAATAAGATAGCTTGAAGACCATGACCCGAATCAGGTCTGTCGACTCGCCACAGACCCTCAACAGTCTGACGAATCAACCGGATGCATTGCACAGCTTCTATTCCGATACAAGAATGTTCCGGGTAGAACCCCTGACACCCTCGACAAACAATAAGTTTTCGAATGCTCCTGAGGAGTTGGCGTTGTTACAAGAGACGCTTCAAGTGGTGGCTCGGCTTATCCGTACATGTACGGTATCGTGTTGGTGTTTCCTGAGCACGAAGACCAACTCTTGGTTGTTACCTACCTACCTATACCTAACCTATTGTATGCAATTCGATCTGCCCACTTAGCTACTGACCTGCATATACACATGCACATGCAAAGCGGGTAGTTGAACGGCAGTCAGATAATTCGTGAAGATCGATCTAAATGAATACCCCTATAAGACAGGAAAACTTACATCACCAACTTAGGTAAACGGTATATAAATACCTAAATAGGTACTTGACTTGACTGTGAATGACGGAGTTATACTTTGGGGTTTTCAATATTTCGCTTAGTTAGTCACTCAAATTTTCTTATATTATTATATCAGTCCTAAATCCAGCCACTCTATTTTTGTAGTTGATACCTTGTAGAAACCAGATTCAAGGTTTATGATGACTATATCATGTACATCGGCCTAAAGCGGATTGAAGAATAGACCCAGCTGTATGGTTTGAGTGGTTTAAACATCAGGAAAGAGCAACTGTATGTACGAATATCCAATTGTTCAATATTGAGCCAATGAAGACGCTTAGACCGTTTGAGCTTTCCAATACCCCTTGCCTTAGTGTACGACCAGGTACCTAAGTGCCTTACCCAAGCTCCCAGGCTCCCAGGCTCCATAATATGTACATGTACCTAAGCACGGATTAGGTACGTACCCAGGTACCCAGATAGGCAAATCTAGCTATATGTACTAACTAAGCTACCTACATGTACTTACCTCATACGAATTGGAGACGGCTCCTCCACACCTTCAACAACTTTTTCCGACTGGGCTAATAACTTCCGCATTATAGGGGTTCAAACTGATTGCGACGTTGTTTCTCTCAGATCACATCTCACATTGGGTCTCCAATATCTTTTCCAATACATACCTATCGAATGATAAATCTTCTTCCACTATATTTTTTGATCCGATTCGGTACACGCCGCTGATTGTAACCTATTCAACCTATCCAACGAAAAAGGGACGGCCAGCCTCTTATTATTGTAGGTAGTCAATATTTCTTCCTTTGTTCCTTTTGGACGCCCCAAGAAACCCCCAACCGCCACCCATTATCGTCTCATTCTGCCCCATCCATTAACTGTAACATTACCACATTATCGCATTACCGCATTACCGCATTACTCTTCGTCCCCCATCCGCCAATCTTACACCGTCTAGCTGTCCTCGTTGCTTCTTTCTTCGCTTCCCACCTTTCAAGCTTTAGGTAGCACGCGCTTTCGAATCCATCTAAGAGAAGGAGCTCTAAAAGTAAGAAGAAGAAGAAACCACTCTTGTCCCTTCGCTTGTCCCTTCGCTGCCACACCTCGTCCACCCTATCCAATTCCATCTTCAGGGCGTTCGCGCGCCACCACCCACCTAACCTACCTAGATCATCAAGCACCAAGCACCAAGCACCAAGCCCCAAGCACCAAGCACCAAGCATCAAGTGCCTTCGAATCAAGGTCACCGTTGTGTGTCTCTGAAAAGGTCCCACACCCCCCCTAGCACATACCTAGCACATACCTAGTACATTTCAAGCTCCAGCATCCCTATCGGGGCACCCTATCCCAGCTTACCTACCCTATCAGGATTGCTCGACCAGCTATCGTTCCAGTCCGCGAACCGTGCTTAAGAAGTACAGTACGGACCAGTCCTACGATACTGGGAACGTAGCGCCGTGCTCCATACTGCCCATACAGCCAGCTTGCCCACCACCTCCTGCGATCTGCGGCACCACACCCTTCCGACCCTGTGTCAAAACATTTCTAACCCTTATGCAACGCAAGCTCCCTTCTACACTTCTTCTACTCCTACATAGTCGTATCGCCGGCAGGTCCTTCCAGAATAATTTCGGTACTATAATCAAAATATCTTCATCAAATACTAACACCGCTGGTTTCTTTAGCTGCCGACTATTAAGCCCCAGTACCTTGCTGGTTAATCAAATTTAACATATCGAAATCGCCAATCATGGCTGCCCCTGGTGTTCAATCATTGAAGGTACGTCTGCCGTCTGCCACGTCGCTCTAAGTGAATACCGCATCATGAAGCAAGTATACTAATGCGAGATTGCCCTGCAGTGCGTCGTTACGGGTGACGGTGCTGTCGGAAAGGTCCGTCTATTCCAACATTAGCCAATGTCGACCGAGTCTAGCCATGTTCCATATCTAACATCGATGTCAGACATGTCTTCTCATTTCATACACAACCAATGCGTTCCCCGGTGAATATATACCTACGGTGTTAGTAGAACTTGGTCTCTGTCCCATCCTAGATTGTATACTGATGTCACGTTCAGTTTCGATAACTACTCGGCAAGCGTGATGGTCGATGGCAAGCCTATCAGCTTAGGACTATGGGATACTGCTGGTCAGGAAGATTACGATAGATTGCGACCGCTCTCCTATCCTCAAACCGATGTTTTCTTAATCTGCTTCTCCATCGTGAGCCCTCCTTCGTTTGATAACGTAAAGGCTAAGGTAAGTGAACAGCGAGAAAGCATCTAATCAGTCTAGTCAATTACTCTGGATTAAGCAACTAACTTAGCTCAGTGGTATCCCGAAATCGATCACCATGCGCCAAACATTCCCATCATCCTAGTTGGGACCAAGTTGGATCTTCGAGAGGACCCCGCTACCCTGGAAAGCCTCCGGTCCAAGAGGATGGAGCCGGTGTCGTACGACCAAGCCTTGGTCTGCGCAAAAGAGATCCGTGCCCACAAATATCTTGAATGTTCGGCCCTCACTCAGCGGAACTTGAAGAGCGTATTCGATGAGGCTATTCGGTATGATAGACCACGATAGCTCCCCAGTGTTTAACCACGTATTAATCTTATCTGCAGTGCCGTCCTAAACCCTCGGCCCGTCGCTGCGAAAGGTGGAGCAAAGAAGAGCAAGTGCACGATTCTATAAGCGGCACATAACAGCATATATCATTGCTTATGACATTTTGAGACTTGGTCGAGCGAGCCAGAAGGTTTTTCGAAACGATGATGGCGTTTTGGTGGACATATAGGAAAGACTACCATCCTCTATGAGGAACCGACGTATTCAGGCATCTTCGAGTTGGCCGACTACCCATATTTCGCGTCCCCTCATTTTGAAATCTACATACCCAGACGTTTTTGGTGGCCATTTTGTTGCAGGCTATTTATTCGACCAGAAGGGAATTAAGGGGAAAGGATCAAGTTGCAAAGTCGAAAGCCGTCAACGAGGAATCAGAAGCATACGTGAGCCTGCGAGTACCGTTATTTTTAAAGAGTTCTGGCTCGCTGCCATCCTGTTTGCTCCTTGCCATCTTGGCTTCCGTCGGGATTGGACATACAGGCAAACTGGGTTTAAATATTTCTACATGGAAATCACCCTTCAAACGAACTAGACGGCAGCAAGAGTCACAATTCCCCACATATAGCATATTCAACTCGCCTTTTCACAATTCTGTAGATAGCATATTTGCGAGAAGAATCTAAATTTCACGGCATGTCCCCCAAATTTGATGTCATTTTTCATTTTTCCTATACGTGAACGCCTAACCCCTAAGCTGCTTTGCAAAATATGTGATTAAAATAAAATAAATACATTGACAGAAGAGCTACTGTCTAGGATATCATGACCCGGCTCCAGGGACCATCCCACGTCGGCTCGGGTGGATTGCATGCTCGACGCCGCCACCAGCTTTCTCGCCCCCATTCTGCCCCTTCCCCTTCTCAGCCTTAGCCTTGGCTTCCTCCTGCGCCCTGCGCGCGCGTTCCTCGTTCAGCTTCTCGTTCTTGGCACGGATCTTGTCCTTGCGATGGGAGGTGTTCCCGCCGCCGCCAGCCGTCAGCTCGACGTTGATGCGGCGCTCCTCGGGCCTGCCGGGCCTGCCGGGCTTGCCGGGGGGGCAGGGACAGGGGCAGGTAAAGGTGGTGTGGTGCATGGTCTTCAGGCAGGTCTTCATGTGGTCGTAGCGGGCGAACTCGACGAAGGCGATGCCGCGGGACTTGGCGGTGCGCGGGTCGTGCAGCAGGCGCACCGAGGTCGGGTGCACGGCGGAGAAGTGGGCTGTTATCTGCTCCGGAGTCGCGGAGAAGGGCAGGTTGCCGACGAAGACTATGAAGCGGACTTTTTTGCCGCGGGGGGGCTCTTCGGGGGGGGCTTCTTCGTCGTCGTTGTCGTCGTCGTCGGCCGTGGCAGCTGCGGTGGTGGTGGTGATGGTGGTGTCTGCGGGCTCGGCGGCGTCGGTGGGTTCTTGAGGGGCGTGGGCGTGGGCGTTGGCTTTGGCTTTGGACTCGGATTTGTCTTTGCTTTTGCTCTTGGACTTGGACTTGGACTTGGATTTCTTGTCTTTTTTGTCCTTCTTGCTGGTCTTTTTGGAACTTTCCTTGGTCTCCTTTTTACTCTCGTCGTCGCCCTGAGGCTCTACGGCGGGGAGGGGGGCTTCGTCCATGGGGGTGTCTTCGGGCGAGGCATTGGCTTCGTCTTCGTCTTCGTCTTCGGCAGCGGGGACGTGCTTGCGCTTCTTGTCTTTCTTGGATGAGGACTTCTTGCTCTTCTTCTCCTTTTTGCTCTTCTTGGACTTGTTGTCTGCGACGGAGTCCGCGTCGCTTAGGCGTCTTCGCTTCCTGCCGGTGGTGTCGCTGCTCATGGTGGTGCTGGTCGTGGGGTCTTCTTCTGACTTGCGCTTTTTGGAGGACATTTTGTTTTTGATGGCTTTCGGGGGATGCGGCTTAATAAAATGACTGAAGGTGCTTGGAAATTGTAGGCTTGGTAGACAAGAGTCGCAAGAATATATTTAATCTTTAAGATAGAGAGAGAGATTCAAAAGCGCGATACAAATACAGTGCAGACAGAAAATTTTGGTGGGGCCTGCAACTAGCTCGGTAGGTGGAGCCAGCCTCAACTAAGTACCTACATTATACAATACACTACCTAGGTATATCTTAGATGCTTATACCCTGTAAATGGATCTATGCTTAGGTAGTCGAATGCCCGCCCCTATAGACACATATCACATTACTTTCATTCCATGATCAAATTGCTACTTGCCTCTGGGATATTTTGCCTAAATATAATCTATTATCAACTACTAAATTCATGGCGACTCATAAATTGGAATATCCTTGGCAGCTTGTCCTCGAAATACTTGATCAGCTGAGATAGGGAATAACTAGTTCAAAGATAATATCTATAGCGCAGCTTGGTCTAACTAAGCTACCTATCTAATAGTTTTAGCATATTAAAAAGACAATGAAACCAAACGTAATAGCAAAATAGCAGAATATCACATTTCAGCTCCTGTTCTTAGGACTACATTCGCAAGAGATTATAAATTCAAGGCCACAACATACATATCGAGTAAGAGGAGGCGTTATGCAAAACATGAAGATTTATGAAGTTATCCAGTGCTAGTGTTCGAATTGGTAGTGCATCATGATATATGTGCTGCCCATGCATGATTAAGTGTCAAGCGCTTAGTGGGACAAAAAAGCGACCACCGTGGGACTCGAACCCACAATCTTCACCATATTCCATAATACCGGAAAGTGACGCGATACCATTTCGCCAGACGGCCTGTTTCTTATACAAGGATTATTGATGCGGAGTTTTTGGTTTAAAATAATTAAAGAGGCTTATTGAGGAGGGACTAGTGGTCTGCCAAAAAGATATGCAATGCTATTTGTTCAATATACTAACCTAGTCTAGCCTGATATATGACAGACTGCTTGAGAAATGTCTACACTATTAGCTCAGGACCTAAATCAAAATATTTTTTCGATTCATTTATATTAGTATGGTATCAGCGCTTGGCCAATTTGCTTCAAGTTACAATTTACCAGTTTAATTATGTTGGGAGCTGATAGTCATGTAATTAAGCCGGTTGTCCCTTTTAAATTGAATAGCAAACTCGGTCAGGCAGTCTGTCAGGATATTAAATAATGTCGAGGTTAAGGTTACTGAATAATTTGATTTAACGTCCTTCTGCTCACGCACATCATTCTTAATTACGGAATAGCTACTAATTCACACTCAATAAAAATAAGTCCTGGTATAAAAGAGGGAGTACTAGCTATCATGCACATCATATCGTTTATAGCATACAGGCCTTGCTATTTTGCTGTACTATTAGATACAATACAAGTTCAGATACAATGTATTTATATATGGACGTTAAAAGGAGCACGTGGATGTTTATATATAGCTGAAGAAAAAGGGGTGTTGTCTTTTACCTACAAAAATAGGAGAGCAATGTTTTTGAAATATTTCATTACTTGACATGGAAACCCCATAAGTTCTCCTGCTGGAGAATTAATTGCAGAAAGACACACAATAAAGTTTTATTCATTTGCAGGTGCTGATACCTGGGTACTTTGAATTTGTATTTTGGCAAGAGACAAGACTTGCTTGCCGACTTAAGCAGTCGCGATTCGATATGAATTTATCATTTCGCTTTCCCCGTTTGCTACGTACTAGAGCTAAACTTCCTTATTTAGGTACTGGAAAGTTCCTACATGCACAAGTTTGATAGGTAAAGGCAAGACGCACTTGCCCTAGCCGTCGAATGGAGAACATTTTACTTAGGCGACAAAGTTGTGCACCTCTCCCGTCTCCTTTTCTCACACTACAACACAAAATCCGATTCCTCAACACGACTCTCTCTTTTTTGGATCGCCAAATATCAACATTCGTTTCTTCGGATTGGCCTTCTTGGTGATCATCCTTACTTTCTTTAGTCGTTCGCTTTATACGATTTATGGAATCTTGAAAAGCAGAAAACCAATAGAAAAAAAAAGACACACATAACGCGACGTAACTCACTCTCTTCGAATCCTCTCTATTTTGATTTCTGAGTAATAAGACCTGATGATGTTTGCAAAATTCCTTTTCGTACGGGTTTTCCTTGCGAACCTATTGCATCTTGCTATCGCAGTTAGCAATGGCACGATTTCTAACTCATCAGCTGGACCGCCTAGTAAGTCTTCTTTTTTTTTTTTGGCGCCACAGCCTGTATATCAAGCTAATAAATTCTTAGCCTGTGCCTCCCGTTGCATGGTAGACAGCATGTTTGTGACGCAGTGCCTGGACACAAGGTGCCTCTGCAACGAGAAAGACTACCAGAAGGTTTGCTCTCTCTCCTTTGCAAAAGCCCCTTACCATGTAACTAACCTTTTTATATAGTCCCTATTCCAGTGTCTCTATTCCCAATGCGACTCGAATAATTACGGCCCGGCTCTCAGCCATTCGATCTCGCTTTGTATGAGCTTTGGTGCTGAGATCTACATGGCCGCTCCCAGCAGGGTTAATGACGAACTCCTGCGGTCTCGCGAAGAAGATTATCTCGCCGGGCGAGAAGTCAAAGCAGTTCCACATCTCCAACTGAGACAGGAAAGCGCTGCCGGAATAGGAACGACCATAACTGTCACTACCACCGTCACAGACTTCGTTACGGTGTCTTATTCCCTCATCACCTACACCTCGAACCATCTAACTCCTAGTCCATTTCTAGAGACGTCACAAGCAGCGGAAGTAACAACCACCTCATCCAGCCGACCTTGGGTGATACCTGTATCCGAAGCAACTGAAGGGGCTCGGTCAAGACCATCATTCTTCGGACTGGTCTTGTGGGTTGCCTTTGTTATTATGCTCGATTACTGGATGGAAATGAGCAGTCACTAGAACTAGATGAGCATATTTCCATTGTCGATTTTATTTACGACGTGGATATGAAAATTTGCTATTAGACCAGGGGCATAAATGTTATTAGGGTGCAGATGATCGCCCATGTAAGCTTAGCCATGCTGATAATTGTCTATACAATTAAATATCACGATCCCGTTGATCCAGCTCTTAATTTCCTGATGATAATTAGCACCGAACCTATCTAGGGTTGCTACAGTCACATATTGCTTTGTATGTAGGGGACGAAATGCGATCAGTCTCTCATAATATAATGTATCTCACGGGAGAACCTTCTGTTCGGTGGGTTAATCCATGTGTACGTAAATTACTAATTAACCAAAGACTCATCGATCTGCGGGGTATCATATGTTGAATGCCTTCCTCTACTCTCACGAGATTATAGAGAATAAGTTTGAATATCTTTGGCGACCCGGGTTAACCAACCAACTGAAGCCATACCCGCCTGCTCAGTAGAAAAGCAGCTGCAGGGGCTTCTCAGAATCGGCATACCTCTCCTTGAACTCTTGGCGGGCCAGCCAACGGGCTAGTGGTAGCATGGTCTCCTTCATATCCATGACGCCGCGTTTCTTCTGATCGATGTGCGATGCATCTACAACCAGGCGCTCGAGTTTGCTTAGGTTCAAGGCGGCTGCATGTCTGTTAGACGTGCGAAAGAGGCTTACCCAGGGGAAGACGGGAAGCGAGACTCACAGTTATCGACTAGGTCGGATAATCGAACGGGAGTGCCAACTGCGACGCCCGTGCGGTGCTTCTGGAGGAATTGCACGCTTTCCTCGATTTTGATGTGCTTTGCGAACTAAGAAGGGGAGGGGGGAGTTAGCCGGGGGTAGCCCCTTAATTGGTTCAGATGTGTTCTACGTACCAATTTTGCGACTGCGTTGTTTTTCGACTGGTATTTGCGGACAGATCTATGGTTTGTTTGTGAGTAGGTACTTGGGTATACTGGGATCAAGGGGATATGAATAGCATGGAAAGGGGGACGTACCTGACGAGATCTGCGGCTCTCAGACCGGCGCCGGTGACGATGATGGTGTGCGGTGCGCCGTTCTCCTTGGGTGCTTCTCCTAGCTTCTTTGGGTCTGCGAATTGCTCCAGGAATTGTGGCAGATTCTCTAGATTCCTCGTCTCCTGGAAAGACGTGGTGTCTGTGATGTAGTTTGCTATGATTGGCGTATTAGTGTCTGTCTGTCTGTCTGTCCGTCTTGGATAAGATGTGGGATGGATCAAGCATACGTGATATGTCCAACTGGCTCAGCTCGACTGGTTTTAGATCCGTCCCGAATCTCCTGATTTTCTTGGAATAGTGGTCTGCGAGGAGTAGGTTGTCGATCATGGACATCTTCTTGTTCACACCGGCTTCTAGGTCGAGGTACTCCTCTTCTTCCTCATAAGCTTGCTTTCTTCGTTTACGCGAAGTAGTTTCGTCATTGCGAGGGCGTTTCTTGGACTTGGGTTTTGAGGCTGCGGGTTGCTGTCTTTGAACTTGAGTCTCGGCCATGATTGACATGTTATGTCGAATATTGTGATGATTATGATTATGATTATGATTGTGATTGTGATATGAGAATGAGAATGAGGATGAGAATTACCGATGAGAAGAAAAATTCAGTTAACCGTCGAGGTCCTAGCTCCTAAACTCGATATTCATATATGCGAGTATGTACCTAACTTAAATTATCTAATCTACATAAGCCCCGCCATGCCGACATCCCACCAAGAATAGAAAATTGCCCCGCGTCACACGTTCACACGTTCACACGTTCGCCGGAAGAGTCAACACTATCAATAATTTATCACCCTATCGTACGTTGTTACTCACGCCGGCGACGTATTTATAGGGGGGTATCCCACGGTTCTGTTTTCGTATTCCTCGCTTTAATCAAATTCATACCACTCCCACAAATCTCCCTAGAACATGTCTGAAGCTCCCGTTGACCCGGCCCAAGCTGAGGGTTCTGCCCCTCCAGCCGAGGGTGAAGCTCCCGCCCAGTCCAAGAAGGGCGCAAAGAAGGCCGAAGCAAAGGCTAAGAAGGAAGCTGAAAAGGCGCGTAAGGCTGCTGAGAGAGAAGCTGCTGCCGCCGCTCAAAAAGCTGCTTCTGGCGGCAACGAGGATCTCGCCAAGGACAACTATGGCGATATTACTCCCACCACCAGAGTTGCCGCGGACAAGGTGCAACTCAAACACCTAGGAGACGAGCACATTGGGAAATCTGTTAAACTACGAGCATGGATTCAAAACTCCCGCATGCAAGGCGCAAAGATGGCTTTCGTCGAGCTGCGAGAAGAGCGCAACTGGTCTATACAAGGTGTCATATCTGCCAGCGCCGAGGGCAAGCCAGTCAGCAAGCAGATGGCTAAATGGGTTGGTGGCATACGATTAGAGAGCTTCGTGTTAGTCGAGGCTACCGTCCAGAAGCCCCTGGAGCCCGTCAAGAGCTGTCGTGTTAGCGACTACGAGTTACACTTAACAAAGGTCTATCTGATCGCCTCTGGCCCCGAGGTCCTTCCCCTAGGTCTCAATGCCGCGAACAGGGCTATTTCCAGTTTCGACGATGAGGACCCTTCAGCACCCGCCGCAGCACCCGCCGAGGGTGTTGAGAACTTGAGTATTGCCGAATCTGCTGCCGCGCCGTCTGCGAGCTTGTCTACGCATTTGAACAACCCTGCTCTGCACAAGCGAGCACCCGTACAACAAGCTATTGCTGATGTTCGAATGACGGTGCGAAAGCTATTCGGCGAATATCTCGACTCCAAGGATTTCGTCCAGTTCGAGCCTCCTTGTCTAATTGGTGCCGCTTCCGAAGGTGGCGCAAACGTCTTTTCGCTACCGTACTTCGAGAAGCAGGCTTTCCTTGCGCAATCGCCTCAGTTCTACAAGCAAATCGAAATTGCTGGTGGTCGAAAGCGTGTGTACTGTATTGGTCCGGTATTTAGGGCAGAGAACAGTAACACTCCCCGGCATATGACCGAGGTAGGATTTACTGTAATTAGCAACTATTATATAATGTAAATTAACTAACATTCTCTAGTTCACTGGTCTCGATCTGGAGATGGAAATTGAGGACCACTACCACGAGGTCCGCGATATGATCGAAGGCGTCATGCTCTACATTTTCCGAGGCCTTCAGGAGCGATGCAAGGAGCAAATCGAGCTCGTCCGAGCTATATACCCATCGGATGAGTTCTTACTACCGGAGCACGGTAAAGAAGTGCGACTCACTTTCGCTGAGGGCCAGAAGTTACTACGTGAGGAAGGACCTGAGGAATTCCGCAACGTCTCAGACGACGAAGACATGAGCACCCCGCAAGAAAAAGCGCTAGGTGCTCTGGTGCGCAAGAAGTTCGGTACCGACTTCTACGTGCTCGACAAATTCCCCGAGGGCGCACGTCCTTTCTATACCATCGAGGATCCCGAAAACCCCAAGGTCACCAACGCGTACGATTTCTTCATGCGCGGCCAGGAGATTCTGTCCGGTGGCCAGCGTATCCACATCCCCGAGCTGCTGGAGGCTCGTCTACGCAAGAAGGGCATCGACCCCACGAGTCCCGGTATCAAGGACTACGTCGACGTGTTCAGGTCAGCCGGTGTGCCGCCTCACGGTGGTGGAGGCATTGGTCTCGACCGTGTGGTCGCGTGGTACTTGAACTTACCCAGCGTACATCTGGCCAGCTATTACCCCCGCACACCGAAGAGGCTCACCCCGTAAGGGATGGGTGTGCGTGTGTGATTTATGTATCTTGCCGAGGTTTACCGCGACGGGAAGCGAAAATGGGAGACAAGTAAAGAAATATTCTCGTGATTCAGGGGCCATGTTTTGGTCATACCTACATGTCTTGTCGGGCTGAAGAGTAGATGTCGTGGCAATTAGAATAAAACAAAATAAAGATTTTCAAATTAACTAACCGTCTGTGTTTAACGTTATATGACCTACTAGATACGTAAGATCGAGATAGACTGTCTCTCTAAGATGGTCTGGGTCTAATAGTCATTATGCTAGGCTAGAGTACATCGGCTGTCGAATGAAATACATATATTATGACCAATACAGCAGTACAATCATAAGGAAGGGGGGAAAGGGGGGAAATGGAGAACCAGGCTTACAGACGATTTAAAAACCGATGAAAGGCGCTGAAAAGACCTCATCGCTTGCCACTCTTACTACTTGGGCACTCAATTCGTAGAGTGGAGGCTTCTCGGCTGTTGCGATACATAACCTTTGATTCTGCGATGCCACATTTATAGGTCCATGCCAATCTCCCCAGTCTTAAATACTATAAAAATAGAGAAACCAAAATAAATCCAGACGCTAGACAGACGAGATGTATTTATTTGTTTTGTTTCATTCGTAGTAGACACTTCCCTACGCATAGCATCTGACCACCTATTCATGATACCATGGTACCATCACTTCCCCCTTACAATAATGTACAATGCCTACAGTATTTCTCTTCATTCACACGTTTCAATCACTTCATGTTTCTTATCCCGTTCTCTTATATCAAAACTTGTGATATTCCCTCGTATCCCCTAACCTAATCCATTTAAGATTGCCACCGAGCGTCGATCTGCTTTTTCCGGACCTGCGTTGGGTTGTTAGCATTTATATTTCATGGCCCAAAAGAAACACAGGAAAGGAGTGGAAAGCTTACCATAGGCCTCAAAGCACCTACACCCAGGACAAGTGCCGCGACCGTGCCTACGAGCGCCAGCTTATTGAACCCCTTACCCAAGACATCAAACGCCAGACTAGGCGTGACCCTCGTACCAAACACGTCAATACCGTACGCTAGAACCAAGCTTGTGCTCTCGAGCACCGCCGGCGCCGTAATCACCTCCTTAACACCTAGCACGTCACGCTGGTGCGTGATCAACATACGTGGGTCTAACTCGATGGCCGGGAAGTACTTGCTCAGCCCCTCTTCCAGCTCCGCGGGTGTCGGATCCCGGCCCACGGGGCGGCGAGGCTCTAGGGCCATGCGTGGGATGCCAACGATAGAGTGGGATTCCGGTAGGTATGCCAGTAGCTGGCGAGATGTGATGCCCTGGCGTGTCTTTGTCACGGCGAGGGATTTGATAGGAGCTGAGAGGATAAATGTTTTGGACACGACGGAGGGGAGATATGGGCCAGTAGGCAGATCGATTGGATCTAGGGCTGAGTAGTTAACTAAGTCGCCGAGCGGGCCGCGATCGTTTGCGTTATCTGATTCGTATAGATCGGATACGACAACTTGGTATCCCTTCAGTCTCTGGGATTGAGAGTCTCGTAATTTGTATTGGCCGAAGAAAGAGCATAGAAACCAGTTCTCGGCTACGGCACAGGTGATGTCTTTAGTTGGGTCGATACCTTCGTAGGTAGATGAAGTTAATACTTGTCCGGAAACCGTATCTAGGAGGTAGACCGAGAGGGAGGCCGCTTTCTCGTCGACTGCGGCGACCACCAGTGTGTTGGGGTTCAAGTACTTGTATTTGACGGTCCGGTCTCCAAGTACTCGGCCTATAGATGCAATCGGGTCGTGTGTAGAGCGACCTGCAACCTCGATGATTCTCTGTCCCGCAGGAGGGTTGAAGAACCAAGTCGGAACTTCGATAGCTTGCTCGCCCTTAGTAACAAACTTCACCCCCCTGATTCCACCGTCGCTCGTCCGTGTGACAACGGTCTGCTTGGGAGCCCACGTGCTATTTATCTCGGCGATCTTCCCACCTTCGCCAACAGGCAACAACCAGGGCCCGGCATCGCTGTCCACCACAACGGCACTTTCAATCGCCGGAAACAAACCAGTCGGCATCGATTCAACAGTCTTGCCAGTATCGGATTTAACGATAATAAATTCACCATCAGCTCCACGGACGGTAACGAATCCATTCACATCATCAGCATGGATAGCCTTCACATCCCATGGCTTCTTTCCAGGGGTCTCGCTTGCCGACTTAGACCAGACAATATTGCCGTGGTTGCCAGTGTCGAGACCGTACAGCTTACCGCGCTTTGTCGCTAGAACGACGAGCTTATTGAATCCAAAGCTATCTCGTGTCAGGGTTTCGCTTGACCTTGTAGTCTCCGAGCCAAGAAGACTAGCCGAAATACGCTCGGGGACTGTTTGCAAGTACGCGGGCAAGTATTGAAGCTCGTCGATATGACGAGTCACGCGATGAACGAAAGCGGACCAGGGATCAGTATGCGCTTCGGCCTCTAGCGTCTTCGCCAGATCTTCCGACTCGGGAATTTCCGCCCACGTAGCAGCGACCGCACCACTTAGTCCTTCGGGTCGAGTCCAAGATACATCGCCATTAACAATTTGTGTCCAATCGTCGGCGTCGGTGACGACAGCTGATCTAACGGCATAGTTATCCTCCGACTTCTTAATAACCTCAGAGACACCGTGTACAGCATCTAATTTTTCCGTTCCTGTATTCAAGGACCAGCGACCCAAAATACCATGAGAGACGGATGAAGTAATAATGACCTCATCGGCAGTGACTCGAGTGAAGTAGACATTGGCGTCAGATGAGCTAGTAGAAAATGCACTTCCACCCTCGAGCAATGGTAAGTCGTATGCTTTGCTAATGGCATTGCTCTTGAGATCGACGTGGAATATGTCAGCCCTACTTCCCGTCTTAGTTCGAGTGTGTACGAGAAAATGCGGCGAAGAGCGGACGGTGTGCGGAGCATGGACTTCCACACTAACCGTATCAGCCACGAGAGGGAACTCCTGTCTGTTCTTAGAGCCGAGGACGTTGACCTTGAGCTTCGTTAAAGTGTTGTCTGTCCAAGCAACGACGGGAGCCGCGGAGTTGGCACCGACGAACTGGACATCCTCCGGCTTTTGCACCTCGCCCTTAGTTCCAAGAACAATCTCGTCTAGCTTCCTCCCGGTGAGGGTATCCAGCACGATAACCTTGAGGTTGTAGGATAACAGTGATCCATGTAGAGTGACGACAAAGACCTTTTCGACGTTGGTGCTGACTTGCAGAGGAACACCTTTAGTAACCTCCCTGAATTCCCAGACCACACGCCCCTCAATACCGTGTATCCTCCGTGCAACCGTTGCATCGTCTTCTTGATATAACGCTAGGACGTCCTTATGGTCTTTCTCAGTCATCTCCATAACTTCCAGGTCCTTGACAGCCCCGTCGAAGTCAAGTGTCCAGACATTGCGGCCGCTAATAGCATCCCACGCATGCACCGAGCTTCCCAAAGCACTCGCTAACCATGTCTCATCCTCTCCAGCTCGTAGATGGCCACCACCATCCGTGATATTCTTATTTAACAACTGTCTCCATACGACAGCGCCGTTGCCGGGATTGACGGCGCCTAGAACGCCCAAGTCGCTAAGAGTATATAGCAGGCTAGCCTTTTCCTGAGGCCTCGGGCGGTGGAAGAATGTGGTTTCGCGTTGGGGAACACCGAGGAGCTCGTGGTGGAAGTCGATGTGGCCAACTTCGTCCTTGAAGACGGCGCGCACGGCAGCAGGCAGAGCTAACAACAAAGCAATTGACAGCGTCTGCACCGGTAGATGCATCTTAGTCAGATACGTAGAGGGTTACTCCACGCGACAAAGATGCTATATGGAACCGGGATCGTGATGATCAACAATATATCTGGCATTAGATTCTAACCTAGAGTTGATGGTTTAAAGAAGGTCCACCATTGTTTAAGTTGTTTAAAGTTGGGACGAATCCATATCGAATCCATATCGAATCCATATCGAATCCATGTCACATCCACTAGGTATCCACTATGATCCAATGCTTACATAGTAGGTACATAGGTGCCTTATGTACTATTACGTAACTGTTATGCATACAACGGAGATATTCATCTATACAGACACGATACCCATATATCTCGATAATGATATTTAACCTAGGAAATTTGATTGATCTCATCAAGTCAATTGTATCTACCTGCTATGCTAGTTTTGCGGTCATTATGGCGAACGTGGGTAGGTACGGCTCAAAAACCAATACGCCGATGTAATAGCAACAATCTCAAGCATCATTTGGTATCTCTCCAAGCATAACTACCATATATGCCTTCCTTCTGCTGGTATTACATGGGTCGTTGTCAGGCCCTCCATCTTGACTGTCCTGCTTAACGAACTGGCTAAATGTGAAAGGAAACGCATGAATTATCTGCTTAAACAGCCCTTAATAACATCGAAATAGACTAGGAGAGGAATGGCGTCTTGGAATCGTAGTCGACTATATTGTCCGGCCTGAAAGAACTTGGAGCTTTTACTCATTGTCATCTCTGTTCATCTTGTTAGCTTAGACTGTCAAACCCGAGTTAACTAAAGTTGAAAACTTACGTCTTCTTGGGACGGCCTCGACCTCGTCCACGCTTAGGAGCAACTTCTTCCTCGTCAGCTTCGGCGGCCTTGGTCTTGCGGCCACCCTTTGCTTTGGGTGCTGCCTTCTTGGGCGCTGCCTTTGAGGCCGGTTCCTCGTCATCTTCTTCATCCTGTTCATGTTCAACAGCCTTAACCTTACGGCCGCTCTTCGCCTTGGGCTTAGCCTTAGCCTTCGGGGCAGGCTCTGGTTCCTCATTTTGCTCATCATCTTCAGATTCAGGGGCTGGAGCTTTGGCAGCAGCCTTCTTGCCTCGAGCCTTCTTAGCAGGGGCCTTGGCAGGAGCTTTGACAGGAACAGCCTCTTCTGGCTCTTCTTCCTCTTCCTCTTCCTCTTCCTTTTCCTCATCGGCCACCTTCTTAGGCTTGCGGCTAGCTTTGGTGGCCTTCTTCTTAGCAGGCGGAGCTTCATCCTCTTCATCGTCTTCCTCATCTGCCTTCTTGCGGCCACGCTTCGCAGATTTCTTGGGAGCAGCCTTCTTGGGGGCATCCTCTTCCTCGTCCTTAACAAATGTGAGTATAAGCAAAAACGGAACATAATGAATAGACTGACCTCATCATCCTTCGCCTTTTTCTTGGAGACAGTACGACCACGAATAGCCGGCTGGCCGGGCTTGTTGAATTCGGGATCCTACCAAATTGTTAGTTACGGTTTAATGAAATCAGCAAATTAGAAGCTTACCCCTTTGAAGTCTTCGGGGTCGATATGACCTTGAGTCACGACACGCCGGATCTTTTCTTGGATCTCAGGGGTCTCACTAGGGGAGAAAAGTTAGCAAAACAGAAGAACGACAAACCATGTATTGGTAAGACTTACTCCAGCTCATCGTAACCGTCGATCATGTCCCACTGATAATCACCATCACCATCGGATATCTTCTCCTGGAGGTTGCCGACGGTCTTGCCGGAGACACAGCCCCTTTGAAAGGATTAATTTGTGATTTATAAAAGCAATAGACTGTCATACCAGTGTCGCCATTTGTAGGATCCATTCTCGGATCCGGGCAAATCAACCCAGACGCCGAAACGCAGCTCACCCTTTTGGATTTTGTCGCCGGTCTTCTTGCACAGGGTATCCTGGCAGCCAGCACGGCCAGTCTTGGCGATCTCTAAAAGATAGGTTAGCTATACTACGAAGGAAGACAATTGGGTAAATAGTGTAGTGCGAAGACGACGATGATGGGGTAGGGTGTAAGGGGTGATATTCACGAGGATGGGATAAATAAAATAAATATTAAGACGTACCAATGCGGTAAGACATGACTGTCTTGTATTGGTTTAGGAAATACCTAATATATTGTCTCTTGGGATGTCGCAAGTCAGTATGGCATCAAAGGCGGGTGAAGAGGTGAAGAATCGTATAAGATGAGATAACGGCGATTCGGTGCGGTGGCAGAGGCGACCTTCGGGAAGAAATTAATTAATGCAAGTTTTGGAATATGTAATTTTGAAGAAATTTGCGGAAGAAACTGCGATTTGACAGATGGGTTTCTTCAAGGTTAAAAGTGTGTCAAATGCAACGCATCCGAAAATAAAGAGAATAAATGGAGAGACAAAATGGCCTCAGGTTGTCAAAGGGAGAGACAATAAGGAAGGTGGTTGAAATCGAAAGATTTGGAGACGAGTTCGGGGGGTTGAAACGCGTTGGCAGCGCGTCGAACACGGAGGTAGCTCCAGACACCCCGAACTGTTTATTTAGCAGTGGGCTGTGCCCTTACAGTTGGCCCTGTGTAGTACAATTTAGGCTGCAACCTGATTGATTAGGGCATGAATTATAGGCGTCTTTAGGTGCCTAATTCTTCACCTAGGCAGGTATCTTAGGTAGGTACCTCAGGTACCTACCTAACCTACGCATACCACTCATACTATCTAAACTGTACCGCACCTACCAAACCATGGTTGAGTCACGGTATATTTAATTTGCACATCCCTTCGTTCAAGGGGAAACGATCACCTGCTTGAAAATTCTACCATTTCCCAATTTGTTTACATTCGTAATATCATTATCAATATCAATAACTTGTTTCATTTCATTTCATTTTCTCATATTTATTACATTATGCCTCCTTTTTCCTTCCAATGTATTACAATGTATTACAATGTAAACACTCAGGAAACACATCATGACGATTAAAAAATATCACGTCCAAACCCCACGGTAACAATGAGCTTCTCGCATCTCAAGTCCCATAGGAGGAAACGAGCAGGTGTGAAAACGGAACTGTATTGTTCTTCTACAAGAACGGACACCAACCAATATACATAGCCGACAGGTTCTTCGGGTTAACAGCCTGCTTGATCAGCTCTTCCACCTGCCCCTCCACTCCAAGCGGTATGCTCTCGTCGGGTAGCAAACCCCTTACTTTCCTCTTAATACTATCCACCACGCTCTGCGGGTTAAGCCTGACTACCTCGTTCTTTCTACGCTTATCCCGCTGCAGATCTAACGTCGGGTCGTAGATAAAAGCTTCTAAAATAGTCATCAAAGTCTCCTCTTGCTGTCGAAGAATGCTCAGTGTCAGCTCTGAACACTGTCTAAATGGTCCCTCGTATCCGTAAATTCCCATTGCTGCTACCATATTGTGCGTTAAGCGGAATGGTACCCGTTCAGGCTGCGCGAAGGTAAGGCCTTTGTCGAAAAGACAGTTGAAGTCGACGTGAAACACGCCGCCGTTGCCCTCTTCTAGGAGCACGTTCTCTCCATGTCGATCACCGAGTCCTAGAATGGTACCAACCATCGACATGACAGCGCACGACCTTGTGTACCTAAGCCGGGCTGCGAACCAGGCTGAAGGGTTCGGGAATTGCGCGATGAACCAATTAGGAAGTACAGGTGGGAACATTCCTATGATCGTTTCTGAAAAGATTTTGGTATTCTTGTCTGCCGAGGCGGCATCTTTCATCATCTGCGCCAGGTGTTGATAATTGGGGACAATGCCACGCGATCGGTAAATGGCGAGGAGAATATCCCGAAGTGTTTTAAGCCCGTCAACCCACTCGATGATACCGCACTCCTCATTGAGTGGCGTAACGGCGTACGTTTTAATGTACAGTTGTCTCCTACTAGATTCCGCATCTCGCTTCAGCGATCGATTTATCATCCCATTGAATTCCATTAGCCGCTGGTCAGTTCGGAGATCGTCCTTTGGCTTGATGAGCAGACCATAGTTTACTCCGTTTGACCCGCGAGCTGTAAGTTTTCGGGGTTTCGCTAAAGAACCTAGCACTAAAACCTCGTCGAGGAAAGACTGGATGGCAATGACGTCTCGCGAAAACGCTTTATGTTTTTTGACATTATCCGTGAGGGTAGGTAGCGTAGCCGTGAGACAGGCCTCGATCGGGACGACGAGGGGACACGGGGTGCATTTGTGATTAAAATTCAAATCCCGGGTGATGCTGGCTACTGTCGTCCTATTGCTCTGGAAATCCCCATTATTACAAGCCATGAGCAGCTGCTCTGCCAACTTCTCGCCCATCCGCAGCAGAGCTTTGAGATCGTAAGCACCGTTCTCTACCTTCTTATTTTTGCCTCTGAGCTTTTGTAGCATCTGCTGACCGCGCGCCCTCCGTTCAGAAGTCGCTTGCCGAGATGTCATAACAGCAAACAAACTCCATAGTGCTTGTCTTGGATGGGCCTCGACGACTCTAAGTATAATCTCTTCGAGTATCATGAATACTTCTGTATTAGGATGAGCGATACGAGCTACTAGTTGAGGTAAAGTCGTATAGAAGATATACGCAGGTAGCCGCAGAATTGATTTGAAAAGATATTTATGAAGCGACTCGAGCTGTGTTTTACGACGATAGTGAAGCTCTTTGGAAAGAGAGATCTTGCCTTCCGGTGCTCTATCGACCTGGGCACCCATCTCAAGCCATAGCGTTAGCACCCGAGGAAGGGTTTGGTAGAGGTACTTGACCCCATAGTTTAACGATCTGATGTAGTTCTCGATTACGAGCTTCGCCGTCTCCCCTGTTAGATATTCGTCGCTTTGATCATCTGGTTTTAGAACCTTTTCGGATTCAAGAACTTTTTTATAATGTCGGCCGAGGTAGTAGTGGCCCTTTTCCCATGTGCCGTAGATTTTAGGGACGTTCCGATAATGTTCCCGCAGCGCAGACGCATGAGTCTGGCCTGCACTATCGAGCCACTTTGCAAGAAGCAATTGAGCACGCGCAGTCAACATACTCTGTTGCGACTCAAGGTTTTTCTCGGAGGATCCATGTTCGGTGAAACTATGGCTGGTAAAGGCTTGGCTATCAATAGCTCCCTGAAGCGTCTGTATTGCCTTTCTATTGTGTCCTTCTTTCCATAAGAGTCGGGCATTTTCGATGGTCGCGGAATTATCACCCAGCTGCGAAGCGTGGAGTAC